CCTTTCTTATAGTGCTTGCAATGCAGACAAGCCGGCAGACAAAAAACGACACCCCAACCCAGAGCCAACACTGCAGGGCGGCTGCCTCATTCTCCGGGAGCGCCCGGCCCCGCCGCCCCCGGAGGCGGGGTGCTAGCGGGGGGGCCACAAGGGGAGAGGAGCATGCGCGCACGGCGGGCGGGTTTGCCCCGCCAAAGAGTGCCCACAGCCCCCGCCCAAGAGCCCGGCAGAAAAAACCAAAAGCGCCGCAAGCAAAAAAGAGAGACCGCCGAGCAAAAGGAGGGCCCTGCCACCAGCATGAGCCCAGTGGCGAAAGCGCAGCGAGCAAAAAGAAGAAAAAAGGCGAAAGCTAGACCTAAGAGCAAGCAGCGGGCCACTGAAGTGGCCTCGCCTGGGCTTCGTCGTGTTTCATTTGGAAGAGTATGCCCAGACTTTTTAGGTTTTCAGCCATGTGCCGCCGCTTGCATAAAAGGGAAACAAAGACCCCGAAGCGCCTTCTTTTTTTCTGCGTTTTCAGGCGCCAAAAAATGCGACCAGGCTGGTTTTTTTTAGGCTTAAAAGCTGACCCCCTTAACAGCAGAAACGAGCCCGAGCATGTGCCAGGAGTTTAGTCCGAGTTAGGGTAGGAGTTAAAACGTGAAACGCAACCGCTGGGGGGGCTCTAACCGTAAGTCACCTTCTGTGACTGTTCTTCACTTAGGACTGTTTTCTCGTCGTTACTTACCTTAGCGTAGTTCTTGGAAAGGTCTTGACTTTAGTGCTTTTCTTTTGGTTACAACTTGTTGTTAAGGGCAGAAGAAATTACTTGAGAAATTTAAACAACTTGATCGTTTTCAAAGTAGTCAAATGAGACATTTACAAATATTTAATTTCGAGACTGTCTAGTCGTGTTATCCTCCTCTTGCTCTCGTCTTGTGGTCGTGCTTTTCCAAGGTCTTGCTTCTTCTGATCTTCGTGTATGGTTTTAAGGACATCACCGATAGGCATGCGCCGTCTTGATCTTCCTGTTGCTTCCACAGTCAGGAACACACTGGAGGAAACATGCTGCCGCTTGCTGCTGTCATTCACGCTGTCGATGAGTTTGCGTCCCATATAACCCAACCGGGAGAAGACCAGAAGTTCGGGGTAAAAGGTAAGACTCGACATGTTGAGACGAGAAGGACAAAAGAAGAAGAACATCGAGCAGCAGTCGTTGTCGTTGTTGTTTGAGGTGATCAGCGCACCTGGTGCGCGTTGTGAGCGACCACGAAGGCCCCTAGTATCGCATTGAGGAGTTGCACCTTGACGGTCTGCTGCGGTGCAGCCACCAACACCCGTCGGTTCTGATGGATGCGTTGCCAGATAGTCCGTAGTTGGTCACGGTTGAGCATCTCCAGCTTCGCCCGAGTGGGGGCGTCGTTTGCTGCAAATGCCACCTGCTGTCTTTCGGCTGGCTCCAGGAGGTCATATAGCTGGTGCTTGTTGTAAGGGGCGTCATTTGGGTGGACCGCTACTACTAGGCCGCCACCTCCTCCAGCCAAAGGCACTGCCGGCATTGGAGGTCCACCAATTCCACCACCACCAGCTGCGTTCGCACCTTGTGGCTGAGGTGCCACTGCCGCAATTCCGCCATCTGCTCCTCCCAATAGGATCTGCTGTTGCTGTTGTTGCTGCTGGACAACCGGCGCTGGCGGCTGTTGCGCGACAAGTGGTGCCTGCTGTTCAGCAGGTTCTTGAGGTTGCTGCTCAGCCGGTGCTTGAGGCTGCTGCACCATAGGTGCCTGAGGCTGCTGGTTCGCCACACCATTGTTCGCACCAGCTCCAACTGCTCCACCAGCGGCAGCCATCATTCCCTGCATCTGTTGTAGCATCTGCAAGATGCGCTCCTGTCCAACCCCAAGCTGCTGCTGCTGCTGCCCAAGTTGCAGCTGTTGCCCTTCAACAGTCTGCATGCGTTGATTGACTGTCTGCATGTTGCCCTCCAACGCAGCAATTCGCTGCTCGTACACAGCTCCTAGTCCCATACCACTATTACCAGCAGCTGTGTGAGGTGCTGCCGGAGCAGGAACCGGCGCTGCTGCTGCCTGTGCAGGGGGCAATCCACCTGCGCCAACCGTGACGCCACCCTTGATGCCTTCGGCAATGCATGCGGCAAGACGTTCATGCTTCTCGAGCTCTAGTTTGCGGATCTTCTCCTCCTTGATCTGACGTTCTGCTTTCTCCTTGTATTCCTCGAGCTCACGCACTCGCAAGACCTCTCGGATCTTCGCCTCCTCCTCAGCGGTAGGCCTCGCTTTGTCTTTAAGGAGGTCCTTGCTGTAGGACGTTTCTTTATCCTTGTGGTCCGGCATTGTCGCTGTCTTCACCCGTGTGAGGGCAAGATACGTGGAGAAATTGCGAAGCAAGCAACGAGTCGTGTCAAGCTTGGTCTTGTATCCAGATAGGATTTGTAGTAGTACTCTTGTCGTGAAACCTTGTCTATACCACTGTATTGCTTCTGATAAAAGGAAGAGAAACCTCTCAGCGCCTGACGTCTTCGCGCCATGGATAACGCTGTGAGTCCTACTCCGGAATACGGTGCGGTAATACATTACATCACCGATGCCGGAGATGCGGATTGTGAGCGGCTTTACTAGCAGCTCAGTGCGAATCGCAATGCAGCCACCCGCCTTGGCGCATGCATGGAGTTCATAGTTAAGCCACCTCATCGCTCCTCCCTCAAGAGACCGATCTCGCTCAACCTCCACTCCGTCGTAAATGCTACTCACGCGCGCGTCGAGACAATCATTGCAGAAAACCCCCGACACGGCACCGCTGTCGTCCACGTATCTCTCCAGAGCTATATCTTCGACCTTCTGGCCGCCTGTAGGTCCAAACGCGCGGTCTTCCTTCACGCCCATGGTCAAAGAGCACGCGACCTTACTGCATATTCCTCCTATCGGCGTGCCTTTGCTTGGGTCCTGCTTGAGCGTCACTGCCGGCCCGAGAGTGGCTAGGCGCAATGTCGTCACGTTGAAGAGGAGGAACTCCAAATCCGCTGTCTCATCCTCCGTGCAACCCAGCTACATCAACTTAATGTTACACCCATCATGGTTACCGAACAAGAGAAGATCAATGTTGGAGTATATTTTGTTGCTGATGTAGTCAAATAATCACAGAAGAGAGGTGGAATTCACAAGCCTCTCCAAATGCACAGCTGCAGTGTGCTCTCTGCTGCGAAAACGCGGGCAGTGGAGTTTTTTACCTTAATATTGCAAGCCTGTTTCAGTTGTGGAGATTTCAAAGGTCGAACGTTTGGCAGGTTTTTTCAAGCGTTGCAAGTTGGGGTTGGTCAAACATGTGGACCGTCTTACTCATCTATGTCGGAACCATATCGCTCGGATAATCTTGTGATCGAAATAACACGAAGATGAAGTCAGAGTAGCCGCTACTCTGACTTCATCTTCGTGCTATTTCGATCACCATGATCAGAAGTATCAGTAGCATCATCTTCTTTTTCATCATTATCATCCTCGTCATCATGATCTCATCTTATCTTTTTGCGATTAGATGCCATAGAATACCGATTAAAATTGAGGACGTCGTCGTGGCCACGAAAAGCCCAGCGTTTGTTCATCTTGAAGACGGCGCCCTTCAAAAGAGCCGCAACGCGCTACTTTTCTCTCCATAGACTCTCAGAGGGGAGAGATGATGCTACTAGGAGATCATGGTTATTATGCGGGACAAAGTCTAGGAAATAGAATTAACAGGCTTGATTTTGATAGGCATAGGATGGACATGTGATGTTGGATTACTTACTTGTGTTTGTTATGTGGAACTACTTATGAGAATAAATGACTCTGTGATCTATTCGATGAAAATAAGGCAAAATACAGGAATGGGAGAGAGACCATGACAAGATGCACCAAAAAGAATTCATTCACAGTAGATACCAACATGGGAAGTTGTTGTAGAGAATCAATAGCAAAGCATCGATCTGCTCAACTCAACAAGGCCTCTATCCTTCTATACAAATTTGTTTGTACAAAAATCGCAACATCTCGTCCTTTTTCGCTTCACTGGTCATAGGAACTGCTTTGTTCGGGAATTTCAAATGCAGATAGCCATTCTCCTGACCCGTCGCAAGCTGTTCAGCTTCTAACTCCGCTTGTGCTTGCGCCTTTGCCTTAGCTTGAATATCCGCTTCTGCATTTGCGTCTCGCTGCCGAAGCCAGTCCTCGAAGCTGATGGGCTCAGTTGACTCGATCGTTCTGGCGCGGAGGAAGCGTTGCTGTGGTGATGTAGAAACAATAGTGGCCTTGATGTTGTCCTAAAGTAATACTTGATGATGAATATCCTAAATTGGGCTTGATGATGAACGATCCTAAATAGGTGGACTGGAATTGGAAGATTACTGGAAGATTACTTCAGAGGTAGGTTTTTGGATGTTCGTTTATCCCTTTTGTTTTGGCCGTCTCCCTTAGGAGAGCCATAACAAACGGTAACAAAAGCACCTTTAACCTACCCATAATTACTGGACCCGGAGAGAAGCTTACAACATGTAGAAATGACAATGGACAACCTGAACCTTTGTAAAAATACCTAAAAATAAGTGAAATCATACAAACTCCTCTGTCGGCTCCTCATCCACCTCGAACTTCGGAAAAAAGTCCGCCGCCTTCACAATAGGTTTTACATCCTCGTATTCTTCTGGTTCCGCGAATAACTCATCGAAGTCGGGGATTAGAGAAGTGAAAGTACCGTGTGCTTGCAACGGTAAAACGAATGTATTACATCTTACGATTTCTAGAATGATTTCAATTTTTGATTCTCACGTCAAGACAGGCATCCAGATGTTGCAGCAAGTGCTATGTAGAGAAGTCCAGTGCTGTGTATAGTTTGGTGCAGAGAGGGTATCCTCCGTACTATGGTACAGAGAGTATCCTCCGTACTATGTATAGAAGTTTGGTGCAGAGAGAGTACTATCCTCTTTCTTGTCTTCTCTTTCATGACGACCCAGTCTTAACAACAGCACTCTTTCTCTTGGCAAAGTGTCTTCGTCCTCCAAGCCCATGCCCTCCATACGCGACAACAAAGCATCTTGTCGAGTTGTCAACGCATGTTCCGCTTCTTCCGTCGCTTTTACGGCGTGTATGAACCGTCCACGGGCTGCAGTAGCAGCTTGCCACTTTGCTAGAAGGTCTTCCTTAGCAGGTCCGGGTCTTTTGCTTCGCGAGGATTAAAGGTCAGCAGTCAGTGGTCACTGATTCTGAAAAAAAAGGGCCCCATGCCTCTCCCTTTGCTTTTCCTTCATTTTCCCCTGTTCTCTCAAGAGGGATCTCAGTGACTAACCTCAAGAATGACCAATGAAAGTTGAGCCTTAAGAGGACTTGTCCTTGTTCCCCTGAGAAGAGAAGGCAGAGGAACGTTCATCCGGCAGCTCATCCATCTTTTGCGAGTTGTGCGCGACGACGTGCAGCAGTCACAGTCTTGTTTATTTACGAGACAACATGTCCATTTTTGTGATGCAGCACTGAGGTGGGCCCAACTGAACCATCTGGTAGGCCTTTGGTTCATTCATGTACCTAACAGGAGAGACCTTTGCGCCAATGGACTTCGTTTATTGGAAGATCTTCAGCTACTTGAGCAGCAGCAAATATCTTATGCGACATCCAAGCAGCGAGGGTATCGCCAGGGCAGGGAACGCATACGCAATAGGACCGACATGATCTGCGCTGTTGGCACGACTCTCTAGTGTACTGATGCAGGACCCTCGATCTCGACAGAATGTTATCAAATATCGTGGCTGCAAACTATCAGGAGCATCACATTCACATGTCTTGGTAATCGAAATCAATCATTTCAGCCGACTCGTGTCAAACCGATTAACAGAACAGCAATTTTTGCGGTTTAACGACTTCACTACAAACAGACAGAGCGTCGCGAAAACTAAAGCAGTCTCCAAGCGGAGACAAAGCGCAATTTCCACCTTCGATCGAATCTAAGTTGAAGGTAGCGTCTTTGTTTTGTTCCGTTTTGTGCGTCCTTGAGACAGACTACAAGATTGTGAATACAAAACTTGCAAAACTGTGAAATTCGATTCCGTGTCCGCCTCCGGGCATCGGCATGCAGAGGTACGGATAACTTATACCTAATTTCAAGTGGATAGCGATACTTAATTAATAGTAAGAAGTTCTAGACCAACTACTGCTACTGAGCTAGATCTTGCATGCTTTCTAACTACGAATGAAACTCCGTCACTTGTTCGTTAGCATGAGTAGTTTTTGTTTTGAATTTTCTCTACGACGTCGCTCTCGTGTATGAGCGACGTGCGAGTACATCTTGTTCTACATTTTACAGACAACAAAGTCAAAGATATTGATATCTTTGTTCTTGAAGTAGTAGCTTAATCTAAACAAAATTTACCTTGTTGTGCACCCGCGCACGAAATGAAGTTGAGTTTTGATTGTCACAAATTGTTGGAAGATGAAAAAAATGAAAAAAGTTCACGGATATGAAATACTTTTGCCAAATGAATCAGATGAAAATGATAAATTCTAAGCCCTGTTAGTATTCTGTGTCCTCGAGACGAGACTCCTGTTCTCCTAGTAGAGCCTCCTGTACTCCTAGGCCTAGTTTAGACCGTGTTGCGGCCACTCAGGTGCCTTAGACAACCAACGAGCTTTCTTCACCCTCAAAGCGTCGCATGAAGTCGCCGACCTGCGCCCTCAACTCAGGATCCTGTTGGTCGATCGGGTATCGCAGTAAGCTCGTACCCGTATCCCTTCCAGTCCCCAAACTAATGCGTCGTCGTGTAGCACCATCGGATTCGGAAAGGTCGGCCAGAGGAGATGAAGAGGGGACAAAGGTAGGGGATGGTAGGGGATGAGAAAGAGGGGTCGTAGGGGCTGGTAGTTGGTCCGAGCTACTGTTGTCTGAAGAATGAATGCGGTAGGCAGTTGATTAATAAGAACTATGACTTGAAGATGCTCTCGGGAGATCATTGAAATGAGCACGCCCAAAAAAAGTAAGATGCATCAACTAAAACCAATTCCAGCCATAAAAAAGAGAATGTGAAGATCAACAGCCCTTTCGTTGCCGCTTCTTGCCAAGCTGGTGCGAATCTCCGTAGAACGGCAGCCAACTCCTCGCATCCACCATACTTGAGAAAAACATTACCCCGACCTTCGCCTTTCTCGAGGAGGAGGCGGAGAACCTGTGGTGAGAAAACCGTGATGCGCGATTCATTCAATATGATCGTGTTCAAAGCGCTTACCAAAAAGAATCCCAGACCAAAGAATATCTTCACCAGGTGATGATGAGCCACCAAGTATTAACATGATGTACGAACATACATAGTTCGTTCTGCAGGCGGTAGAATTTTGCCGAGACCTCTAGAATTTTGTCGAGAACTCCGACGGCTAGAATTTTTGTGAATTACTAATTATTAGAGGTAGTTGTACCTTCAAAACTTCCTTCGTCACTGCTACATTCGTTGCGTGTGCCCGCACCAATCGCAGACATCGTTGGACCATGGAGTATTTCATCATCTTTCCGGATATCGTATCATCTAGCTGCATATCCTGCAGCATCCGACAAGCGTATATAACAACATCAGGCACGCGCTCGTACTGTTCTAGGATTTTGCCGCACACGATTTTGATAAGTTCGGTCTTGCCCTCTTGTTGGACTGATATTAGAAGAATTGAGAGAAATTTTGTTGAGAACGGAGCCTCCTTGGAAAAATTTTAATAATTGAGAAAAAAACGTCTAGAATCAAAATCAATCCAAAACCTCCATGTCCATAACAACAAAAGTGGCGGCAGTGTGCTCAGATTCTTCAATGCCTCTACCGTGATCCTCTCGCGTTTTGCATAGAAAATCAAAAGCGCCTTGACGCAGGTCCACATCATCTGGTGGCAGCACTCCTGGAGCAATGGCGCGTAGATGCCTCGCAACATCTGTGACGCTGTGTCTAGAAGCGAAAGGCCAAGCTCCACCTTCAACACGTACTCTTGATTTTCATAGACTGGTTCCCGAGCTTGTCTAGTGTGGTTTTTTCCTCCAGTGGCTCCTCCACTAGGCGTCACCAAAGAAACTGAAGTCTTGTTCATCTGATCCACTTTGGTCCCTCCTCCACGTTGATGTTCACTAGGCAGCGAGCTAAACGTTGCGCCGAACTGTGCAGTGGTATCTACATGTATTAAAGATTGAGCTGCTAGAAAAAATCCATCTTGCATATGCATGCTCCTAGCACCAGCTGAAAAACATGGATTTCTTGCTGGCAACTGGCTAACATGGATTTCCCTCAGACTTAACTGTAACGAATTTCCACCGACTTCTCCTGTCTTGTTAAACTTGCTGTCCTCATTGGAGCACAACTGATCCCATGCAGAAAGGAGATTGCCAAGGAAATTTGACGGGAGTGTTCCCTTCTTCCCAAGACTCTTGCTGGCACGCATGAATAATGCATGCCCGAGCTCCTCTTGCTTCACTTCGCCGCTGTCGGGGTGGCCGCCGAAGAGGGAATGAAGAGCAAGTCATAATGTTGGGAAAGAGATCATGATGTTGGAAGAGCCAGAGAAAGAGATGAGGTTAGGTTAGGTTATGGATCCTTCACCACGAGCCCCACAGGCATGTGGGAAAACAAATACAACTCGTTGGAAAAGAGCAAGGGATCTTCTAGCAAGTTGATGTATTCCGAGAAGTCCCAGCCATACCCATCTTCTCCCGTTATGCTATCCGGATGCAGGTGCACTGGGCTGACATCTGGAATATCCTCTAGCTCCGCATAAAAGGCTGCCACATCCTCGTTACCCGGAAAGAACGACTAGAGGTAGGTTTTTGGTGCTCGTTTCTCCCGTTTGTTATGGCCGTCCCCCTTAGGAGACCCATAACAAACGGTAACAAAAGCACCTTTAACCTACCCTTATCACGACTTCGTGGGTGAATTACTGGAACTAGTGCGTGCCATCATGCCTCCTTTGGCATTCAAGGCTAAGGAGTTGGCGGCGTAGTCGTGAGGATCGGGCCTGGAGGATGGTTGGAGATGTGTGTCGTTCTAGTTTGAGAATGTGTAATCATTGGTGTTGACAGGAGTAGAAGTGGTAGTGGTTGTGGTATGGGAAAACACGGATGTTTGATATCATTCTGCTACTCAACGTCGTCTTGATCATCGCTAGAGATACACTTCACAAATTCATACAAACACTACATAACACATTCTAAAAGCATTTAATACATCTTTATGACTACTCCCAGATGAAATACACTTCACAAATCAATTGAAACGTACGTAGAATTTCTAGTACGGAGGCACAGCCCCTTCCTGTCTCTTCGCATATGTCGCGACGACATAGGTCAACTTCCGGATGCTGTTGATGTAGACTTCTCTTCCAGCCGCCAGTTGGTTTTCAGGGTCTTCGTCGTCCTCCTCTTCTTCGAACTCCAGCTTTAAGCACTGGAGATCGATCTTCTTCATCAAAACCCGAATCAGCTGAGAGGCTGAGCGGAGAAGCGTACCGTCTTCTAGGTTCTCCTTGAGGTCGGAAAGGAAGAGGAAGCCTGAAAGTGGGGTTGCTCGAGTAGTGAAAGATAAATAAGTGCTAGCTTCACTATTAACCCTGTGCTTGAAGTGGGAGTGCGCGTTGGATTGGGTCTTGTAGAGGAGTTATTTGAGGTTAAGACTGCAGCGCCCGTATCCGCTATGATCATTCTTTCTGTGACGTTCGTCGTACACTGCACGACATCACTCATTAAAATTCAAAAAATCATAAATATTGAGGATATAATTACAGCAACAGCGAGCAGCTGCAGCATAGTTGTAGTTGTACTGAAATCCAGCAAGTCCCTCATCAGCTGCGTTCGTTCTTGAATCTGCTCTGGTGACATTTGCCGAAACAAAGCTGCTAATGTTTGGAAACCCTCTTTGCAAAAAGCGACATCTTCGTTATGGTGCGACAGCAGATGAAACAATAGATACACCGCGTCATCCTCGCCAGCATTTGCCAGTACTTGCTTCGTGGCTTCGGCAGGGAGAGCGACTGGGAGTGGGTTTGGGACGCCGAGGGTGAAGACGGAAAGTTGTTGACTTTGTTTGTTGCTTTAATCATCAACATTGAGTTTATCACTGATTAGCATACCAGCCCCCAGACTATGCGATGCGCTGTGCCCTCAAAAGAGAAGACGACAGAAACAACGTGAGAACAGACATGGAGTAAGAACGTTTCTAGTTACCCGTCCGTATCAAAGTCTAAGAGTTTTCTTCAAATACAACACAACGTCCGAATCGCTTTCCAACAGCTGGTCTGCAGTTTTGTGCTGACGAAATGATACTTCGTTTAGAGCTGTCCGTAACTCATCTTTCAAGCGCATCCTTGAGAATAAGTATGGAGGAGAGCAGAGTATTACCCCCTTAGGTGGATACTCCTCCATACGTTTCAAGGATGAGTCCAAAGATGTATTAGGTACAGCCTTAATTCGATGCCCGTAGCAACAGGTCGATCGTTGGTTTGTGACATACTAGCGTCTCCTGATTCGCTTCGACTGATGCCAATCTACTAAGTGCTTCCCCAGCCTCCACCGCAACCGCCTCATGCAAAGCCAATAGCGGCAACACGAGGTCCACAGCGTACAGGTCCGTTTCGTTCGTCTGCTGCAGACACTGCAAGGCGTCTTCCGCGGACACAAAATTGCCACATCCGTACTCTAGAAGTAAATGCGCAGTCTTGGAATTGTCCCGCTGTAGCAAGGACTCGAGCGCCTCAGTCCAGAAGAGCTGGAAAAAGAATAGCTGCTTCACCTGAGTTTGGTCATCACGGATTCAGCTTCATCAAGTGGCGCAAGTGTGTAACTATTACCTAGATCGACCTTCCGGAACCCGCAGCATGCAAGAAACTACAACATTATTAACATAATGATGCTTAACCAGAAGATGGTACAGTACCATCTCCGGTCTCCTAAACTCTGCACCACTGACGCTGAGTTCTCGTACTGAGTCTACTAACTCGCTACTTATCGCCTCGGCGCTGTTCCATGGCAATTGTTGCGTTGCTTCTACGCCCATCGGCAAATTCATCTTCTCCGCATCTGCCGCGTTTCTTAGACTGATGTAAAGCAACCTCTAGTTGCTCTTTTCAATCACTGTTCGGCCTTTGCCTATGAGGACAGGCTCTGGCCTATGATGGCAGAAGCATCTGCTCACATCTAGTTCTTTAGCTCCTCGTTCTTAGCTCTCTTTACCAACTCAGAGTACTGCTTGGCAATAGAAGAATCAAGATTCTAGTACTTCTTAATTTCTAGTTCATCCATCACATCCTTTTTCACGAACTCGAACTACATCACGCCCTTAACTCCCTTTCTTTAATATGCGTCCTCAGCTCCAAAGTGACCTGCTCAAACAACCTCTTAGCTGCCGCAGCATCCGCTGTTCCTCCTTTGCCGTCTAGAAAGAGTCCTGCTGCGTCAGAGAACCGTGCTCTACACCCTTTCGACAGAAAGCGATGGCCCGGCATGGTGTCACTCAAGTAGTCTAGTTAGAGGTGCGCGTGGTCCATCCTGATTGTGTCTTCTCGTCCGAGCTTTCCGAGTTCCCCCCTTGAATATTATACATTATAGAGATGCGCTCCTAGTGGAGATTGACTAGTGGTAGATGTATCGCAGGTGTGGTAGATGTATCGACTAGTGGTAGATGTATCGACTAGTGGTAGATGTATCGACTAGTGGTAGATGTATCGCAGGTGTGGTAGATGTTGTATCGCTAGTGGTAGATGTATCGACTAGTGGTAGATGTAGCCTTAATCTGGATGTATCGCAGGTGCCCGGCTACCACTACTTCTAGCATGTCCCGCCATCCTCTCCGGATCGAAGTCTACAGGTATCGGCTCCGCTAAGCGTGGAGGCCGCTCGAAACTGACATGGTGCTCCTGATCTGAATGGATGTTTGTCCCACGGATTTAGAGAAGACCTTCCTGCGATTACCTACTTACAAAAAAGCCAGATAATCTGCGACTATCCGATAAAAAAATCATGACTGTGGTCCCGGACAAGAGTCCAGGCGCTGATGGTTTGAATCTATTCGGCAACATGCCTAAGAGTCCATGTACTATGTGCAGTCTAGTGCCTTAATCATCCCCATCATTGGGCGAAAAGCCATCGCCACCGTCCTCGTCAAGCTGATTGTGCTCCCCCTCGTCTGCATGAAAATCGTCTGGGAAATACTCGTCCTCCTCATCGTCTTTCGCTGCGATGGGAGGCCCGCCTTCGGGGGCAAGGCCCCCGCGATCGGGGTCAGGCATGATCCTGCTCTTTTTGTTGTATTTCTTCTATTTGTTTTTAGGAAAGAGTATGCGTACGAGTATGAGTAAGAACCTTTTTTCATGAAAGCTTTTGTAGAACGAATCAAAATCACAACGTTGAGAATCAAGTGGAGGCGGAGCCTCTATTTCATGTGCTCATTATATCCAACTCCGCGCTCCCTTGTTTCTTTCACCTAATGTCGTTTTTTTTGCAGTGGGTCCCCAGTACCTCACCTTTTTTGACTGTTCGTGATTATGAAAGTGCTTCCGAGTTGTATCTACTTTTACTTGACTACTCACTGTGTCCTCATTCGTGTTTTCCTTCCCCTCTCTCTCATTCTGCAAATCCTGCGACAGAATGCGCAGACACAACCTTTGGTATTACGAACAGGCCCAAGACTAGTGTTAGCGAAACTTTGTGTAGCGGAAGTGGTCTAAATTTGGATTTGTTCTTGGATTGGCTTTATCTGATCAAGGTTCTGATCCCTGTGATTTAAGTGAAATTGATTTGCGGCTCGTGTTAATCTTAGTTGGAAAATTGTTCCGGCATTGTGAGGAAAAGTGATTTGGTTTGCCATGGAGAGAAAGTATCCTTGAAAAAACTGCTAAAGCTCTTAGAGCCTCCCTTCTACACGCATGCGGTGCGTCAAAAGTATTCAAAATATCATAGTCTCCTACATCGCCGTGGGCCAGCGTCACGTCGAAGCTGGCGTCGTTGCGGCAGCTGGTGCACCGTTTGCCGCACTAGCCGTAGACGATGATATGCGAATTCCTGGTATGTTGAAGCCCGTCGGTGCAGCGAGAGGACCCGCTGCAGGAATCATTGTCGGAACAACACTTCCGGGTGTCGATATACATTTTAGAGCAGGTCGTAAGGGTGGACTTCTGAAACAATGCAAGAGCAATTTCTCGGATCCAATTAACTTCTACTTTCACAAATTTTTCGATGCCACGCCAGAAGCGTTTTTTCGAAAATTTCATAAGTAAGACGATGTCACGCCAGAAGCGCTTGATACAGAAGGTGTCGGTGGCAACGAGGTAGGAATGGGAGCGCCTGAGCTCGAGATGTAACTTGTCGCAGGAGGTACTACGGAACTAGTGCTTGTTGTACTGGCAGGCAGAGCGCATTGCTGACCTGAGGATCGATCACGAAGAGGGTTGATGAAGAAAAGGTGCAAACTTCCCTTTTGGTTCAGAACTTCTTAGAGGTTATGTACTCCGCACAAAAACTTCTCAGTTAGAGGCGAAAGACAAAAAGAGTTGTCATCATAGCAGAAATAATAATAATAATAATAATAGCGGGGGCAAGGTGAGCCCGGGGTTTGGTGGGCTGTTCACTACAGTACTCCACGCACCATGCATCCGGTGCAAGACAATAGGAGCCAGCCTAAGGACTACCTTAAGGTCCGGAGCGCCTCCAAGGCGCAGAGTTGGTTATTGGCAAAATTCAGCAGTTTAGTTAGAAGCCGGACCGCCACGCCAAGGCACTGCTGTCAGTCCGGTTCCCGCCCTGGAGTACAAGAACGGGAGCGACAAAATTGCGATGGTTGCTGCGTGAGGATCCGCGCACATCTGAAGCCAAAATCGACAAAATTGCGGGGCAACGAATTCGGGGGGAGGCAAAATCGGAAACCAAAAGGTCAAAACTGCATATCGAGACTGGATAGGAGGGGCATCTTCAGAACCGCAAGAGCGAGGGCAAAACAACAAAACGTCAAAACTGCAAGGGAGAGCCAGCCGACGGCTGGCTACTCCTCGCCAGCGTCCGCCTCCAGTGCGATTTCTTCTTCGGCGATCGCACACGACCACGCGGCTAGTTCTTCCGCTGTAACCGGGAAGCGCACTCTCTGGGTGCAAGCCAAGAGTTGAGCCGGCGTATCCGCATAGCGCTGGCATAAACTGCATGGCCGGAGACGAAGACCAGACTCCGTGACCCATTTGTTCCGGGACCCATTGACCAAGGTGGCGCCCGCAACTTGGGCCCTTCTTGAACCAGCTCCCGCCCACTGCGCTAGAATGCTGCGGAGCATGTTCCGATGCGTCTTTCTGGTGACGTGCAGTTTGCTAACCGCCGCGCCGCTGAAGCTGGGCACTGCAAGCGCCAGAGCCCGAAGGGTGGCCGCCTCCTCTTCTGCAAGCTTGCACTTGATCGACGCCCGTAAGCACGCCGGGGTAGGATTGAAAGGCCAGCTGCCCAATATACCAGGCGACGCGCAGCGAGTGGCGTGCGAGACTATGGCATCCTCTACGTCATGAGGAGCGCAGCCGACGTGGCCGGGAATCCACTGGATGCGTACTTCGTGTAAGGCCGAGCAGGCAGCCACTAACACCCTGAGGCACTGCGTTTCCGCGCCGCCTAAGTCAGATCTGCCGGCGCACGCGTTGGAAAGCATATCCACGAGACTGCGGCAATCCGTGACCAGGGTGAGCCTGAGCCCCTGCCGCGCCCTGTCGTAGCCTTTTTGCTCCTCGTGTTTGTTCTTTGCGACAGCCAAGAGAAGACCCATCGTGGCGGCTCTGGTTTCCATGGAGTAGCTGGAGGGGACGCCGCCGTATAGCTCCACCTCCGCAACAGCCTCACCCTGGTAGAAGACGACAGCCCCTGCCGCTCCAATTTGGTTCGCGTTGAGGGATCCGTCGGTGGTAACTACGAGCTCCTCTGGGTCGTGGATGCGGCGCCGGAGGGGGGCCGCCGACTCCGGGCCGTCTGTGTATACGAGAGTCAAGCGCTCGCGAACGATGGGCGGCGCCTGCCACGACTGAAAGCATTCAACCGAGCCCGCAGACCATCCAGCGGCCGTAAGTGAGGCGATCGCCTGTGTTACCCACTCTCCGGCAAGGCATCTGGGCGGCGGCAACTCGGGCGCATAGCTGTGATACATCGGCTTCGACAGAGGGGGCACTGGATCGCTTGTCTTGTCCTTCGGGCGTCCCCAGTGTCGGATCGCTTTCACCATAGCCATGGTGGCCGCCGATTCACCCGACAGCGCGTGCGTGCTAACTGGAGTCGAGAGCTCCATGAGCCTAAGGCCGGCGCGTAGTGCGCGGCCTGCGGTGCGACTGAGACCCGGTACCTGTGGGCACGAGAGGTGCTGGAGGCCTGTTGGCGGACCGCGAAGGACAGCGTCTAAGGTGGTCGCCGTGCGATATGTGAGGACGTTGTAGACCGAATGAAGCCCACTTGTCAGCCAGAGAGCCTCGCGGCGTGTGGAGCGCCCGGCCCCAGTAACGACCCTGGCCGCTGGGTTAATGCATCTGACGTTAATGCGCAGGAGAGCTTCCTGCTCTATGGTGTATCCGTAGGCATCAATCCCGTAGGCGATTATGTGCTGGATTAGTGCGACTGCTGTGAAGGAGAGCAGCGACATCTCTGCGCCCCATCTGAGTGCCTTTAGACGTTTGAGCACGGCTAGTCGTGGCTCGATCTTGCGTACAAGTTGGTCCACGTGACTGCGGAAAGATAGGCTCGGATCGAAGTGGACGCCTAAGACGCGAAGCGACGAGACGACGGTAGCCGGAAGAGGGTGCTCCTCTGGGTTGTCTGCGGCGTCGCTGTTGTCGCAGGCGCGTTTCCTTGGGCGACCTGCTTGGAACGTGTCGGAGGGCCTGCGCAAGAAGGAACTAACCTCGGCGAAGAAGAACCCCTTTTGCTTTTCTTCGTCCAGAGATAACCCAAGGACTGCGATGTAGTTGCTGATGGCGTCTATTGCCTTCCGGGCCGATGCTGCCACTTCTGCGTAGGTATTGCCGCTAACGTGGAGAGTATGATCATCCGCATACAGTACCAGCTCCACCCCAGGCACTTCTAGATGTAAGAACTCGAGCACCACATTCCAAAGCCACGGGCTCAGGCATCCTCCTTGTGGTACGCCGGTGGTAAGTTGATACCACGATCCGTACTGCCCTGCTACGCGGGGCCTGAAGCGTCGGCCTCTGAGCCAAGCCCAGAGATAGCGGCGCGCAATTACGCACACCCCTTTCCGCTGCAGGTTTCTCAGCAGAGCTCGGTGGCACACACTGTCGAACGCCCCTCGGACATCGAGCGACACTAGCGCGTGCACTTTCTTCTCCCGCGCGGCCCGCTCAGCTAACTGCACAAGGTGAAGGCAGGCGTGCTCGGCGCCAGTATGGGGCTGGTACGAATACTGGGTGACCTTCGGACAGCGTCTGGGGACGTGGTGCCCATGAACTCTCTGTAGGCGTAGGAGGCAGTCCTTCTCGAGAAGCTTCGCTTTGGTTTTAATCAACGCAATCGGTCGCTTAGACGATAGGCGCGGGTCTAGTAGTCTCCCTGGCTTGTCGATGAATATCTGCTCGATATCGCCGAAGCTCCGCGGCAGTCGGGAGCTGGAGTAAATGCACTGATAGAGCCAAGCCAGCATGTCTGGAAGGGGACCGAGCCCCCAGGCTCCCATTGGGATTCCATCTATACCCGGCGCCTTGTCCAAGTGAACGCTGTGTAAGGCCGCAATGATGTCGTCGCGGGTGACAACATAATCTGACTCCTGGCCTTCTTCGGCATCTTGGGCTTCCCCGAGAAGCTCTGCATGCTCTTTCGCCGTGAGGCTGCCATGGTCGTGACTGATTTGGTACTTGGTGGCGTAGTTTACCCCCAGCGCATCTGCCTGCTCCTGTGCAGTGGAGTATGTGCGGCTCCCATCTTGCAAGGGACGAAGTGGAGCACGTAGAGGCATGCGGCCATCCAGGCGCGCGAGGTGCCTCCAGTATCCGCTTGGGGCTGTGACGCGGAGACTGCTTATGAAGTCACGCCAAGCCTGGCGCTTGCCAGCGTCTAGATTCTGCCGGGCGCTTTCTGTTTCCTCGTCACTTGAACCACTGCCATCTTGTTCGACGATGGATCGGCTGGGCGTCGGCGGAGCGAGTGCTACTGGCTGCACGCGTCTCTTGTAAGGGCCGAAGGCTGTGACTACGGTCTCGGTAAGGAGGTGATCCAGCACCTCTACGTCGGACGTCTCGTAGTAGGTCTCATCCTGTAGCAGACTGTCGTGGAGCTGGTGCAGGTGATCCACGATCCGCGACTCTTCCACGGCGTGCCAGCGGTATCTGCGTTTCCTCTCTGGAAGGCAATGAGGGTGGCCTATCGTTAGCCCTAACACCAGAGGGCGATGGTCACTGAGGCCTGTTCCTGGCACCGGGAACGCATGCCCATGCCCTTCTTCCGTGTCTTGGAGGAGGTTCGAGAAGATGGGGTCGCCGCTGGATCGCCAGAGGATACGGTCTGGGCATGTGCGCGGCGAGTGGGACGGATACGTATTGCCACTCTGAAGCTCCGTGAGCTCGTTTTTGTCCAGCCACTCACGGTAGCCGGTATGCGGATTCAGGTCGCCAGCAACCAAGAGAGTCCCACTCGACCACTCGAGCGCAGAGATTCGGTGTCGGTCTAAGCGTGTTCGTGGTGGCGCGTAGATGCCGAGCACTCGGAAGACAGCCCAACTTGTGCCCGCTGGTTCGCATGGCGCGGAGAAATCAGCAAAGCAGACGTCTGGCGATGGGTGGATCTTGCCCAAGGTAGAACTTGGCGTCTTGGCCTGTGACTCGGCGCCCGGCCTGGACGGCGCAAGACCGCACCTGGACGAGTGCAGGATGGCTACGCCCCCACTGCATTTGAAGCGACGATCTGGTTGGTTCGTCGCACTGGTCTCGCGACTACCAGGAGAAGACGCGGCAAGATGCAAGTCGATCTTCTTCAATGGCCGCAGCACGTTCTGTAGCTGCTCTCGCGTGGCGTGGTGTGTTTCCGTGAGGACAACGAGGTCCTTGCCTCTGAGCTGCTCCGTTAGCGTCGTGACTTTCCCGATCAAGCCATTGACGTTGAAGGCTTCCATAATCAACCTACCCGGCGCGCTTGTGTGTAGCGTCTGTTGACTGGGGGGGCGAAGCTGCGGCACTTCCGCGGCACACCATCTTCCGCCCCCGCGATGGCGATCGCCTAACCTTGTGGAACACTGGCGCCAGTGGTCTCGACCGTTAAACCACAGCCGTGCCACGCGGTCGGCACTGGCCGAACCTGACAGCGGAACGAAGGCCCGAACGTCATGCGCGATGGGGTCAATACTGTCGCCATCCTTGGCGTAGCGGGCGTCTCCACGTGCAACATACGCTTTCACGGTCACTCCGAGCGCGTCAGAGATCGCCTGGATCTCTGTGTCTCCAGCCCACGTCCCTGGGGTGTTCACCATGGTAGCCAGCTCGTCGTCTGTCGGGTGGTCCTTGCCGATCTTGGTGCGCAATGCCATACGGAGCTCCGTGCGAACAACAATTCCCCAATCTCCCGGAAGGGTCGTGTCCATGTGTCGACGTAGCCAAGAGCTGGCCACTTGCCTCAACTCCGTCGCGGTGATCGATGGCACCGCTTTGATTTCTTCAAGTGAAGCAGCCAGGGAGAGATATAAGCAGTCTCCATTTCCGCCACGGTCCACAATGCGGAGTGCTGTGGGCTCTGCGGTTGCTGCTTCGTCAACGGGTGGCAAGCTGGGGTCTCCTGGGTAGATGCCCGTCGCGGGCGGCTTCCCTCGATGGTTCTTGCGGAATGTGGTGTCGGAGGTCTTGCAGCCTCCTTGCGCCTTTGGAACTCTGCCCGTGTCCGCGAAGGTGACCCTGCGACGCTTTTCTGGAGGAGAATGCTCCTCGTCTCCGTCCTGCGAACTGTTGATCTCTGTCTGCTCGATCAGGCTGGTACTCTCCTGGGAGGAGACCCCGGCAGATGGCGTGCTACGCGACCCGGATTCTGCTCCTGGCGTGGTTTCCTGTTGCTCGTCGCGTGGTGGCGGGATGCCCGGCCCATCTACGTAGCGCTCCTCCATGCGAAGGCATAGCTCGCTTATTTCTAGGGGCTCACCTTTTCTCCTCCTGGTGTACGCGTGATCGCATCTGGAGCCTAATAGATGTTCGATCTTGGCAGGGGCTATTCCTTGGTCGGTCAGCTCTGCGAGCCAGCCCGCTGCTGTTAGTCCGGAGGTCGGCTGCTGGTGCAAGCTTCATAGCAGAAATGGCCAAAGGCGTTTTGATCTTTCGGCAAAAATATTCAGATATCATCGTCGACTAGCAAGCTTTACAGAACATTGTTTTTAGCAGCAAGAAATCCAATCACCATCTCCTTCAGGCGCAAATTACCTTTACAAGATCATAGACCGAGCTCAAAAACTCTAGTCCGAAAAATTTGTCATCATTGGAGATGGAGATGTGGAAACCCTACCGAAGCACGGAAGATGAAGTTTAAGAGTGTACTTGCTCTTGTGACGGCAGCCAAAGCTGTCTGTTGCGCTTGGTGCTGCTGCAACATCTGCTGCTGCATGTAAGAATGCCGCAACATCGCTTGCTGTTGCGCTGCTAGATCCGCTTGGAGTTGGTGGGCAAAATTAGAAATGGGAGAGGCTGCTGTGGAATGAACCATCGGAAATCAACGTGAAAAATCTGCCAATGTGAACCATAAGAAAAGAGGCCCCACCGGAAATGGGCTGTCGCTGACGGAACTCCCGCACTCGCTCGCCTATGTCTGAGAAGACTTGCTGCAACCTTACTTTGTGACCTGGAAGCCACTTGACACTATTGAAAGACTCTATGTCGACCAACGTATCGGTAGTTAGCGTTGCTAGCGTCTCCAAAGTATCATATCCAGCGTTAGTGAAGTGGGCTGATATCTGGGAACAGAAAGAGGAGGATCGAGTCCAAGTACAACGCTATACAATACAATTAATCTCGCACAGAGTTCAGCGCAGACTGCCCCGGTCCGATTGACTGAGGAATGGACGTCCTAAAGCGCTCAAGTGCGGAGAGACTGCAACGAAATGGTGGCACGAAAACAGTAGATCGAAACAGAGAGGCTCTTGGAAAGAGACAAGAATGGAGTGGAAGGCAGAATCGAGAGACTTATGAGCGCACTTTTCACGGTCAGACATCTAAGGAAAATTTGTCCATCAACTGCAGCTCCTAAGAGGAGCCACATCTTCGGACCTTTACTGCGAATGTTTGAGAAACGGTGATAAAAATCGAATCTCAAGAGTGTCATCATGTGTGAGAGTGCGCATGTAAGAAACAGTGTGGAACTACCGATCGTAGGAGCATAAGAGCAGTAGCAGTGATACTTGCACCGGAAGAACTGGGGGTGCGTGCATACTTATTCACATCTATCATCATATTCCACCACGAAACAACAACTTCCTGATCAGAAACCTGGTTGATCCAAAAACTTTGCACATGGATCATGGTCCTGTGCCTGCCTAAGCAAGCTCAGAACTCACACATCCATTGCAAATGGTCTCATCCTTTGGGAGCGGAAGTTTGCTTTGTGGTGTGGTGGAACCATCCACGATCGAGTTACTCGTTCGACAAGGATCTTCAAGTATAATAGGATAGACCGAGGAAGACCAAAGGACGTAATATCCCCTCAAACAAACAGAATCTTTCGAAGAAGAATAAGTAAGACCCACCAGCGAAGTAAGTAAAAGTATCCAGCAAAACCTGTGTGCTGATCTTGTGATGCTTGAAAAATTGCACGACTTCTTGCCGCTCTTGTTCTAGTTCAGGATCAGCGTTCCATATTGAGGCAAAACCATGCAGGTGTTCCGAATAGTTCTTACAGAGAAAATCGACGATCGGAATTAGAGGGATCATCTCAGAGCCAGATACTATAGTATAGCTGCAGCACCTATTAGGGACGGCCAAGATTCCTCACAATTGTGGCTCTTCCCTATCATTGGCTAGCATGCCAATTCCTGGTACATCAGTTTTCACAATCTATAATGCACCCATATGATTCTCGGCTATTTTGTCTCCCCGCAGCCTTAAGAAGTGTATCGGATTTGACGGATTCTTGACCTCGATTTCCTTTCCGATGCGTGTAAACAGCGTCGCCACAGCTTGCATGTGGGCTGGCATGCCAGCCTGGCCTCCTCCAGATGCAAGAGCAAGAGGCCTGTGAAGGTGGACTAAAAGAGATACTTGACAATATGTTCATCATGGGTAGACGAAGTGTCCTTAGTTACCTTTTCAGAGTCAGACCTTTCACAGCACATCACGCTCTATGAATCCCGGAGTCACAGAAGAACAACAAGCCACACTCACAATTCCAGAAAACAATACCCGCCGGTCTGACTCATCATTGCGCCAGTCTGCGTATGCATTGGACTGTTCGGTTGAGTGTTATCGTATCCGGCGGTCATGCTTGTGCGCTGGTCGCCCGTCAGGACGCTAGACTCAGTCATGTTTTTCGCGTGTAACACTTACACAATGTGTATACTGATAGTCGAGCACACACAGCGACGTATTTGGTCAACCAATGCGCCAGTAGACAAACTATGGTATTCGTAATCGACCTATTTCGTACAGAGGCCTGCTTCCAATCCTTTTTAGCTGAGGTACACTTTTCCTACATGTTGCAAAAGCCTCCTGCCCATAGAGAATTTCGTGGACTACCTAGAGGAGTCTACTCTCCACGTCACTCTTGCAGATGCACAGATCTGAAGAAAGTAACTTAACCGACGATTTCGTTGCCAGTGCCGTCATGGTTGTAGTCTCACATGTTCTCTTTTTCGCAGTGAGTACCTACCTACCGCTCTGGTCACGTCACTCCATGTATTGCTGCTTCGTACACTTCAATCTAAATTTTGACCGACAGGTGGAGGAGTAACCGAACATATCCTGCATACGCAGTCGGGTGCAATAGAGGCGCCGTTTGCCCACGAACACCAGTATTCTTTCTCTGTTTTCGTCTGTTGGCACACACGCCGCGCGGCTGTACCATTCCCCTTTTGTCAGACTCGTCTCCTTCTCAGACTCAGATAATCAAAACGAGTGTTCTTGGTTCATGATCCGATCCTGTTCTTGCATCAGATGCGATCAGATGTGCCGCCACAAGCTTCCGAATTCGAAAGAAATTAGACAGTCACGGTCCCAAGACTCTGCTACACACTGCCGCTTCGAATACCATCGACAATGTTGTGCTTCAGGCTCTCCAAGTACAGACTGATGATGACGTTGTAGAAGATGATGCTCTTACATCTTTCCCTTGAAGTTCTTGGCGGCGCCGCCAGCCTTGGACTTCTGCTGAGGAGCCTTGTTCTGCTGCTTGTTCTGCTGCGGCTTGGCCTGCTGCGGCTTGGAAGCCTTCTTGGTCTGGCGAGCCTTGGCTTCCTTCACAGCGGTCTCCTTAGCCTGCTGACGCAAGTTGTCACGCTGGTTGCGCTTGGCCTTCATATCCTCGAGGGTGAGACCGGCGATAGCCTGTTGGTTTTAGGTTTGATTTCGTAGATTTTGAAAGATTGCTTGACACCCGTCGTCAGATACCAATGATAAACAACATTTCCAATACACACTTCAGTCAGGACAGAATGAGAAACTGCGAGGATGGGCGTCTACCTTCGTTATCAGTAGGAGGTGCTCTTCACATTCTAAGTACCTTCTGCTGCTTGGCGCCCTTCTTCTTGGCACGACGAGTGTTGACCTCGAGCTTACCTGAGAGAATTTAGATTGGAGAGTATGAGGAAAGAGTCTGGGTGATATTTTGGTACAAACGAGCTTTTACAGCTGAGACTTCGCCTTTGCGTCCACGGAGAACACTAACATTTCGAACTTTCGCAACACGCAATCACTGCTATAGTCGAACCTAAATCTGGGTCGATATGCCAGAGACAATCTAAATCTTCTAAATTTTGCTATTCCACTAAATGTGGCCGAAAAAAGAGAAAAAGCAAAGCCAAATCAATCTGTACCTTTCTTGTTCATGCGTCTCCAAGCCTGGGACCAGGTGAGCTTGACGGCCTTGATCTTCTGGTGGAACAAGGAGTCGGCCTTGGCGGTGAGGAAGAAGGAAACCTTACCATCCTTGGCGACGAACTTCTGACCACGTCCCGGGTAGATCTTGTACTCGGTGTAGCTGCACAAATCCGTCTTGACCACCATTCTGTCCGAGTCTTTTTTGTACTAAATAACTAGTACTTTTGTGAGTCTGAAGAACCCGCAAGACGAGTTGCCCTTTTCCCTGTTTGTTAAAATAGCGCGAAAAAGAAGTAAGAAGTCGTTGTCGTCAGAGAAGGCAGTACCCAAAGTGAACATGTGCTCGTTAAGCATTTTAAGGTGGAAAGACCTACAGCCTCACATTTAGGTTCAACCTCATTAAGAATCGGGTCTTCTCACGGTTCTAGACCTTAATCACTCAAATCGGGGTATCTTTGGCAACGTGTGTCGATCTTGGACATTTAGTCAAAAGACAAGGAGCTTGACGAAATTTAGATTTTTGTTTTTCACCTGATACCCACAGAGCCACTGAATTTAGATTCTGACCTTCCTTCGTCTATGATCTCATGGCTCATTTCCTTCTTCACGTTAATGAAATCTGGTCAGATTTGGATCATGCTAGTTTTCGGAACTCAGTTGATAAATCTGCCGAGATCCTCTTTCAACCAAAAGTCTTCTGGATCTAAATTTCACTTTTAGAAACTCTTGATGACACCAACGCACTGGCACCAATCGTCAGGTTTGATCCTCAATTTCACTCTAGTTACGCGATTGAAGGAACATGGCGAACGAGAAAGATGGCGAATGTCCCACATGATTTCTTTTTCTTGGATACCAAGATCGGGATAAAGAACTTCCAATCTTTATTTGATTAACGTCGCCTACTAGAGGTTTAGATTCTAAGCATAAATTCAAAGTTCGCTCGTCGCTAGTTTAGTTGTCAATTTGGGATTCATCATCGTCATCCGAGTCGTCCGATTCGTAGTCGTCGTCACTGCTAAATTGGGACTTTTCTGCTTTAGGTTTCGATGGTTTTCCTGGTCGCGCAGGTCGATTCGCAGCTAGTTTTGATCCGGGCGAAGCGCCGCTGCGGATCGGGTTGGGATTCTTAGAGATCAGCTATCACATTGCCGTTGGTAATGGAAATGGTGTTGGTGATCTACGTACTCTGGCATCTTCGGACTCGGAGATCAACAGTTTGATTTCTTAAAAATGGGAATCATGTAGGATGACCGAAGATTCCCGACGAGATCAATGGCTAGGCAAACACTGAGGCTGACCCATCAAATCTAAACCATAACTTTCTTCGGAGATCCTGGCCCAGCGCTTTCGCCTCCTCCATAGTTCGAAGGGACGTAACCTAAAGAACTATTTTGTCCATACAGCGCTTCTAGATTTTGTCTCTGTTCTCTCTGCTTGGGATCTCGCGTAGCAGTTGCAGCTTCACGGTCTGAGGAAGTGTAGCCCGCGTTGTCATCGTCTCCGCGGGGAATGAAAGCTTTGGTAGTTTTTATGCTGGGGAATGATCGGGAGGATCAATAATTTGCGATTTCTATACTCCATTTCCGAATCAAAAATCAAACACGGAGTTTTCCATGCAGGAAATTTCATCCATAAACCTCAACCGCATTGATCCTCGATTCGCGCTTCTACTTCGTCTTCCTCCCGCTGCACTATCCGACTCCGTTCCTGCACCACCAGACTCAACACCCGCAGTCTGCTGATTCGCCTTCTTCCTCATCGAGGATCGGTGTTTCTTTTTCCTCGCCAGCTTCGTCTTTCTGGCTATCTTACAACTCCGTCTCCTCGCATCATCTAAGGCCGTTGCGTGATCCCGTGAGTCGTCTATTTTTAAGCGTTCAGGCGACAAGAACATAAACCAAAATTTCGTAAGAACATCGAGGCCGACGTCAGTGTAAGCATACTGCCAACGCGGAATACCCAAGTGGGTGATCATCAGCCGGTAATAATCGGTAAAACTCGAAGCAATAAAAAACCTAAATTTTTTCATTTTCTTGAGTTCTTGTTTTCTCATGAAGATTTTCATTGTGAAAAGCACACGCCTCAAGCGATTTGTTCAGACAATATAATCAGACACCGCATACTACAGTAGAGCCAGAAAAATATTGTACCACGTTCCACTGACATCCTGGAACCAAACCGAAGGTGGCAAGTAGTGTGCACCGTTCCTTAGAGTTAAGCGAACTGAACCTCTATCTACAAATTCAGACAGAGACCGCAACGTCAGCGAGATGGACCCGTCTATATTCGCGCAGCTTTGAAGTTCACATCACGACTACCTCAAGAAGTTACTCTACTGCAACTGCATCTACGATCTCTATCTCACTTCATCTAGGTCTAAAGTCATAACTGCAACTGCATCTAAGTCTAGTGCATCTACGTCTACTGCATCTGCATCTAAGAGTCTAAGGTCATAACTTCCCAGGTCCCGGCGGATTCTTCATCGGCGTATACTTCAACGCGACTCGACCGCCTACACACTTGCTATCTAAATCAAAGTATTTCGTCTTTTGATTTAGTTCGGCGCCTTCGATGGCTGCTAGCTTTACTTGCTCGATTAGAGTCTGCTAGATTGCAGCTCCGCCACCTCATCCTGGCCACTTGTGCCTTGTATTTCATGAGAATACATATACAAGGGAACAAAGGGGTACCAAGATGGTTAGGTTAGGTTATGGATCCTTCACAGCGAGCGGACCCCGAGAAAGATGGACACTAAATGTTGACCTTAACTCTATGCCGTTTAGGTACATGCAGCCGTAATATGAAGCTAAAATCTATTATCATTGTCAGACTTTTCTATTCGATAAACTGAAAAAAGCGAGCATCTACTGAAAATCAGCGAGATACTACACAAGGAAGAGTAGCCCTGTCAGAGGTCAGTCACTCGGTTTACTTCAGTTTTCAAGTACTTAAGAAGCCTGATAATGATAACAGATTCATACGTAAGGAACCGCCTTTCCACGGATCAACGCAGACCATTTCAGGTAGAAGCCGTTGGTTATTCGCCCAGTTAGATGACAGTTATTGAACTTCTTGAGTAAAAATCAATGTCAATCGTGCCACGCTCGTCGATTAGGTCCCTTGAATCGAATCTCCTTAAGGATCTTCCACAAAAGGTCAAATATGAGCTCCTGCGTCTTCACACTCCATCTTCTGGGTCCCAAAAGCCAATTTAATCTTGGCGCCTTAACAAAAAATCCTTGTAGTCATCCGGAAGCTTGATTGGCGCATGTTCCTCTTCCCATTTCTGGACGTCGCCCAATGGCGACTCCACCGGCCCCTGGAGCGTGATCTCAGACACCCCCTCGTGTCCCTCAAGATAGCTCACTGCCGATAACGACAGATCGTCGTAGTAGCCGATCCGCTGCTTAATGCTCATCTTTTGGTGGTCTGCTTCTTAATGGTGGTCTGCTTCTTAATGGTGGTCTGCTTCTTAATGGTGGTTTGCTTCTTAATGGTGGTGCTTTATGAAAGTAGGGGCAGTGGGGGAGCTTCGATTGCATCAGTTTTCTTTTGTATTTGAGGAAGCAGCGCTAAGCATCTTGAGACTCTTGGTCCGAGCCTTTTTCAGTGGAAGAAACCGTCCCTTTTCTCGATTGAGATAGGCGGGTGTCTATTGGAAGGGTCACTCTTTCGGGTGGCGAAAAAGATAGAGAAACACACTCCTCAGAGAATACTCACGTATATCTTTTGCTCCTCTGTCTTACAAATCGTTGCGCTCTGTCGCTCGTCTCTCCTGGATCCAGGGATCACGCAAAACCAACGTCGTCGCATTTGAAAAAAAAAACAACCGGCCCACGGAATTCACCTTTGCAGAGCATGCAAGAATCTTCTCCCATAGCCAAAATAGTGCGACAACGACGAGCAGCGGTCTTCTATTACATTACATTGAGTTTGTTCTTATGCGTCATGATTGACAGAAGCCCTGAAACAATGCAGACAATGGCTGTAGTTGTGCCCTGACGAGTGTCCCCGCTTTGTCTTTTTCTAAATTTTCATAGTTTATGTAAAAATGGTCATACCCCACCCGACTTCTATCGAGCAAGGAAGGGTTCGACATCCGCAGATGCTGCCCCCTTCCTGATAAAAAAGAAGCGGGCCGATCAGGGTACCCAATAAATCAACTACGCAAGAATTTCAATATCTACTCAGTTCGTCTTAGCTCATCGCTATGAAACTCCTGGTCCTGCATACCGCATAGCATCGTTATTATTCAGCGATAAACCTTCTACTTACTCGAGCAAGCGTAAGAGTCTCTTCGCAGCATTTGCGAATAAAGTCGTAAGTAGCTAGACCTTTGGAGAGGACTTTCGAACGCCGTGCTCCCTGGAACCCCTATACCACGTGATTATCCGACGCATTGGCCACACTGCAACTACCCGTTTCTGATGTCGCAGCATGGATCGCTCCCCCCAATCCATGCGCGCTGTCTGACAATAAACTAGCGCCCACATACCCCGGACGAACGTGAAAAGAGTGAAGGTGTGGGTAAGGAAGTTGTCAGTCGTAGTCCCTGACTATTGCAACCTGCAGAGGAGGAACAGGCCGTGAGGTGTGTCGACGTGACGCTATCGACTCTCTCATCGCTCGTAGTATCGGTCCAGGGAAAAGCAAGGACGAAGAGGAAGGTTAACTAGATTAAAAACTAAATAACAGATGCATCAGCCCTTGGCGTCCCACCCCTTAGGTCCTAGGTGGAGGACACTGGGGGGTGGGTGCTCGCAGAGGTGAAAAATTTGGAACAACAATCTTATCTTCCTATCACCCTTGCACCTACTGGTGATGGAAAGTTGACATCGAATGAAACTGATAATGATGAACTACACCTAGAAATCTAGATCTAAGGAAATAGAAATTCAACACCACTCAGGACTTGTTGCTCCATAGCACCGACCTTAAGGTAGAACGATCAATGGGCATAGCAGGAAAGATATTACTGTCTTTTGATTCTACTCCTAGTGAGTACGACTACAATAGTACCTTCAGTTCGAAGATGACTTACAACTACTTACTGATCGACCCTAGAAATCATGACCCAACATCTACTCACAAGTTAGTAAGGCTGTATGCGTTACTCGATCCCAACACACCTGGAAACCAGGCATGACGAGGACGAGCCGCCAACTTAAAACATCCCGCTCCTCCGACTTTCAGAGTACCACGATAAATAACTGATTGAGATTGTCTAAATACAGGTATAAGGAATCGGTAAAAACAAAATCTACGACAGAGCAACGTGTTTCTTCCCACTTGCATCCGCTAGGGACACATGTGAAGACGCTATCGAGATTCATGACGATTGAAAGACGACAAAACAACCAAGAAAGACAACGACAAACAACAACAAAAGCAAAACAGAGAGAGTGAATATTTATCAAAGTGTCAGTCACATCGAGATCATGATAGAAAAATAGTGATAGATTTAGTTGGAAGTGGAAGAATAAAAACAATAGGAAGAAATAGCCCAACTACCACAACACGAAGATGTTATCACAAGGACAACGTAGATGTAATAAGGACTCAGTTTTAGATCGATAACAGATGACGAGACGTGAACTCGGCTGACCAAATCATGCTCCAGACGCAGGCAAGAAAAACAAAAGGATACGAATGATACCCTAAATAGAATTCATCTTCAACACCAACAAAAACTTGTCATATTTGCACTTCCACCTGTGGTTTACCTTTAATTTGGGAGAGAGGATTAGCTTGTGCCAACACCTGTAACACTATTTCATCGAAGCATTAAAAAATAATCGAACTTACTACTATCGCACGAAGCGATGTGGACGCGAAAGGCCCAGGTGCAGGCTGAGGTCTCTACTATAAGTGAGAGGAAACCTGCTCGGTTCCCCCATACCCATGGAAGAAATTAGTGGTAAAAACACGGTTGCGCAAAAATGATCTCTTCACCCCGAAGCTGAAGCTATTTGTACAGCTGTATATTTCAAATGAATTCAGATGATCTCATACTCAAATTTGTGCATTACTACTAATTGCATGAGACATGAAACCCATGGTCGCATTATCTACTTATCACCGGAGAAATCAAAATCGTCTCGCATTCTCTGGGACGTAGTTCCCATCACTTGTAACCGTGTCGCGCGAGAGAGCTCGACCTGGGATATGTGAGGTTGGATGATAAATCCTGTTCCTGCCCTGAAGTCGTGGAGGCAAAGAGCGGGTGAAAGTTCAATGTGCTTTTCTTGATCTTGCCTTAGTAGTTCGTTAACATAAGGAGGTTAGTTGTACTACTACCTTCAAGAGCGAATCTAGAACAACAACAACAACCACAAAAATTCGCACCAGAACCATGAATAGGAATAAGTACACATCCTGGAGATAAACCACGTCGAATAGGAATAAGTACACATCCTTGAGCTGCATTTGCTTCGCATATTCCACTGGCGTGATCAGCTGAGCTTGTGCGGGCATCCCATCACCAGCAGGCACCACATGATTCGCCGTCAGAAAAGCATGATGCCCATTCGCACCATGCTGCAATAGCAAATCCAGCATCAAGATGTTGTTCCCTTCTACAGCGAGTGACAAGGCAGTTTTCTGTAGATGTGCGTCGACTGGGGAACTAGAAACCAGATCCACAGTGCATTTCTTCTTTTCCAGTTCGTGTTTGGCGTATTTGACCATCAACGAGTCAGCAAACTTGCGCTTGTACACGTCTAAGCCAAGACCCAAATACATGATTTTGGACCAGCCATGATCGTCGACTTCCTCTTCTAGGGAACCGTACGGAGCGATCGCTTCGGCTTCCCCTTCCCCACTAGGAGTAGTACCAGTTGGATTGGAAGATGATGAGCCGTCTGCGTCCTCGCGTGATTCCTTGAGGGGAATGTCCCAAACTGTTCGTTAATTATAGGGGATTGATGCGTTTCTTTGTGTAGAATCAAAATGTTGTACAACATAATCTTCTACTAGACCGTGTCGACATCTACTTGACGATATCAATTTGCAAAACTCGACGAAAATATCCACAGTACTTACATATTCACTCTAACATTGTAAATACAGTTAGAGAAAAGTGGTCCTCTATTTCAAACGAAGAGTTGTACCATGCTGCCTCTCGCGTCTGGCGACTGGTTTGTAGCCCATTTTCTTCAGCGTGTCCATCACTACGCGATAGCGGTCGGACCCAACATTTTCATAAGTGTGCCAATTGCACTCAGCTTCGCAAGCCAGTTTCTCCTTCATTTTCCTTCCCTTCTCTCGCAAGAGTTGGCACAGGTCGTGCGCGTGACGGTGTCTCGCTTGAGAAGTGGGACTGTTGGCTAAGGTGGATACTCTGTTGGAGTTATGAGCTTCTTGTATGCTTTGCTGCTGAAGAATATTAGGAGATCCACCCGTACTATGAGGTGAGTGGTGCTCGTGTCTGATTTGATTAGTTTGCTCTTGAAGTAGATGTTTCAGATGGTGAGCAGCAGCAGCTCCTTCGATGTGTCCATGCTGCGGAGAAGATGAAACAACGTGAGCAAGCGTGAGATCAGGCTGAACTTGGACACTGCGAACTGGACTCCCCACAGCCAGTGGAAAATTGGGAGGTTGTTGAAACTCTACGAGCTGCTGATTCTCATCGACAACCACTCCGCTGATCATATTCACACCGCCGGTTCCCATTACGACGTGCCGGTAAGAGCCAGGGGACCCGCCCCCTACATGAGGAGAGGGAACCAGTGAGTGGTGCTGCCAGGGTGGAGGGTAGTTGTACAGCATCGGCGAAAGGATCGAGCTGCTGTATCTCCTTCTGTTCCGAGCGCTGATGGGGTTCCCTCTCGGCGTCCGAGTTCCGTGATGATGCGGTGTCCAACTCGCTATTTTCACGCGCGGAGAGCCCTCAGCGGTGATGAGGTTCCTTCTCTTAGAAACAAACGGACACGCTTAAACCCACATACGAATTCAATTAGGGAAAATTAGGGAACCATAATATAATCCCCTAATTTTCCCGAAATTTTGACCTCCTCCACAAGCGTGTCCGTTTGTTCATAACTCTCGGCGTTATCGCATTGCGCGGCGTGTATGCGAAATTACCGGGTTGCATCACTCCCTTACTGTAGAGTAAGCAGTTCAGAGCACTACTGGGGGACATTTGATGCTCCGATAGACGAGGACTATGTTGACTAATATATGCTGCATTCGTAGAAAGAGACTCTCCAACATACGGCCCAGAAGAAAACTGCGTCGTCATTGCCGCTGTACTAGCACTTGTTGTCCCTGTCGTCAGCATGTCGCGGTCCTCTCCTCCTGCTCCAAAGAAGAACTTAGGCTTAGTTCTTTGCAGGATGCTGGGAGGAGCTGAGCCGTCGCCGGCCCCGAGATGGGCTGGTGGAGGATATACCATATGAGGTATCGCCGAACCAATGATTAGAGAATGTTGTATAACACGCAGCAACAGGAACAGACGGTGTTGTTGTACAACACGCAGCAACTACAGGAACAGACGGCCGTGGCCAATTGATCACTCCTAAAAACACTTGTAGTTAAAGAAGTAACACTTAATCAATCTCATTGGCCTTAGAATTCAAGAAACTTATTCTTATCCTAAAAGTTAGAAAACTATCTTAATCAAATGGATTTTCAGTTCCGGGAGGTGGGTATCTATTCAAGAGATGGGAATCTGGAGAAAGAAAAACTAATCACAACTACCCTTAAAGTCAAGGCTCCCCTAGGGTGCAGCGTCGAGGCCGGTGCACCATACTGGTACTGCACAAGATGCTTATGGTGATGACGCGAGTTCTGAAAAAGCACGTTGCCATGATCAGGTGGGAGACGCTGCTTTAGTATAGGGCGTGCAGAGGTGAAGTGGTTATAAATTGAAGAAGAAGATGAGTTTGATGACCGCAACTGAAGATCGTTTTTATGCGCCTCATTATGAGGAAGAGGAAACTCGGGTCCACACACGTGATCGAACTCATGTTCGAATTCTTCACTCGAAAACTTGGACGATGGGCCAAAGAACGCGACATCGCCTTCATCACGAGTACAAGGGCCCACAGATTGCGGACTACAGCAGTGCGTTGCGAGCTTAGCGATGCAACTTTTTCCATCATCTTGACTTCCTGCGACTGCGACATCGATAGAAGTTTCTATTGCAGCAGCAGTTCCACTACTTGACGTTGCAGAGATGATCGCTGATGCTGATTCCTTCTTGACCTCCTCGACGCGTGTCAACCGAAGACCGCTGCTCGAAGAAGAGCAGCAAGGCGGCCCTACATTGCTCGGCTCTAGTTCTTGCACACTGGGAGCAACGCTTGACATGCAGGAAGAGAACGCACCTGAAGCAGCACCAGAAGAGCCTACCGACAAAATGACGGCCTTTTCAGATTCTACACGAGGATTAAGAACTTCTGCATCTGCACCTGGTAAATAACCTACAACTGCAGCTTCAGCTCCAGCATACTCTTCTTCTACTTGATCCACCTCAACATATTCAATACCCACCAGATCGTCCTCTGCTGACCCAATTACGGCACCAGATAAATTTTTCTCTTCAACCGTTGTTGACGCTGGTGAATCGGCGTCGATCATTTCCTTCAGGATCCGTTCTTGCTCTTGTGGGCATGAAAAAGACGAAGGCCAGCGTTCATCGTGGTCTACATGATGTTGTGGCATGCTCTTGCCTACCGGCTGATAGCCATTCTCAGCCGCGATGTAATCAGCTTCTTCATCCTCGTTCTGCAACAAGAGCGCTGGTTGCGGCAAGGGAGACTGAGAGGTACTATTTGCATCAGAAACAAATACCATATCTGTTGCCAATAGCACAACTGGCGGTTCTTGTTCGGACACTGAGACAGAGGAGACTGGAGCGACTGGTTCGACGCTCCCGTCCGGTACACTGGTACCTTGACTTTTTTCGTGCTCAGCGATCGCGATAATTTTACCAGAGTCTGGCAGCGCTTCTGCCTTGTCGGTACAGGTGTCTTGTGCAAGCGATGCGATCCTATTTTTCCCATTATCGTGGGCGTCATGACCGACTTCTTGCCGGATTTCAGAGGCTCCTGATGGAGAAGCAGCCGTTCCATCATGGAGATGCGGCTGTGCAGGATCTCTGTTATAATTTGGTGCCTCGTTCACTACAGACGCAGAAGAGCTAGAGGAGGAGCTCAAAGAAGCTGCGTCCTTTACGACCACAGCTGAAGAGGAGGATTTTTTAAAAACACTCGTCCCAGAAGCTAGTGCTGCAGAAACTTCTTGCTCTACAACTGGCATAGCTACACGTACAGGTACAGGTTTTTCTACTCCTTCAATCGTTCCGACCAGAGGTGGCAAAGCGCCTTCCAAGTCAACCGTGGCAACGAAACGGGACCATACGTTCCTAGGACTCAAAGCGCCAGACAGCAGCTTCCACATACTGGGCTTCTCCTGGCTTTGGTCCACCACCCGTCTTGGGACGTCGGTTGTATGTCGATCATGTTGGCCGTGGTCTATGACTACATCTTCGTTTGTCGAACTACTAGCAAAGCACGCTTTTTCTACATCTTCAACGCTGGCTGCAATCGCATCGGGTGGAGCAGCACGTTCAGTTTCCGCTGTGTCAGGAGCAGATCGACCTGGTAGAAGACGTGGGCAGCAGTAGTTCTCAAGCACAAGTAGAGGGCTGTTTTTCTACAACATCACTCGGGATATTAGAGCCGTCCCCGTAATTCATCTTTCAAGTGCATCCTTGAAACGTATGGGGGACTATCTATCCTCTTCGTTTCAAGGATGCGCCCAAAGATGTATAATTAGGTACAGCCCTAAGGATAGCGAAAAGGAAAGCTACTCTTTGCAAGTACAACAAGAAGATTCGATCGCTTCATCTATCTATTTGCAGAGAACGAAAACTCATCTCATGTATAAAGAGTGTGAATGTACTAGTACCAGCAGTTCCAACATTCATGTCCACCGCGCTATTCGATTTTCCCGAAGATGAGGTGGCAGTGTCACCTGGCTCTGCGGGAGCTTGTGTGTGATCATTGACAGCAGGACCCGCCAAAGCAGCAGAAGAAGTTGATGAAAAAATTGAAGGAAGACCTGCTGCTGCTCCACCAGCTGCTCCTCGAGAGACTACTTCTTCTACTATTTCTTCAACCACATGTCCAACTGAGGATGACGACGAAGCGACTCCAACTCCAAGACTCCCAGAAGCAGTTGTAGAATGATGATGTTGAGCAGTTGTACGCAGGAAGTTCGAAGTTGTTACTGCATTGAAACTACCACTAGTTGCACCAGAGGATATTTTGTTGACGCTCGTCGTTTGGCTACAGGATGAAGACGATTTATGTCTACCTGGACCGCCTAGTAATTTTCTTTGCAAGAAGAAGAGATCGGCAAATGACGCGTCGTCTTTTTCTAGCAGACGCTCCGCCAGTTCCTCTTCCTCTGCCAAAGTGTCTTGTTCATCTCCAAGAAGGACAGGAACATCACGTTCGCGATTATTGGTAAGTTCTTCAGCTTCGATTCGTCGTTCCTCTTCTAGCGTCGCTTCCGACCATTGAAAAGCGCAGGTGTCTGGTGGTGCGGTCGCGTGCAAGGGATGCCGGGTACTACCGTACAAGAAGCGTGATGGTCGAGTGCCGATGCCGAGCGGGCCCCCGAGCATCATGCCAGCGGCCCCGAAAGGTCCTCCAGGAGCAGGGCCTAACTCCTGTGTGCCGCCTCCTCCATAGTAGTAGCCAGCAGAAGGATTAAGCGAGGCCGGCGCGTAGCCCCACATGTGAGGTGCTGGAAGGTAGCCCATCATCGGGTAGCCTGGGCCTGGTTGATGGTGGTGGGTAGTTAGTGTCAGGAGGCGCGCACGAAGAAACTGGATGCATGGAGATCAGGGTCCAATACATAAACCCTGAGCACATCTTCCACCATGAGCAACCAACAAACAAGGCGGCCCAAGAACAGAGCGGACGAAACGCGCGCGGGCGCGTCGCCGTCTTGTTCATACTAACTTGGCCAAGTCAGTGCCTCTGCTTCAAGGAGAGATAGAATGACCGCAGTCAGAATCCACGCGATTCACCAAGAAAGGAAGCAGACCAACCGGGGAAACCCACACCGACAAGATACGGCGCCCCCTGTCCTTTTGCATTGACACGCAAGGCCCCAGCTGTCAGCTCTGGCGGCGTACCTACAGGCTCACCCTAGATAATGCTGGCGGACCCTCTGCGCCCACTTCTCTCACTGTCTGCGGCGATTTCCCAAGGTGCACGCGTACGTTACGGCGGACGGCCACCCGCGTCAAATGGCTGTCGGCACATTAGAAGCAAACCCTAAGGCGCTTCGCTGGGTCAGGCTTCACCCTACCCGAAGGGCTGCCCCTATGACTGTTTGGCAACCAAAAGACAGACACAAAGGGGAAGGGCGCCGCTGCGTTCTCGGAACCCATTTGAAGCAAACACCTGCAGCTGTGAAGAAGTAAGCGGTGGCGTGGCGCTTTTGCTTCCATTAAGTGAGGGAGGGGCAGGGACCCTACGGCGAAGGAAGACCTGGGCGAAGAAGTCGAGAAAACGCACACGCGCAATGAGTCGCGTAGGCACCAAGTGCCAGAAAGTCCAGCGCCCCCCATCTTGCACCGGAAGGCAAGCCGTGGGCTGTGGCAATTTAAGCAGCCCAAAGGCATCTCGCAGGCTGCGCGCGGCGTTTGTTTGTAAGTATGTTGCTTCGCTCAGACCAACCAAGGCAACAACTGGCCAGCAAGACGAATTGGCGTGGTGTTTGGTGTTGACACGAGCAAGGCAAAAGAGTGAGAGCAAACCCAAGCCGGGGGATTGCTCCAAACACGATAGAAAGAGCAACGTCGTCGATGTTAGTAGACTACAGGCAGCCAGTCTTCAGCCCGATCACCAACGAAGGTAAAGACGCCGACGGCCCGGCGCTGTGAATCTGTTACCACAACAGCCCGCCTTTCCTCCGCTGCCTTGACATCGTTCCAGCAAGCGAGGCTGGTGCTGGAACGCTGCCCCGGAATCCACTGGAGCAGGACACCACAAGAGCACACCGCAGCGGCTAAGGGCAACGCGTCACTTTCCCGACAGGCTGCCCGCTGGCCACGCGCATCAGCTGAGTCGAGTGGCGCCGGGTCTGCCGCGGTGCATGAATGGCCACGCGTCAACTTCCGCAGACTTGCGAAGCTATATGCTCGCCGCCTCATTTGACACACGCCGCCCAGGCTGCTTGCGTGTGATCCCTGCAAGGGATACCAAACAGCGCCAGCCTGGGCCCGGCGCGTGGCACCGCGTCGAGCCTGGAAATCGCGCCGCGCGTATTCACTGCAAAGCAGCGGAGCCCGAAGGCGATGGAGGCGCGCCGTCTGCCGATGGAAAAGTGTCCGGGGCATGTTCTCCCGGAACCACAACGCCGGGACGCAGCGGCGCAGCCCCACTGCCCGGCCTGGCGCTTCTTACTTGGGGCGAGGCAGCCGCCCTCAGTCACGAACCATTCGCGGCGCCATCTGTTCCCCCCCACGGTGCTGCAAGACAAGTACTGCGCAGCCGCAGCACTGCTGCGCAGCACGGGTAGGCCCTTAGTTAAGGACTTGCGGGTTCAGCGGCGCTGGCAGAATAGCAGATGATAACCTAAATAAAAGGGCGAAAAAAATGAATAAAGGAATCACGGTACCTGCTCCATATGCAGCATTTGCGTTGCTCGTTTCGTCTGGCGCAGGAAGTAGGTTCGTCAGAAGATACCGCACTGCATTCGGCACGGCTGGGTATTCCGCTGCCTGAAGATTATGATGTTCTGACTGCGGCAGAGCCGAAGGAGCCGAGTCACTTGACGGTGGTGGGGCAGCCCGGTCATGGGTGCCGCCAGACGCGGAAACAGAGCGATGGTGATGTCGATGAAGGCCGTCAGTTTGCGGATCGGCAGATGGTGCTGGTCCGCCGCATCTTAGAGCGCGATAGACATAGCAAAAATGACAATAATAACGTCGATCACCAGCTAAGTTTATGGCAAATTGCTGTACGTATACTAGCAGCTAGCTGGAGGTTCTAGTAGAAATCCAAATACCGAGTATACGTATCTATAGTTACTGAACCTGAGTCTACAACAAAACGGATCAGCGACAACGTGCATAACATCATCATCGCGCCACCAGCATCCACCTGAGCACTAGGAAACAAGCGTTGTCCGAGTTCCCCGTTTGTGGCACCTGGTAAAAAAAGGTCCGACCCAGTTTGCCAATCGTAGTGCAAGGCGTGATGCCAATCACGGAAACTATTTGCGGTCTGAACAAAATGACTGTCGCGCGCTGCACGTGGTTCTCCCTCAACGCCGCTCAGATGTTGCTGTTCTCCAGGCGCTCCCGCACTTGCGTGGTTGATAGCGCCTCCTCCTGGAGGTTTTACAGTTGCAGTGGCTCTCGCTTGCAACGTGGACGTTGTAGGATCTTCACCACCGCTTTTGCTGCTCGTTGCGCGAGTACCTCCTACGGCGTCACTTGAGGAAGAAGCTGCTGCACTAGACGAACTACTACCACCATGTCCACCACCCTCAACTCCATTTTTCATTTGCCCAGATCCAGTTGTTCCATCCGAGTCTCCATGTCGGCCACGCGGACTCGGAACTAGGATGTTTCCCTCACCAGACGCTTCCGCAATCAGCATGGATATCCTTGACACCTCTGGTCGATCTAAACGGTCGTCGTCTACTCCTCGTTAGAGTCACCTCCAGTACAGGTACACTTACAGGCTTCTTGTCTTGAGTAAATCTTAATCATGGGTCCTCTGACCCTTTGAGTCGAGTTCTTACCTTTTCAATTTCAGTAGGCGAAGATTAGGATACAAATACTGACCTTTTTTTTGACTTTTTGATCTTGACGTTGATAGAACATGAGTAACAGTAAGTTAGCTACTCAGCACGACAAGTAAGTGTAAGCAATACAATACAATACAATGCAATTAATCTCGCTTTTTTTTTTGTATCGCGAGCGAGTTCCGGGAAGAACCTGCCTACATCGCACAAAGTTCAGTGCAGACTGCCATGTAAGGGGAGCAGCTGCTTAGCACAAGTAAGTGCAAGCAAAAGGGACCATAATCTTTGTCTTTCGCAACGCGTGGAGTGGTTCCGCTGTCATCGCTGTCCTCGTTCGGCGGAGGCGGTGGCGGTGTCATTTCATGATCGTCCCGACTCACGCTTTCCCGGGAACAAGCTGTTTTGTATGATCGAAAACAAAAACACTTTCACCTAACTCTAAGTCATCTTTCCAGTCGAACCTGCACGTTAACTGTAAGCGTAAGGAGTCCTCTGTACTACTAGTCGAACTTCTTGTAACTATAATATCTTCAAGTAGAAGTACCTCTTGCTCTCGACTCGTCCCCATTGAAGATATGTTCCAAGCTCGCACCTTCGTCGTCGAAGGTGATCATGTCTGGTCCAAATCCAGCAGGAGGATGTCCAAACAATCCAGGAAACAAATGACCTGAGTGCATGAGACCCCCACTGTCTACTTTAGAGGTAAGTACTTACCAAAAAGCCATCTCTTAGAAGAACATCACTTTCAGCATATTTATTTTCGAAGGAGGAACTGGGACTGGCTAAATAACTTTAAAGCCAAAGAGTGAACTGGCTAACTAAATATAGCGCAAAAGATGGGTCGTTGACGGCGCCCATAACTAATTGACCAAAGCCAGAGGGTCCGGGGAAGCCTCCTGTTGCTGGATGAGGATGCCCTCCGTTAGGACCGCCATGATAGGTAGTTGTCGGACTAGGCCCATGCGCATGATGTCCTCCTGGACCACCCGCTGCCCCAGAAGATCCTCCTCCGGGTCCTCCCGGATACCACGGAACAGGATGAGGTTCTGTGGGTGCGCGACTACGGGCAGGTGGCCACTGGTTATTTTCATAGTGGTCATACCAAGCGTGATGCCACAGATTATTTCTGTCATTCTTCCACTGCTCATGCTGTTGCTGGGTAGAGGCTCGCTCTCGGGCCCTACCACTCGACAGACCTGGTGGCGCGTTATGCGATGCAGCATCTATCGATTGCGAGTGGTGACGGGGATGATGGTGTTCCAAAGGCGATGGGCCGCCGCCGCCGTGTTCACCCCCAACTATGCCAGGTGGACCTCCGCTTGCACTCCCTGGAACTAGATTGTGATTCACGCCTCCTCCACGCGTTGAAACTAGACTGTGCCTAGAATGAGATGTTGGACCGTGCATCGCGCCAGTGCTACTACTGCCAGTGACGCTATTCCGCAACCCTGGTGGTCCATTCTGGTGGTGTGACGACGATGACGAGCTACCAGGACCACCTGGCCCTGCAACTCCGTGTTGTCCATGCTGATGTTGATGAGGATGACCACCATTGTTCATGCCCTTACCCATAGACGCACTGCGGTCAAACACGCTCCAGGGAGTTCCAGGGCCGCCAAAAGGCCCACCCAGTGCTGAGGCAGAGCGCGGGGGAACGCCGGATGAGGATGACGAAGCACCGCCGAATGATCTATCTTTTCCGCCACCGCCTGAAGAGTTACCGTTGCCTCCAGAGGTACCGCCAGTCAATTGGTGTAGTTTTCCGCCAGCAGTCGAGCTCTTAGATCCTCCCTGGTGCTGGTGCTGATGTCCTCTTGTATCACCATGATTGTTATACAGGTGAGAAGAACTACTTGAACCTTCAACACTGAGTTGGAGGTGATTTTGATGTTGGCCACTAGTCGTTGATCCTCCACCTGTTGCTATGGACGATCTAGAAGTTGTAGTTGTATTTGTATAGTCAATTGGACCAGCGCCTCCATTGTGACCTCCGACTCCGTTGATTCCAGACTGACTTCGTGGTTCTTGATTATGTTTCTGCAAAATTGTGTAGTTTTTCCTAAACTGCCCTGCTCGTAGCGGAGCAGGCATCGATCCCAACTGTTCGTCATTTACGGGAGCATTACCTCCAAGAGGGCCATTGCCAAAGTTGTTATGGCTTGTTCTATCTCCCTTGCCTCCTCCTGACGCATCAGCAGTTGTTGTCGAACTGGCACCAGAAGAGGAAGAACTTGAGCTACTACTGGACGAACCTCCATTGTTAGAGTCGGCTAGATTGCATTTTTGCATCTCGGCCCCCTCAGCTCATCTTGGCCCCTTTTACCTTGTATCTCATGAGAATACAAGGGAAAAAGGTACCGAGATGCCGAGAGAAAGATGGACACTAAACGTTGACCTTAACATTGGTGGCTGTAGATTTTCCTCCTGCTACAGCGCCTCCAGAGCCACTCGTATTGTTCGCTTTCGCATTGGAGTTCGCCCTACCTCCACCAGATTGTACTACTTTTGGATTTACGGTAGACACCGCTGCGCCAGCGTTCGTTGCACGTGCCGCTGGCCCAGATGAAGCTGACGCACGGGTCCCTCCATTTCTGTTGGTGTTGGATACGATGGTAGGTCCTGTTCTTCCTGTCCCAGCACCTCCTGAGGACGCCAACGCCAAGTTTCCTCCATGGTTACTAGGATTACTCGAGTTGCTTCCTCCATGAAGGTTCGACGATGATGAGGAAGACGATGAAGCTCCACCCCCTCCACTTGCGCCAGGAACAACGTTATGCTGGTTAATATTACTTCCTGTCGTAGTTCTTCTACTACTGTTAGTTGTAGTTGTACTACTAATTGGATTTGGATGAAGATTTGTACTAGGGTTGTAGGCATTGTAGATGCTTGCGCGCGTCGGTGGAGCATGCAGTTGGAAGGTGGAACTGGTTCCACTTTTAGACAATATGTAGTTGCGGGTCTTGTGGGAAGGCGACAGTGGGTCACCACCCTTGCCCATTACCACTTTGCCAGGCTGTGATGCCTGACTTGGATTGTAGGCCATTCCAGCGCTAGAAGTTACACCAGACGACGCCAACCCGTTCGTCAACGGCCCTTTCTTTGCATTCAGCTGCTTGCTGCCTGAAGAAGATGATGCTGCACCTCTAACATGATGAGATGACGAACTCGCCTCCGTTGCGCCAGACAAAACCACCTCACTACGCGCACGACCAAAGGCAGGTGTATCGCTTCGGTGCCCTTCGCCCCCGCCGCCTGGGTCAGTTACACTGGACGATTCCCCGTGACCGTAGTGATGATTATCTACTTCTCCTTCTTGATGACCAGCATCTTCATCATTCTCTTCTATCCCTATAGGAGCACGACCGCGTCGCCTCCTCCTCTCGTCTAGTTCACGTTGATGCCCTCCTCCTCTCGTCGTGGAAGCAGTTGCCGTACTCGCTCTACTAGATTTCGTCTCGCGGCGATAGTGATACTGGTCATCAACATGATGCGAATTTCCTCCATCATAGTGGTGATCCATAGTGCGTCGAGCAAACTCGTCTCCTTGACCTCCCCCTCCACGCCCTCCTCTTGATGCTCTTGTCGTGCTACTACTGCTATACTGCTGTCTACTTCCAGTTGCAGCTGCACCTCCACCTCTAGGATCCTCCACCTCTTGCCGCCTTTGTTGCTCTCCTGCGGTTCTCGAGGATGACGACGTTGCTCCTCTTCTATGCTCTAGTACCTCGTCGTGTTCAGTAGCTTGAGAACTGCGACGATCGTAGATAGAAGTTGTTGGGGAGGCTCCATCTCGATCTCCAGAAAAGAGGCGTCCAGAACCATGAGGACCACGCTCTGCGTTGTGCACATTCGCGGCTATGCTCCTTGCTTTGCTAGAGGCGACTTGATGATCACCTCTATCTCCAGAAGTCGAAGATACATATTGAAAATCGTAGCCGTTCAATGATTGAGAGTGCCTCATCAGCGGACCGCCATTTGCAGCCCCTCCGGCAGGAGCATGCTGCTGCTCTCGGTTTGCAACTGCTTGTTCTTCCACTTCGTCTTGTTCTTCGACTTCGAGATGATTTCTTCTACCAGCACGACGTGAAGATCTAGATGCCCTGGACGTCGTCCAGTCTTTCGCACTTGTAGAATACGTCGAGGAGGTTGTGCTTCTCTTACTCCCTCCCCCACGGTCTCTATTTCTACTAGATGAAGATGAACTACTAGACGGATGATTTTGATTTTCATTGTTTGCTCCGGCAGCACTGCTTCCATGATGATGCGCAGACGTGGTCGAAGAAATAGTTGTAGCGTCAACAGAATGGGAACGGACCGCTGTGCCTGAGGTAGAGGCTCCAGTTCCACTGGATGAACCAGCAGGAGCAACATAGTTGTTTACTCCAAGACCACCACCACCACTCGCATTACCAGTCATGAAAGAACTTGTACTAGTCCTATTTGCAGTAGCTCGATTTGAATCAGGGCCCCCGCCTCCTGGACCACTGAAGGGTTCTTTTGCTACCCACTTAGTTCTTGCAGACGTGGATGATGTGTGGACTGTACTGCTAGAAGAAGTTGTACCACCACCGGCAGCTTCTGCGCCTACTGGTGTGTAAAAAGACCCGCCTCTACTACTGCGACTTTCGACTTGTTCATGTTCTGCCCTCCTACTAGAAGATGACGTTGTAGTTTGTGTATTTTAGAGCTCACTACAAGAATCCATCTTTTGCCTCTTCATCTGTGTCAACTTTTCTACTTGAAAACAACTCAACAGAGATGAGCATGAGCGCAAAGATGGATCACGATTATGAGTTTAGTAAGTGAGGCCCTAAGTATAATTGTCTCTTTCTCTACTCTCAGCCATTGATGTTGATGCAGAAGCTGAGGCAGAAGGTCCACCTCCGGTTCCAGATCCAGACCCTCCACCTCCTCCTCCTCCTCCGCGAGGTTTTGCACGCCTACCGCCTCTATGAGTAGTTGACTTAGTGGTTGCATTTGTAGTTGTACCACGAGTTCCACTAGAGCCTCCACGAGTTGAATTTGTTGCTCCGGTAGTAGACCCTGAAGAGGACGACTTGGCTTTCGGCCGCCAAAGGGGCCGCAGCCCCTCGTCGACTGCCATCGGACGAGAGGACGACTACTAGTTCTAGTCGTATGTCTTGCTCATTCTAGGCCATCCAAAAGGAGCAGGAGGAGAACTAGTTCTGCTAGACTAGTCCTATTTCATGCACTTCACCTGCACACGACGACGAGACAACTAGAAATGGTTCTAGTTCTTGTACTCTTTAGTCGTGTGCTTCTTGTTCCCACTACGGAAAATGATAATTTTTTGTTTCTGTTCTTGACGAGAGTGAGCCATGCGCTTCTGTATCTTCATCATCCAACATTGTCGTCTTTTTGTGTATGCTGATACTGCTCCAGGTCTACTTGGGTTACGACTATTATTGCAGGAGAAGGCGGGTCCAGCTCCCTATGAAGAGGGGAGAAATAATCAACCATCCTCTGCTGCAGAAAAAGCAAAACTCAACACCCTTCTTTGCGGAGGCGCGCGCGAGCCCTAGTCATCTTCTTCCTCTCGTACTATTGGTATTTAATAGTCCCTCGGCGTCTACAGCTATATCACGTAAAACTTTAGACTAAGTATTTAACTAAATCACCTACACGTTGATGGTATTTCACTGGTGCGTAGTACTATGATTGAAAACAACCTTCAGGCGCGGCGCTCGATCGTCGTTTTTTCCGCTGGTGCTTGTACAACTACGTACCAATTGTACTTGTTCTGACTCTTGTTTCATCGAATATCAAGCCGATAACCTTGTATGGAAATCTCCTTTTCTTCAATAATTCGATGTCGAATACCTAGTGGAAGTAAAGGTATCACAGTCCCTCTTCAAGAGGCCACTTCCATATGCTTGTAAGTAAAATTGAAAATCGTACTCGACAAATCGCAAACGGACAACGTCGATACCCATAGTACTTGCTTCTTCTAGAAGATTTGAATCATGAAAATCACACCGGCGAAATCAAATAATCTACTCATTTGCTACACATACAGATACTGATACACTACGTAGTTGTAGTACTAGTACTAAGTACTATTACCTGATCTAACATTTTTACCCAAGGAAAAGGATAGAATACGTTGCAGATACTGTACTCAACTTTCAATCCAATACTGAGAATCGCGTTCTCGCATCCTGCAGTCGGTGGGGAGATGAGGTGAATGATTAATCCATGTGTAGGTGTTCGTCGGTAGGCAAGTTAGTAAGTCAAACTACAGATGAAGGTGCACCATAAAGAATTTTCTGTGCAGACTCCTCAAGGATGTGAAACGCGATGCTCTTCGGATATAGTTTCTGATGGCAAGCAGTGCACAGTACTGTAGGCAGTTCTCAGTGCGCAATCACAATAGAAAGCAGTCTAGTACATGTAGAATGAAGAAAGGCATCACCTCCGCGGATGCTTCAAAATCAAAGAAAAGGTCTCAACTCTGTGTTCCTTGTTTCTGTTTCTCAGTATTGAAGAAGACACAGCAGCTGTGACGGTCTCATATTACTAAATGCGGAAGTCGTGATAATCAGAATCTTTAGCGTCGTCTCAAGGAAATTGACAACATTGCTCAGTCCTAGGATTGTTCTTTAAAAATCGAACACTCGCTTTTCACCCCCGATGCCCTCACGACTAGCATCACCATGTGCGTAGGGTTTTGACGAAAAAGAATGATGGATGTAGGCTTAAATCCTATAAGCGATAAGAATGCCGTGAGGTTCACCTAGCCTGAGTTCAGACATTGTCGTCCTTGATACTTATGTGTCACCAACCTCGGTTTACACATCAAACTAATTATGGGTAGCTCCGCCCCGTTGAAAGCCTTCAACTGCACGAGCACTTAAACAAGTGGTAAAACCCTGATTCTGCACACAAAGAGGATCTTACATCTTGCTTTCTGTTCCTGAGTTTTTTACCTAACGTTGGAGATAAATCGAATTAGAAACAGTGACTCCACTAATTTTCTAAGACGCCTGCGCCTTCTTGCTCCCCGCCTTCTTGAAAGCGGCAATGGCAGCTTCTCGAGTACTCTTCAAATCCACCATAGGAGCACAATATTTGAAACCGGTCTTGGTTATGCCATTCGCTGACGTTGGTACGGACGAACTACTGCTTCCATTTGCTAGTGCTACGCTGTCAGTACCACTACTAGTTGTAGTAGGAGCAACTGTATTCATCTTTTTCCCAACAAGTTGCGTCAAATCAATAGTCTTAGGTTCCATTTTTTTCGCAACTGAAGGTCCTTGCTTTGCTCCAGAAGATCCTGCGCTACTACCGGACCCCTTTGTGTATTTCTCATGTATCTTCTTTTCCTCCCATTTGAGCACGTCTTTGCGATCCGCGACTGCGTCTAGCTCGGGTACGAATTTCCGCACATAAGTGAGCAAAGGATCGACTTTGGCTAGCTGACTTTGGGCGTTGAGGATTAGAGAATGTGGCGGGAGGCCTGTTTGCTGAGAAGGCTCGTGGTCATGCTATGATTGTAATATCTGGTAGTGTGATATTAGTGAAGAAACTACAATATGAATTGACTCCTAGCGCGTACTAGTTGTTAGATCTGTGTGATGTAAGAAAGTGCGATTGCAGGAACTAGTGGGAGTTGTCTCATAACATGATTCGAAAATATGGGGATCCGTCTGCACCTGTGGAACTAGACCACTGCCAACCACCGTTGTTCGACATTGGGTCATAATCAACAAGATTTTGTGCAAAAAAACGTTCGCCGATACGCCAATCCTGAGGGTTTATGTTCTTGAGGGTCAGTCGTGGCGTGAGCAAAATCAATGATCACAATCAAGGACTCAATCATCATTCATAGGTGCTGTGAGACGGTTCCACATGATATCATCTGGATCGTGTAATAGAAAGTCTGACTCTATGAAAAGAAAAAGCGCACTCACACTCAAGAAAGAAGCTACTTTCTTACTTAAATCCTAGCCAAGTTCTTGAGTGTGAGTGCACTTTTTCCTTTCATAGATTCATAAGTACTACACAGACCACCTACCAAGAACTGTAATAAACCAAGATAGACGTACAACTTGTTACCTGCAGCAAATTTTTCGTCAAGAACATCGCCACCACCATTCGACTTCTATTGTGCATAAATCCTGTTTGCATCATCTCGCGCATGCCTGCGTCTATTAAAGCTCAGCATTCATTGGTCACTGACTCTGAACGGAAGAGACCCCCTCCAAGGCTCTCCCCTTTCCCTTCGATTTCCCCTGTTCTCTCAAGGAGGCCCTCTTCCATTTCAACAGTGACCAACCCCAAGGACCACTGAAAGTTGAGCCTTAAGTCTACAAGAGGCACACCAGTCGTTCCCGTTTTCCACCTCTGCAAGGCTGCTGCATCCGTTTTCCACTCAATGTCGTCGACTGTGTAGTCCATAGTGAAGTTCTGGTTTTCTAGTTTCTTTCCTCCTGGACCAGTTGTTGTGGCACCAGTACCACCAGTACCAGAGTTGATAGAGGTATTCCTCATCCCCGCCAGCACCCACGGATGATGCAACGTCACATACTGGTAGAAATCTCGCCAGTACATCTGTCGCAAGAAGGACTCTTTGCAGGCTTCCTTGATGTCTCTGCGCTTCTTGATTTCGGCGAAGGCTTCCCTCGCTGAAACAAGTCCGAACTTGAAGTGTGGCGACAGCAAAGTGCAGGGTTCAGAAGCGCGATCACGATTACCGGGATAGTCGTCGAACTTGTACTGTCTAAGTCTCTGGAGGGCCACTGAGCGGAGCGCGGGAAGGACTCCAATTTTTGGCACATCTGTACCAGATTTCAGAAGTGCATTAGCAGAAGTAGCAGCAGTGAATGGCTTCGCATCTGGACTACTGTAGACCGAAACTAGTTGTTGTGGAGAATAACTGTCGGAAAGCTGTTTCGGAAGCACGAGCAATTCCTTCTCAGCTTGTTCGAGTGAAAACGCACATGGCAATCTTGATAACCTGGCAGAGAGAGCGGCTAAGGCGTCGTTGAAGTTGGAGGAGGTCGCTTGTTTCAGCGCATTTCCCTGTATCGGTGGATGGACATCCAACTTCTTGGCTGCGTTGTAAAATGGCGTGAAGACTCTGTACTTTGTGCCGGTACCAGATCGCAAATGATGAAGACCGCCTTTTGTGACGTTGTGGTCTTCCGTTAAGAGAAAGTCCATTTGTACTGAACCGGTTGACGGACGATACGTCGAACACGTTTCCTTGGTCCTGTTTTCGCGCCCCTTCGCATAGGGGGTGTAGTCTTCGGCCATGGAGACACAAACGCGCTTCGTTCCGCTGGTCGCTTTCGCAATTTCATTCGTGATCGCTGGTAAAACATCGCTGTGCTTGCCGTAGAAGAACAACAGTGGTTTGGAATCGGCTGTTGATGCTCTTAGAGCTAGATGTTGGTGTTGCATAACGATGACTGAGACTAAGTGGGATTGTCCGTCTCAAAAGAAATTCAGTGATATTACTCCTTTTTTCACTAGGAGGTGAAATCATTCCGCTACTTCTCAAATAAACCATAACTTCTGCAAATCCTTCAACGCAGCCAGTAGAAACGCGAAACTGTGTGCTGAAAAGAAGCTGCTTTCTTTTGTCTGTTCCGGCGTGAAAACGAAAATCGGAATGACAGCACCATTTCCCTTCTTCACAGCTGCGCTCAAAGCGTGGTTGTCCTCTACTCGGAGGTCTCGGGTGAAAACGTGAATACTCAACGTTTCCGGCAAAGAACCTGCCAAACCGGTTTCGCTAACCTTCGCTTTCTTCGCTGCCGGTGAGGCAGAATGCTGACTTCCACCGTTTCCGCTGGCAGCAGACCCGTTGGCAGCATTGCTGCCAGTCGATGCGCGCTTCATTTTTGTTTTAGGTTCTACTTGTACTTCTTGCGAATGCGACGAAGTCGATAAAATGCTATTAAATGTTCGTTTCTGGTAATGGTCAAACAGATTTGAAAGGGTGAAAGCCGAACTATGGCGAAAGCTAGGACTACCACTAGGACTCGAAATGGTTGATGTCAAATATCTCAAGATGGTACTCGATCTCGAAGAGGAGGAGTTACGAAAAATCTTGCAAGTGCGAGAAGGGGAAAACATTAGTGGCCACTCAGGCTAAGAAATTTAAATTTCTTTCTTTCTTGGTCTGGTATTTCAAACTGTATGAACTAGGACTAACACTAAAACTGCTTTGCCTGCGAGATGTTTGGATATGGGGGAAGATGGGTTAGTCGTGAAAGAAAGTACCTAAGCTGATGTAAAAGCCTTCGGTTCTTTCTTTGTATAAAAAAATATTACAACATTCTTTAGAATGAGTCGTTGATTCCTTGTCGAGTTCCAATAAAAAGAGCTCCTTGCAACAGCAAACACGTTTCACCTTCAAATGGGAAATCTCTCGCGGCATGGGCCAGCGAGAAGGAGCGCGGACCACGCGGACCACGACTTTTATGAAGAGCGAATTGATCATTTGGGAATGGTAATGGGGATAGAAAAGAAGCGCTCTAGTTCTTGGTCAAAGAAGCAGGACTTTCGTTTTTGCTTTAGCTTTGTATCATTTGGGAATAATATCAGGCATGAGTTGATTCAAGTTCATTTTTCAAATCTTTTTACCTCGTTCTTTGCAATCACGGCTTTGGTTTTCATTCAAATTTTCCTTCCTTCAGACCCTCCAGATGAGGACATATCTCCGCCAAATCCGAAATCTTCACCTCCAGCATCCCCACCTCCAAAGCCCTCACTACCTCCTACTCCTTCCTCTCCCTGCTCATAGTAATAGTTATCGTCCTCACCAGGTGCTGCAGCTTCGCCTCCCCCTGCTGGATAGTTTCTTGGATCGCCACCTCCCTCTTGAGAAGCATCTTGTCCTGGTCCTGCTCTTCCCCTTGTCTTCCGAATGTACCATATCACAGCCACTATGGTCGCTAGAACCACAAACAACAACAGGTAGAGCAAGACTCTAGTCGTAGTTTTTGACAGCAGGCCTTCATCATCAGAAGAGTCAGCGTGACCAGGCGTATGGGAGTTGGAGGATGTCGCGGAAGAGACGGCAATACTCTTGATCTCTGCAATTTGATACGGCAATTCTGCAAACGCAAACGCATACCCAAATTCAGCCTTGTTGTCGTCAATGTTCTGACCGACTAGCTCGTACAGAATTTCCTTGGTTGTATGATCGTCGATATCTTGTTTTGCCTTTAATATTGCGCCAGGAACAGAAGTCACCTTGAAGTCTACTTTCATCCTCACTTCTAGTCGGAAATTGACTCCTCCTCCTGAAGATTGGGATGGTTGCTGTCTTGTTTGGAGAGTATTCGTCGTGGTTTTGGTGAGGAGTGAGGATGCCGAAACTTCCGCTTCATTCCCCGAAGAAGAAGTTCGGTGTATTCCTTGTACGTCAGAAGATGAAGAACTACTACTGGGCGGATGGGTGCTAGTTGTGGTAGAAGACGCGACCACTACACCCGTGCCCTGCTCGGGGCCAGAGGATGTCTTCAAGATTGAAGAAGAAACTGATGGTTGATCTTGAAGATGCGAGGTTTGGCCACTGCCTTGTATCAAGATTGGTCTTACTGGCTCTACGTCCGTAACACTTGTCACATCGACAATTGTGTCTACTCCTGTTGTTCGACCATTCATACTCGGCGTGTACCCATTCGCCATGGACAGTATTCTACCAATTCCGTGTTCCAGAGCTGTGAAAAAAACGAGCGAATCCACTAGATGCCAATAATCCGTTTCTCCCGGCACTGAAAGCGACAGTAGAAGCGAGAAGGGTCCTGCAGACTTCTTTGCAAACGTAAATTTGGTTGGATGAGGAACCGCAGCTGCAGTGGAAGTCGAAGTACTTGTCGAAGAAGAAGGAGGTGGTGCTCCCGTCGTTGCTTGGTTCTGATTTTCAACGTCAGTCTGATGTTGTTGACCTCCACCTGAATCTGATTTTGCATTTCCACTAGACGTAGTACTACTTGTCTTGTGAGGGTAGTAAGGCGTAGCGTCATTCTTGTGTCGTAGGAAAGCTAAGGGTATGTTCTGACGACAGTACTCGCGATTCGACACTGGCAGCAAGTCCCAAAAGTTTTGACCTTGAGGAACTAGAATTTCATAGCGTGGCTGTGCTGTTGGAGTTGATACAACTGCGTTCTTATTGTAAGCTGACGGATTTAGATTCGACTGTTGCTGTACAGGAGGATTGTAAACAACTACTTGTGCTGGAGGAGGTGCCGGTTGTGAGGGATGGGGAAACGTTGCAGGTGAATTGCTAGGACTGTAACTGCCTCCCGAAAAAGCTGGCACCCCACTCGGTGGAGAATTGCTTCCTCCAACACTGTTGGATGGAATAGGAGTACTAACTGGAGGAGGAGCTCCTGCATTGTAGCTTCGCACTTGTTGAGGCAAAAAGTGCTTGAGATTGCAGCTCGAACCTGTGGAGTTCAGTGTCTGGCTAGGAGCAACGGAAACTTGTTCACCCAGCATCAGGACGCAATTGGCATCAGCAGCACTATTTTCAGCATACTGAAGTTTCTCACTTCGAGTTGTACTAGAAGTGCCTCTTGCGGCATTTACACCGTAAGTGCTTTTCATTGCGTTTTCGGTCGATGCAGAAAACGAGGAGGAGGCAACTCCACTAGCACGCGAAGAAGTCCTGGACGTAGAGTTGCTATTGGTCAGGAGACTGTTGTCGACATCAGTTTTCATTACCATCATAGAAGATTGACCGCCACCAGGAGGAATCATAGAAGATTGACCTTCACTCCCGCCCAGTTGTATCAACGCAATACTCCCTGTCTCATTGAACTCGAAGCCCTTACAGTCGGTGTTCTGCGCACAAATAGCGGCACAGGTTTCGTACGTCGTCTGCGAGCGCAGTGTCGCTGGCGACTGGGACCCTGTGCTAACAGCAATGCACTCGTGACCAGTGAAATTTTTCCACTGAAAAGTTTGGCCATTGATGGTAGAGACGACAAATCCAGGTCCAGCGCCAGATCCTGCTACACCAGGACTACCACTTCCATCACCTGATGACTTCACAGTTGTATGCACTTTTATGTTAAACGGCATGCCATTTGCCGCGTTCCCCCACTGACCAGTTAAAGTAGTGGCGACATGCGACCCACTTGTTCCAAGGTCGGCGGACGTGGTATTTACACTCGGCTGATTGCTAGATGATGGCGTTGCCGCAACTGTCGTGTAGTAGGGACGAGAAGAAATCGCGCCAGGACTGGAGCCACCTGGCACCACAACAGATTGCGCAAGAGGTCTAAAGGGATTAGAACCCGGCGCCATCGAGTATTGCGACACGACTTGGTAGTAACCGCCACCGGGAACTGAGGATGACACGTGCTGCATACAATAGAAGATCCATCCACTCGTTGTTGTTGAGGTCCCGATCATACTACTTTGTTGACCTCCACCACCAACTCTTGCGAGTCCGCCAACGCTACTACTAGAAAAGGATGAAGAGCTGCCTGTGCCTGCTCCTTTATGCTTCAGTTGGAGTTGCAGAGCAGACGCGGATGTTGCAGGCTCAACTCGTGTAGCTGCCATTGCTCGACAGAAGTCCTCTGCTGTACACGCGGATCGCATGCTCGGTACTGAAGGATTACACATCGCATTATTACTGGATGGATATCCGAATCGGAACCCACTGTAGAGACCACCTCCACTTGGATATGAAGCTGAACTAGGTGCAGAACCGTATCCGTAGGGAGAGCCGTAAGCCGCAGCACCACTTCTACCACCACTCGCACCACTGTAGAAATGATTCGCAGCTGTGTTCCACTGTTGACTGTACCAATCTGATTGATTTAGAGGTAGGTTTTTGGTGCTCGCTTACCCCGCTTGTTATGCCTTTCTCCCTTGAAAGAGGCATAAAAAGCGGTAAGAGAAGCACCTTTAACCTACCCTTAATTGATCATTGGGGTATCGCTGTCTCCCACTTCTCGCCATCATGGTTTGGTCTGTGTAGGCCACTGCTTCGCGTTCTTTGGCATTCAGGTACAGCTGTCGATACGCTTTCTCAGCATGGTTGTAGGGGTCTTCGTAGAAGGAGGATGGAGTTGTAGGGGAGGCACTTGTTACAGACCTAGTACTTCTCGTCATGGTCGTCCTCGAGGTCGTGCCTTCGAGAAAGGAAGATGATGTGTTCTTGTTCTCAGCATCATCTCGGCTGTCACCATATTCGTCAAGATCTTGCGCATCCTCGTCCTCCATGTCCATCTGATCTAGATTGACATCCTCAGTATCATCCCCTACAGTACCACGCGCATCCTCCTCCTCTGTAGCTTGCTTGGATGCTGGTGCGCTTACTTCAATGAAACCACTTGGAAACGGTTCGAAGGCTGCATCCTCCGAGGTCAGACGAGTCTCGTCGCCAACTTCATCGTGGTCCCAGTCAGCTTCCTCTTCTTCGTCCTTTGCATGATAAGAATCGACATCAAGAAGAGCACGATAATCAGCCGGCTCGTCGTATTCGTATTCCGTGCTTGGTTGATGTCCAGAGCGGTAAAGGTAATGATCCTCATCTGTTGGGAGATCATCCTCATATTCTTCAAGGTGTTGCTCGTATCTTTCAACTGCATCTTCATCAGGGACAGCGTCCGTGTCCTCGTTGTAGACTTCCCTGTCGAGAAAACTTCTACCAACATTGAAAGCGTAAAAATCATCTTCATCATCATGATGGTCAACCTCGTCCTTGTGGGCGAAAACATCGTATGGATCAGCTAGATCATCTTCATCGCCCAGTTCCTCGTAATCGTAATCCTCAGCACCCTGATCTACGGCATGACTCTCTTCCGTCTCAGCAAATGTCTCCTCTTCTTCATAGTCGGTGCTCTGCCCTGGGTCGTACTTCCCGTTCACGTCCTCTTCGTCAGTCTTAGAGTCTGCTAGATTGCATCTCGGCCCCCTCATCTTGCCCCCTTTACTACCCTTGTATCATTTCATAGAAATAATACAAGGGAAAAGCAGGGTACCAAGATGCCGAGAAAGATGGACACTAAATGCTGACCTTAACAGTCTCAAGCCCCATGGCTTCGTTCTCCCCATCTTCAGCGCCGGTCCTCTCTAACATCGCACTTCTGGTTTGAGCTTGGTGCTCGAGTTCCCAATTACTAAGATGCTGGTCGACCCTTCTTCTTCGTCGCAAGGTCCTAGAGGGAAATTCGTCATCATACTCATCTGCAGCGCTGGTCCTCTCGAAGGTCCTAGAGGGAAATTCGTCATCATACTCATCTTGCCCCGGAAGTGCTTGAGGAGAACCAGCCATTGCGCTCTTTCCTGTGACGTGTCGAATCGAAGAACCAGGGGAAGTAGATGATGACGGTCGTGCGTCAATAGTACTTCTTCTAGATGATGACCTGCTGGAACTAGTAGAACTACTTCTGCCATTAGAAGAAGATGAAGCAAAACTAAGCTGACTATTCTTGTAGTTCCCCGAAAAATCCAATATCCCAGGAACCAAAGCGAACCAAGAGGCTTCACTGGAATGTATCCCAGCTGCACAAGGCTTTAGAGAGAACTCATTCTTCTCATCCACACAGACATATCGGCCACAGTACTCTGTCGCACCGTTGAGGCAGGCAAGACGGATTTGGTGGAGGATTAATCCACCACCGAAATTGTCAGAGAGACTTAGCATATTTCTATCCGAGTTGGAGGAGGACCCACTTTTGGCTTGCCGTGGTTCGGCCTCCTTTTGCACAAGACCACCTTGATCTCCATCATCTAGACCAGCAAATCTTTCATCTTCGTCCTCTAGTAGTAGTGCAGCTTCATCACGCATCCCAGAGTCGGCATCGAAAAACGACGTCGATGATGATGAAGCTGTGCTGCCTCTACTAGAATCTTCCAAAAACGAAGAACTGTGATCATCCGCATCCCCACTAGACCCTTCAGGCAAAACACGTCGTGGTCTGAACTGAAACAGGTACCTGGCATGTGCGAACGGCAACTCATGCATTCTCGAATCGGCCAAGTGGGAATTAAACACGCCTAAAGCCCCTCTAGGCGGCAGCAAAACGTCGTATTTCTTGTCGAAAACGAGGTCACGCGAATAGATACTCACCCGCGGACTGCACAGGGCATCGACGTGACTGACGTGTTGCGAGTGAGCTGTAGTTTGCTGCTTCGTTTGGAAAGACAGCGCAGATGAAGTGGCGCTTTCTGATGTACTCGTAGCTGGAGAGGCTCGGGTGACTAACGTGGTCGTGGATGGGGATGAATCTTCCTCATGCAGCTCTGGCGTTGGAGCTGGTAATGTGTTTCCATGATCATCCAGAAGATAGTTGTCGACCATGCCGTGGGCAGCGTGCGCTGTTCCTGCGGTTGCACTAGAGGGGACTCCAACGCGGTGACTTTGTGCAGAAGTTCTCCGTTGTCTCTTCGGAACGCTGCGGCGTGCGTGCGACGTTGGATACTGGATTTTTCGATCTTCGCGAAAAAAATCGACTCCCGACTTTACTGGACTGTAACCGTGTAATGCCTGACGATTGCGACGTCGAGTACGCGCTGATGTTGAGTCTCGTCGATTTTTCGCTTGCTGGACGCGCCTATAATTGTGCTGTTTTCGATCAGGAGGAAAGGGACCTGGGTGACGACGTGGTGAGGCCTGTCCTCTCGACTGCTCACCATTCTGCCGCAAATTGTTCGGATCGCGGTGAAGGAGGCGTTTCTCAGAGTTCGGTCGTCGGCCACCACGACGTTGTTGTTTCGACCTACGACCGTGGGAGACTCCACTGGGATAGTCCTCGCTAAACGCCTGTCTCCGTCTAGGCAGATCGGGTGCCAAATCACCTGCACCTTTGAAGTTCCAGCTTCCAATCTCCAGAAAAGTAGAAGGAGGTGTTTGTTGTTGTTGTGCTACTTCAGTATCAGTTTGGTCAACAAACAAAGCTCCTTGACCACGCCCGGTCGCAATCCCCATTTCACTACTACCATCTCCGCCCAGAGCTGTTCGCAAAACCCAACCGCGAAAAGCCGCTCTGTCAGGTGGATCACCATCGACGACGTTACATCCGAAAAAAGTGGACGTCGAAGAACTCTGTTCTTGATCTTCTGGATAGAAGTTGCCCGAGTAGAGATCTGAAGAAGTTGAAGTTGTTGTACTATTGTTCAAATTTTTCGCTAATCCTCCATTGTTGAGAACTTGAGAGCCCGTAGGCGCAGCAGCAGTCGGATACTTGAGATGGTGGTAGCCTTTTTCTGCGAAACCTGGACACACCTGTCGCGCCCCCTTGCCTAGCTCAAGGCGTCCGCTACTATCTAGTTTGTAACAGCGTTCCGGCTCGTCCTTGCCACAGTAGAGCAGATGCGATCGCAAATAACGTGGTACTGTAGAGCTAGAGGAGTGACCGGCGGAGGGGGATGACGAGAGTGGTTGAAGAGATGATGAGTCTGTTGATGCAGCACCAGCAATGATCGGACGCCTGACTTGTTGTGGCTGCGATGCTGCAACCGACGTCATATGATCAATAGGCCAACCACCTGGCGACACACCGCCTGCTGGGATGTAAGGCGTGCCCTGATGGTCGAGGACTCGCTGTAAGGGCATCATGCCCCAGTAGTTTGCACCATTAGGTGGCACAACATAGCCTCCTCCGCCACCACCCATTATGTAGTTGCCTCCACCCGCTACCATTCCTGCTGGCAATGACTTCGCGACTGCATCTTTCACCAAGTTTTGCAAAGCGGTCTCCAGGTCACCAACTTGATTCGGCTCTTGCTGTGATGCAAGATGTTTCTGGATTTCTGAGGAAATCACATCACGAAGGGAGTCCGTGAAGGCGCCACGAGAAGAAGAGCTTGAAGTTGAGCTTTTGCCATTTTTACCAGAAGATTGCATTTGCATGTCTGACGCTGAAGAGGACAACTTGTTGATGAAGGATGTTGAAAATAACGGCTTGTTCGCTAAGGCGGGTGAAGAAGATGGTGGAGTATGCTGGATTCTTGTGGAGTGGCTTTCCTCCGGCTGCTCAGTCTGCACATTTTCTGCGCTGCTGGCACTTCGTCTAGTGTTCACCTGCTTGAATCGAGCAACCTCAGACTCAATTTCTTTCAAAATCGCATTCAGGTTCACTTCCTCTTCTCCACCAGCGCTTGCCCCTTCGCCTGGCTTTGTTGATGCGTCTGTTTCGTGGCGAGGCTGTCGCTCGGCGCGCAACAGCTTCGTTCCGCTATGTGATCTCCGATGCTGAGATTGAGACCCCTGTCCAGCTCCAGGCTCGATGCTATGAGAAACTTGGTTTTCTGCACGAGTATGCTGTTGATGTGCATGAAGACGCTTACTCGATGTGCTTCTCCCAATATGCGCTCCTCTATCCGGTAATATGCTACTACTTTTACTTGGTACTTGCATTTCGTGGTGTCTCATAGGTTCATTTTCATTCGTTGCAAAATCAGAAGATGGTGAAGTTCTACTAGACTTTACTGGATGACTTCGTTCTCTAGCCGCTTTTCGATGCACATTTTTACTTCGTCCATGATGATGAGCACGTTTTGCACTGCTACTAGCAACTGCTTCGATTCCGGGATCAAGATCATCTGCTCCACGGACGTCTACTTTGTCTTCAACATCTTCCGCCCACAGATTGTCGGAGCGGGCTGCATCACGATGGTGACCCTTCTTGGAAGCGACTACTGGTCGTGTGCAAAAAGAGAGGAGTACTACTCCAACTTTCAGAAAAGCGACTTGCGTACGGCGCAACATAATGTTTGGATAGGATAGGAGTTGGCTCGCCGTCCACAGTTTGACCTGGTGTATCCTCGGGCGACCGTCCGTAGCCTCAGAGGGACTACCCCCGTAGCCTCATAATGTTTTTGGTCATTTTTCTCTACATGTTTTTGAAATAGGTAGTTTCGTACTTGAAAATGAAATGATAAACTCATGATGACTTGTCAGACGAGGAATTGTTACTGGAACATTAGAACTTCCTCATCAGATAAGCGTGCAGAATTCTTTTTTTGCGAGGTTGACGGGGTACATGAAAATCTTCTGATAGACCACCGAAATCCAAATGATCAGTTGATGTTGACTGGCCACTCTTGATAAGACGCATCCAATACAAGAACCGAAATTGAGACGAGTCCCGACGAACCGACAGCGACGGAGATGATCGACTTAGTGCAATGACGCGCACAGAAAACTACACTTCGACACACTCTGCTAGCAGAAAATGAGGAGGATTCCGCTGGTTTTTGAGTCTTTCTTCTTGGATGTCGATCAAGATTAGATGTCAAGACGATTACTTATAAATATATTAAAAAAAGTTGAGAGAGAATGTCAAACTCAAGCGATGTTAGCACTAGAACTAGAGAGAGAATCGTAAACGCAAATCTTGTACTAAGGGAATCAAGAAAACAAGCCCGAGAATTACACAGACACATCAATAGATTATGCGACCTGTAGCTGTACTTCATTTTTTTCATATGACAAGAACATGAAGAATATGGTGAAGGTGAGTGAGTAATACAAATATCGGTGATTACCTAGCAGTAGCAATATCTAATGATGATTTTCATTAATATCTATCATTCCGCGTACAAAATCAAATACATCAACAAAACCAACTCAAAAGTTTATCATCGATCCCAACTATACGTTGGCCTAACCTATGCCGAAAATGTGAAAGTCTAAGCACTATGACATAAGTAACTGTGACCCTGCCTTGTGGAAAGCCCTAAAATCTAACGTTAACAAACATGAAAATGATATCATAACATAATCATATTATCCGAATCAAGCATGCACTTTTGCGTTCGCACACTTTGTCTATCCGACGTCTCCCCGATGCGTCTGCACCACAGGTCCGCCCCCGCTTCCTGTTGTTCCCTTCGACGATGTTGAGGTCCCTGCACCGACGTAGCCCCAGCTATTTCTTCGGTCTTTCGTCCACTGATTCTTCCTTGATTCGAATACGATGTCCTCTCGTCGTGCTGTTGAGCCTCGTCTACTAACCGAACTCCCTGAATCAGCTTCCTGAGGACTATTTCCAGCACTGCTGCTATCAGATGCAGCACCCATCCCTACACCCATCAAAGAGCCTAGCTGTTGGTGTGGTTCCTTCACATACAGCTTCAAATTTCTCTGGTCCTGCTCTCCTGGAAGATCATGCTGGAGGTCTTGCGGACTAGTATTCGACGAATTCGATGCGCCTCCGCTATCGGCAACGCGCGAAGGCGGTTGAGGAAGTCGTCCTCTACCTCCCGGATTTGAAGGGAGAGGAGGTGGCAACCGAACACTATTTCTGCTTGGCGGTTGGTAGTCCCTGAGATCAACATCTTCATAGCTATTGATGTCCTGCTGTGCGAATTGCAAGCTCATTCTATTTCCACTTCTAGAATCAGAATCTACTATGAATTGCTCTTCTCCACGACCACCAGTTATGTTCTGGTCCTCTAGTACACGACCTACACTTCGTGGCGACGGATCTATTGGCACCGGATCCGCATAGCCGTCTGATCGCCTGCTATTCGCACGATCAAGGCTGCCGCCAGCTCGATCGTAAGAGTAGCTATTACTGTAACTCTGATTCACAGCTCGAAGATTGGCACCAGGAGCTCCACCCGGTGCCTCAAAACCCAATAATTGGTTCTGCTGCTGAGCTATCGGGTACTGTTGATGCGCTTCTGTAGGATCAGTCGCACCCGCAGAACCACTACGACCCAAGGCCGAATTCCACATCCTCTGGAAAACGTGCGGCGTCCATGACCGTCTCTTTCCTCCACCAGATTGTTGTGCGTCAGGAGGTTGTAAGAATGTTCCGCCAGCAGACGGGGAAGCAGATGGGCCTGCACCGGAAGAAGAACTTGTTGCTGATAAAGCAGCAGGCGCGGTCCCTAAACCACTGGTGGGCATGGTCATACTGCCTTCACCTAGTCTCAAAATCAGTGGACTCCTTATGAAAGAAAAAAGCGCACTCACACTCAATAAAAGTGGCTATTTTCCTACTTAAATCCTAGCCAATCTCTTGAGCGTGAGTGCACTTTTTCGTTTCATACTCCTGTGCTGCATATTATTCGCCGAGGCACTACTATCGCCTCTTTGATGCTCCCCTACCCCGTCTCTGCTTCCTGGTACAAGCGCTGCTGATACCGGTGGAGACTGTGCTGAAGAGGCAGAGTGCAGGTCCATAGAAGTTGCGGGCATGCCGAGCACGCCACCTGCTGGTCCCGCCATTAATGGAGGTCTCGAAGACCCAGACGAGGGTGATGCTGTTGCGCCTCGTTTCCGCAGGTATTCTTCACGCGCTAGTCTAATCGCCTGAACCCAATCTAAACTGAATTCTGGCTGTTGCTCACCACCTAGGCTTATACTGCTAGCGCCAATATACGAACTCTCCTGCTCCAGTGGCGTAGCATGGATTTTCCTGTGTCTTACTTGGATGACAACCTCTGGTATGTCGAAGATAGCTCCTCTACTGGTCTCATTATGTGTTGCGCCAAGGACGCCATTGCGGCCACGGACTGTTGAGGCTGAAGACCGCTGCAAGCTCGCCAAACCAGCTGGGGTTGGAGAATTCGTACCTGAAGATGAGGCTGCCCCTCCTCCGGCATATTGAGAAGAAGATGCCGCCCAATCCGCTGTGCTAGCTTCGTATTCGTCCCCTAACGAAGATGTGGGCGCCCTAGTCGAAAGCGCTGTAGCACTCAAAGAGACAACGTCGTCTGCCATAGACAGTTTCGTGCTTTGAATTCGTGGAGATAGGCGTAGATGCTGATTCACGATGCGTTGAGGATTTGGATTGGTGACATTTGTTCCACCTGCAGATGAAGTGGGACTACTGCCACGAGAAGAGCCCCTACTGGGAACCGAGCGATTGGCATCTTCAAGGTTGCATTCTCCTGGAGCATCTCTAGTCACCCCACAACTCCTAGAAGTAGTTCTATCAGGAGCGCTCAAATACGTAGTAGTTCCCGGGGTTTCTTCAGTCCCAGCGTAGTATGCATCCAATATATCGTAGATGGCCCACTGTTCGGTAGGAGATTGCGTGATCAGATTGTGCGGACTCTCGAAACTGCACAGTGTGCCGTCTAAACAGAGGACGAACCTCGTGGGTGTTGGTATAAATGAGAGTGTGGCCGCGGTTCGCGTAGCAAAGGTAATGAGATGATCGTCACAAATTCTATCTAGCTTTAAGCCTAACATTGATGAGGATAGAAGATTCGCAACAAGTTGTACCATCGTTTCCTCCAAACTCGCAGAAACCTGCTCCGCTTGTAGACCCAGCCCTCTTTGAGCACTCCTCGATCCCTCTGCCTTCTATTGTTGTTTCTTGGAGGCTGGAACTGAAATACTGCCGACATATCAGGATAGCGCAATGTCAAATTGAACCACGCAGAGAGAAAGAAAGCCAAGTCTTCCACGCTCCTGTTAGTTTGGATGTTGTAGATGGGGTCGTGCGATCTAGGTTGCAGAGTATGCTAGTCTATTGATTGCATCTAATGCGTAGTTCTTGGGTAGCCCGATGCTGCTGCAAAAAGCGCACCACATCTTTATCGCTTAAATTTCCAAAAAAAGGAGGCGAGTAAATAAAAAGCACTCTTAAATAAAGTTTAAGTTAGGGTACTCATTTGTGAATCCTCTAAAGCTTAGCCTCTGCTCCTTCAGACTTTTGCGTTTCCATGGCATGTAAGGGTTTTGGGTGTGTCTCTGATACAAATCCAACCTTGTCTCTGCTGGATTCCATATGGCTGCGATGATGTCGCAGACATCTACTACGATTGCCCCATTGTCAAACTGCGAACGCCAGCCAAGTTGAGTTTCGGAGACACGGAAAACGCCAACATCATGCTCTCCGAAGTGATCGCCGACGCAACTCACGCCTGAGACTTGGAAATACTTGGAAACCATCTTTTTTCCTCTTTCCCACGGCTTTCACATGAGTGTTAGCAATGTAATGAACTACTGCAGCGCCTGTTCTATGTCTACTGATGACTGCCTGTGTTTTACAGGTGCACCACCACGTTCAGAAATTCTACTACTCAAGATTTCGTTGAACGATGCTGCGTATCTCGACGGTAGGGGACTCAGAGGAATGCCTACCGCTATTAGAAGATATGATTTTTTTCATCTTCGTATTTTCTATTTCAGTCTCTCTCGGGTCCGCATGTCGCTGCAAACCTTTCGACCGATGAAATAAAATCGAATAGAAACCATGATCAGGTGTGAAAGCGTGATGACAGCGGCTGTCTGACAACTGTGCGTTCTTGGGGTTGATCGTTATTTGTTGTTCGGGAGGTGGACAATGTTAAAAGATTTGGATGAAATGGCGTAAAAATTGTGTCGCTGATGTGTATGTCGCTAAAGAGAAAAATGAGAAGGTTGTTCTGGTCCCAACATTTTCAGGAAAATATTGCTGAAAATCTGGTGAAGTACAACAGGTCCACAGAAAACTTACTCTCTGTGGAACTGTTGTCCCTCTCTGTGGACCTGTTGTCCGCATTGTCATAGGACACAGATCTCCACATCTACAACTATCGATCGTATGGCCCATACCCTCTACTGGAGCTACCACTCATCATCCCCTTCATCGAGTAGTAAGAACTATAGTAGTCTGCCTTTCCGCCACCGCCATAGTAGTCACGTTTTCCTCCACCCTCTCCTTTCATACGAGATGGGTACCCAGAAGAATCGCCCTTAAGGCTGTTGTAGTACTCTTTCCAATAGAAGTCTTTATCCTTCGAGCTCCACGAGTCGGACTTGTCCTTACCTCCGTAATAGGAAGACCAATAGTCTTTGCCGCCTCCATATTTGCTATTCCAGTAGTCCTTTTTGCTGCCTTTGTAAGAGGCGGAAGACGACGCGCCTCCGGGATAAGCATCTTCGTACCTGGAATGGAAATCGTCAAACTGTGATCGAGATTTGTTTTCATAAGTGACAATTAGTATTAGAAGGAGTTCATGATCTACTTGATCATGCTTAGGATAGGATAGGATAGGATAGGATAGGGTAGCATGCCTCGGTTTCGCCGTCACATCAAGGAGGACGTTGTGGAGGACGATAGGGCAGATCGCCCCAAGGAGGACGTTGTGGGGAAAGGGGCTTTTTCAGGAACGTTAACAAACAAAGTGAAACAAAATCCGAAATAAGTACTTCCACGTCTCTTTGCTCGCATTTGATTTTGACTGACCGCTTGTTCCAGGTTCTTCTTTCACTGCCACATCACCGCCCATACTATCAGCAGCTCCTATGCCCGTGCCGTCTTTATCAAGAACACCACTCGAAGAACCTGCTCCATTGGCTCCGTTCGATCCTGTTGCTCCTCCAGCACCTTCGTTGTAGTTTCTGTCTCTTGGTGACGGTTTATAGTCACCACCTAGAGGTCCAGCTCTGTTTTCACGACTCATGGTTCTGGTTGCACCAGAAGCGCCGTAGTAGTCTGTTTCAACGCCCCCACCTCTTGCTGCGTTGTCATATCCACTACGTGCTCTGGGAGCACTATCATAGTTGTACCCTCTACCGCCACCTCTGCCATCACCATGGTCGTATTCACTACTACTACCACCTTCTGCTCTGTTGTATCCACCGCTAACGCCTCCTTCTCGAATGAAATTGGCTCCACCTCCCGGACCTGCTCTTGAGGAGGAACCTCCAGCTCCTGCTGGGCCATTTCTACTTGTGCCTCCTTTTTCAGCACTAGTTGTTGTAGCATTAGTTGTTCCCTGTCCTCCACTCGTATGCGGCGTGATGTTGTTGTTCCAGTTGGCATTGTCGATGTCCTTTCGCGTCATTGGTCGCATTGGCCTACTATGCATGCTGGCTAGAAACTGTGCATGCATCATGGCGTGAGCCATGGCAGGGTTCTTCGTTAGGTACGCACGTGCCTCTAAAGGATTATTCTTCACGAGGGCTTGCATATGTGCAAGAGCGCAGAAAACTTCCGAAGTCGATAGAGTGGAAATGAGACCGGAAACTTCGGCTTGGTAGTTCACCTGCGAGTGTATAATTAATACGAGGAGAAGAACGAACATTGCGTGGAGGTAAATGGGAATGCGAAAAGGAGCACAAATCAAAGTTGTATGCATAGGGAAATAAAGCATCATGATTCATCTGAAGACCCAGGACACATGTTTTCAAGTATTTTCGATTTCGATAGATACCAGCACCAAAGCAAAGGCAAGAAAATTAAAAATTTCCGTACGTCATGCACTCCAACCATCTGTGCTTGCAACTCCAAAAAATCCCTTTGTCGCGTCGCGCCCAACATCTCGAGAGTTTTGATGTCCACGTCAGCGGTGTCTATTCTCAGTGGCCGTCCATAGCACTCGATGCCGTTCATAGTCCTACAACAGAGGTCTGCGGATTCAGCATCCTTAAATTCGCAGAAGCCGTAGCCGGTTATTAGAGGAGGTTGGTGAAGAAAGCGTCTTTTCGGATGATATAGAAGTAGGTTGATGTACAACCGAGTTGTAAACTACGTAGTACATGTAGTAAAAAAGGAAGTATAACCTCTAGCGGTCTAGATACAATCGGAACGAAGGATCAAGAGCTCCTTCGCCCATCGTAGTCAAATACTGACAATGATATGATACAATTCTGATACTAAATACAATTCTGTAAAAGAGTAAGAAAAAAACACTCGCCCTAACTTATGTATCTTTGCATCCCTCTCCTTCAGTATGCGAAATTGCTCCACTGCGCCGCATCTCTGGAAGATTTGGGTCAAAGCATCTTCCGTACACTCGTAACTGATGTTGCCCACGAAGACACAGCAATGTCGCGTGTGCTTGATATTGTACTGCGGGGCAGAGGAATAATCCGTGTAGAGAGCCATCTTTTTGGTCTTCGGCTAAGATGAAAATGTAAAGAAGAAAGCGTACTTAGGCGCGACTCGATTGTTCTTGTTCTTGCTACTCCTAGCTTAAATCAAGATAATTTTTACCTCCTCGACATGACCGCTTCTTCCAAGATCATGTAGCACCGATTACCTTGTTGTCGCTTTCCTTCCAAAACGCTAAACGAAAACAAGCTGTCAATTTGTCGCGTAAAAGGATCATGGTCGGAAGAAAAACTTTCGTTCAAGAACAGAGACGCTGCTTGAAATGATCCAAATCTTTTTTAGAAATCAAGGTTGGAACGGAGATTTCTGGTAGCCAGAACTGGAATTTTTTACCACAGATCATAGAAACGGTTGAAGCCTTGCCTTTTCCATAGGACAATACGCGACAGTCATTGTTAGAGACAATGCATACGAACACGCGCGCAACTGGAATAATCTGCACCGTTTTTGTAGCACGCATGCAAGACGGAATCCTCTTGTAAGCTTAGATAATGTGCATCACGATTCCGTAGTGTTTGAGTATGTGTCTGCGAGAGATCCCGGTAGCAGCAAATCGAAGATACAATGATGTGATTTGCGTATTCATCTCATGCGTAGATATTACTATTTGTATTGCGTACTGTTCATTCTCTTTCTCGGAATTCTTTCTAAGCAGAAGTTATGGTTCTTCTCTTCCTACTTGCTACAAAAAACACATGTCACTATGACAACAAACAGACATGATGGAGATTGCTCATGATCTTAGTGTGCATGGAGATCAGGAATCTTCAACATGCTCACGACCACTAAGAGAAGAATCCTCCATGGAAAATGGATCCTCATTTTGATTATGAATGTGACTAATATACTTACAAGATCAATCTCCCGAAGGATTCTCAACTATGCTCCAACCGCCATCTCCACCGTCTCATCTATGCTCCAACCGCCATCTCCACGTCTTCTTTGATCAGAAAGAATTGTTCAAGTCTTTGGACGCATTCTGCTACCTTGTCGTGGTCACAGAAGCAGCTAAAACGCACAAACCCCTCTCCTTCCTGTCCGAAGCCGACGCCGGGAGTGGTGATGATTGAAGGTTAGAGGAAGATAATTTACTATAATCATATGTGCTGACAGAAAATGAGAGGCGTGATGCGGCTGGTTAAGGCTGTAGCTAATCATGTATCTTTGCCTGCATCCTTGAAACGTATGGCGGAGTATCCCAGTGCGATAATCTGGCATACTTTTCAAGGATGCAGCTGGAAAATGATTGAATTACGGAGAGAGTTAAGCTGGTACTTCTTGATCATGCAGAATACTTTCTCTACTATTCTCTTTACAAACAAGGCGGAACAAAGAGTCCTCCATAATGACATTTCTCCAGCAGCGTCTGCCAGAAAGACCAGCTGGTCTGACCACTTGGCGCTTTCGCCCACAGGTATGGCGAGTGCACACCACCATAAACGTCTAGACCGCCTTTGGATACTAGGACACTCCGAAGCGCTTTCGCATTGCGCATATAATAGTTGATGAGGCCTGTGTTTGTAGTTGGGGGAAAAGGCGTTGATGAGATGGTGATCGACCGTCATCGAGAGCAGTAGATGAAAGAAGAAGACGAGTAGAAGCCCAGTATGTAGGTCCGCGATTTACATCCTTAACCACCATCCTTGTCCCCTTAGAAAACGCTGTAGCCTGCTGCAGATGGAGAGGCGCACTCAAGAACGTGCCTCTTTTTGACCCTTTTGAAGGGCTTGTTTTTGGTAGTGTATTCATGTACTTTCTTCATATAAACCATGATGAGGAGGAAGAGTAGCCTTGATGTTAAGTTACCTCCCTTATTTCATTCAGGAACTCGCTTATTTCAGTTTTTCGAAAAACGCTTCTTTCATCTACTGGACTTCTCTGCTAGTGTGATTTCGAGCACATCAAGGTAAGAAGAAAGCCACGATCATTACCTTTCATCTCTTCCTGTCCCTTGTCCTGCATACATGCAACGCCTCCTGCTTCCGCAATGTTACTGGGGCCATTGAAATATGTGCCGCAAATTCGCTTCCAGTCGTCATAGAGCGGCGTTTTCCCATCCTCATACATAACCTTCTTCGGACAAACGGTCCATCCTAACCGGACGCCGGTGAAGCCTACTAGTTTCGGGAATTAGAGGTCGTGGTATTGGTATTCGAGAAGTCGTGGGGGCCCTCGCTGGAAGATATTATCTGGATCCCTCAGGGCCCTCTTAGAGGTCGTGGTATTCATCGAGAAGTCGTGGCCCTCCTCGCTGGAAGATATTACTTATCTGGAGATCCCTCAGGAGGACCTGGACCTTTCATCTACAACTTCTTCTAGTGCACAGAGACCGCACTTTTAGTACGTGAAGAAGTGAATCCTTCTTGAGCAGCCATAGGAAAAACTCGACGTCTCAATTGCCACATCCAGTCCACCCGGAACTTCGTAGATGGAGCGTGGGTATTCGAAAGTCGTCGTGCTATCCACGTCAACGTCTTGTTCTCCCGAAGAAGTAGAATTGACAAAAGCGGAATAGGCAGAGTCGAAAACGATCACGGATTTCGTCTCTTTAGCAAATGCTACAAGCTTCTCCAGTTGTGATCTTGACGCCACTGCTCCAGTGGGATTGTTGGGTGAGCAGAAGAAGAGGACGTAGCTCTTTCTCTCGACAGAGTCCAGGTCGGGGAAGAATCCATTTTCTGGGGTGCATGGTAGGTAGCTGATACCTTGATACCTGAAGATGTTTCGATTTTCTCAGATGGGCAGGCGTGATACGGCAGCAACCAAGAGGACTGAAGAAAGAGCGCATCATCATCATGTGGTTGTATCGCTAATGGTAATGGTGACGACCCTCTACAAGAAAAATCAAACCCGCAAGGACACTCATATATTATACATAGACACCTCGAACTCCCATCCCCCACCGGTCCACCTGTTTTTCCCGCGATTACACTGCCATCCACATATGCAGGATACACGGGATCCTGGACGGCTATGTTACACTCTCCGAACAGCAATTGCATGCGAGCTAAGTCAGGTTTTGAGCCGTCTGAGATGATAACTTCATCCGGTGCAACAAGATTGTTGTAAAACTTCTCAGCAATGAGTTTGCGGAGATCTTCGCGCCCGTTCCAGTCAGGATAGCCGCTGTAGCCTTCAGGGGTCATAAGGCCTTCCGCGGCAGATTTCAAGGCATTGGAGATTAGAGATGGAGTCTAGAGTTTTTAGGATCAAGCGATTGTTGACGATCACGATTCTTCTTAATAGATTCATGATGTTGTTCCTCACGCTCGCAGTTTCTTGTACATCTGGACTAAAATAGAAATGAACATCTCCTGCTGGTGCATCTGTCTGCCATAAGCCGATAAAAGGCGGCAACGGCTGTGTCGTATCACCGATACCAAGGGAAATAAGCGGCCGACTTGGGTTCTCTGTTTCGCCCGATGCCTGCTTTTGCAAGTACTCCTCTTTCTTCTCTGCGATGAGGCGAAAGAGGTAGCTTGCTTGAAGCTTCGCGAAATGAGGTGAACGAACGACCATTTTGTTGGTTTTAGTCCTCTGGTTGCTCGTACTTTTAGTGAATGACTTGACGACGTCAACGTCTAGAATATTGTTGGTGGTGCAGATACTACTACTAGTGATAATAGTTGTACATGTAGTGGTTGTAGTACCTCATTCACCAACGAGTTGAAGAGACAGACGGAGGTGTTATTAGTAATAGAAGTGTTGATAATGTTCGGTTTCGGACATAGGAATTTGTGATATGTGAATTGGAAAATGATGTTAATAACAATCAAGTGTACAACAGATAATGAAGGGAGATTCTGATCCAGATGCATAGGTGGATAACTCCTTAGCATTTTTTTTGTTCAGTGTGGGTAGGGGCGCAATTTGTTTTTCAATCCTGCATGACCGCAGAGCTCTGTTGGGGCAGGGAGAGTTGCCCTTTTGCCTCTACAGCGATTTCGATCGTAGGCCTCGAGGAGAAGAAGATCAAGAACATCAAGAGCTTTCGGCATGACCGATTGATGCTGAACCGAGTTACACACACGGTTGATCGATGTGGCGTTACGCCCATCGTGATCGTCCTTGCAAGCCACTTCTATACCACACACGCAGAAGATGGAGGACGAAGTATTGAATCAGGTACAATTGAGATACATCTCTCGTTCACAGGGCAATATTTGGGTCACTTCATGTTCTTGCAGGGGTATTAGTTCTACTTCATACATTTAATTGCGTTCTGGTTCTCGGAAGAATATCATACTTGTTTGGTTTACGTGGTGATTAATATTAGGTTCTTCAGAAGTACTATCTGATATATGGACGTTGCGCTTTCCGAATACCTTGAATGATGTTATGCAGAAATTTGTGAACAAACAACTTGGATTTGAATACTTTGTTAGCAATCATACTCAACTTTTTCTTAGAATGAATCTACTTGAGATGGAATGAGAGTCAAAGAACTTCTTTTTAACTTGTACTTGTAGTTTTTATTGTTAGTTATGATGATCGCAGAAGAATTATAATACCTACTTCTAGTATTACATCGCGCCAATAATATGATTTCATACTTGAATCATACACTTAATTCGTAATCGTAGTTGTCGTCCTCTTCGAGTAGCAAGAAGCACTTCTTGCTCAACAACTACTTCTTCCACTCGTATCTCCTATTACTTGCTATACTTTTTAGCATATTTGTTTTCTTGTACTTTGCGACGTCAGCTTCGCGAATATTTCCTTATCAACCCCTTTGACTTTTTTCTTGCTGGTGTGGGTGGCTGTACAATCGGTTCTTGTTTCTTACATGTGCAGTTCATTTTCAATGACATTTGTATTACACTTTGTATATTAGCCGGCCTACTTGTTCATCTGTCATAGTCATACTATCTTCACTACTTTTAGAGGGTAGCGGTAAATGAAAGCTCTACATACGTGGTGCTTTACGTGCGTGGCTTACCACGTGAGCCACAAGCACAAGTGCACTTTACAATTTTCATGAGTTAGTTTGATTAAACTTAGACCGAATAGCCTTGATTTTCTGATGTTTTTCCGCAAAAGTAGTTTCAGTTTTTTTTAAGTCGAAGTTTCGAAATTTTGTGTAGTTTTTTTCGAGTTGTCATCTTCAGTTCTCAGTCGGGTTCACGTGATACATCTTGATAGTAATAGTATAAGCTCTTGGTCGCCGGGTGTTCGCATATGCAATTGTAAGTTACTGCCTGTTACTTTTTTTCATGACTTTGGAGTTTGAGTTATTGAGTATCTCTATTCTATTTAATTTCAAGAATGAGTGATCGTCAATTTCGAAAATACTTGCCATTTCTAGTTCTACTTTTAGTAGACTTACTTTGATATTATCCTGGATCATGCAAAGCTGATCATGTTCATGAGTTCTTGTCATTATTTTTTGACAACTGCCCCACCTCCACCACCAGCAGCAGCATTCTTAGCGGAGAGTGCTAGACAGCGACGGGCAACATGATGTTGAGCGCGTGCTAGGAGTTTAGACGGAGCTGGCAACTCGTAGTGGTCCTGTCCCTTAACTGGCGATTCAAGAAGATCTCCTGGTCGAGCTTGATGTCGTGATAATGATAACGAAGATTTCCTCTTGTCTTCCACTAGAAGACCTCCTAGACCTCCACCTCCGACATTTGTTCCTCCACGATCGTCCATGTCAATGCGGGTACCACCTGCAGTTCCGAAGACTTGGAAATCGTGTTCGTGGCTCAACATAGAAGTTGCAGAAGACGAAGACGTCTGCTCTTGATACTTTGGTTCCCTAGGTGAGCAACAAGACCCCAGAGGCGGCATACCAGGCGCACGATCATCTTCAACGCGGACTACTCTGCCAGCATCGCGTTGGCGTCTTTGTGCTTCCTCCTTCTTCCGTTTCTCACGAAGCAGAAGAGAACTATTGTGTGCAGCGAGAAGTTTATCAAAAGCGGCTGTTGGGCCTGCCGGTGGTTCTTCTACTGCTACATCCTTTTGTTGACTAGAAGCAGAAGCAGCACTAGTTGTGGTATACCTGGACAAAGATGATGAGTTCGCTTGATTTTCTTGGTTCGTCGAATTACCCTGGAGATTACGTATCTGTCTTTCACGAACATCGTCAGGAGGCTGTGGTCGAGGCTCTTTTTTCGACGGACTCGGCGATCTAATTAGGGTTTCTCCTTTTGGTTTTGGTGTAGGAGGTCCCTTCCTCGCTGGAGATTCTCGCAAGACTTCCACTGTCTCCACATCTGCTACAACTTGGTCTTTATCTTCTTGTCTTGCAAGCTCAACACGATGGTTATGTTGATCCACTTGTTGTTTCAGCTGATGTGCTTGCTGATTCAACTCAGGCCTCGTCGCAATTAAGCTCTCTAAGTCGATGCCGCGCCTCAATTCTCCTCCAAGAGACATGCCCTTTATTCTAGCACGACTAGTAGTATTAGCACTAGTCTTCCTTGTCTTCGAGGTCTTCCTAGCAGTGCTTGCTGATATATTACCCCTTTCAGGCTCCATCATGCATTCTTCAGACGAGGGGGAAGACGATGGAGGTTCTTGATAAAAGTGTGGTAACGGAGAAGCGCCCTCTTGTTGAGCAGTAGTGTCGTCTCCTTGTTGTTGATCATCTCCGTCCTTATCATGTGCCTCCTCTTGAGCCATGTTGCTCACGTAGAGGTCGCTAGCAGCAGACGTTCTGGCTTGCGGTGAGTCGTCATCGCCCTCGTGTATGGTTCCGGCTCTGGCCTCGCCTTCTCCAGGCGTGATGCCTGATGGTGCTCCACGCCGTCTCGGCCCATCCCTCTGAAGTCTTTCGACTCCAGCTCTTTTCCGCTCATCGTTGCGCTTGCGGTTTTGCTGTGGGGAAAACGGTGACTTAGTCAGTCCTGCACGCTCTGTTTTAGGCGTGCGTGATGCGGTTGACGTGGAGAGCCCCTGCACATTGCTATTAGGATCACCTGATTCCAGACCATGATCACCTAGACCTAACTTCGATCCTGTCTGTTTCAACTTCTTCTTCTTCTTTTTGTCCGATGCTGTTGAAGAAGGCTCGCCTCCTCCACTGCTTGTTGACATACTTGTACTTCCACCGCGTAAGCTTCTCGTTTTCTTGTCCAGTTCTCCACGCCTTTCCGGAGAAAACCGTTCGAGAAGAGCACTCACACCCTCATGCTCTTCTTCGACTAGTCCGCGATCTCCATATTGCTTGATATCAGCAAGTCCCGCGAGGTTCACAGGAGGCTTCTCGTATCGTTTCAATATACCAGCTTTCAAGTTTCCCTTTCTGTCTACTATGTTTTTCTTGTCAGCGATGATACTAGTTTCCGCGTATGGTTGTTGTTGGGCGAAGGCTGGCCGAGCAGGAGGTTCTTGTGCGGAAGGCTCTTGCAATCCGCCACTTGCAGCATCAATGCATTAGGGCTTTCATCCGATATTCATCTTTACTTAGCTGCATTCTTGTAGATTTTATCTTTATGTAGCTGCTGTACCTTTGTGTTTTGTACTCAAGGAAGGAGTGGATGTGGAAAAATATAGTAGATACTTTATAAAAATAACAATAATTAAAAATCCTACCTAAGGTCCTCGTCCTTTTTGTTTGATAAAAAACAATTACAAGGATGAGGACCTTAGGGAGGATGCACCAGGCAAAGATGGATTCAAGTGAGATTCTTAACTGGATGTCGGCACTTCCGGTTTCAGATTACCAATGACCGTTCCATCTGCATCTGCAAACCGTTTCATCGCTCGTCGATACGAAACGGCATCGTCATCAGCCATACCGCCATTCAGATCGCGTTCTTCGTCGCGTAAGTAACGATCCCCTCATTAGAGCCTCCATCAATAATCAAATCCTAAGTAGTTTGTTACCCGGTAACTAACTACGTTCCCTATCATAGCCCTATAGTACTGCATGGTATGATTTATAAACAATATCTAATTCCTGTTCCTCGATAAGGAGTCATCATGTCGTCCCAAGTTGTACTCCTGCTAAATAACTACCGGCAAGACGAAACAGTGACAGATGAAAGTAAGGGAATGAAATACAACTTACTCTTTGGAATTATGGATATGATAGATAGAAGTTTGGATAGAGGAGTTCCTGATGTGAGTCTTAACGTTTCGCCTCGGTCGGTTCTCTCTCCCGCACTCTCTGTCCTACAGGGTCTTGAATTGCCTCGATTCGCGCTTGTTCCCTATCAGCTTCCTCCTGCCTCTTTGTTTTCTGGTGTCGCTCTGTCTTAGAGCTTGCATCTACGTACTATTTGTAGCTTGAGTGACAGGGGATCATCTTCATCTGTACTGCATAGTGGCACCACATTATGTTAACCACATTCTACTCAAATGTGACTAGTTCCAGGTACATCGAAGAGGGAATTATGGATTACCATTATATTCGTTCCTTAACTGTCTTCACTACCGGGGAATTCCCTCCGCGTCGCTCCAAGAGCATATTGTTCAAACTCATCCTCTCAGGCATCAAATTAGAGCTCTAAACAATTCATAATTTCTTGCGTGCATTTCTTGCAATTCCGAGAAAGAAATAGCAAGAAAATACTTGTAGAAATGAATTGTATTGAGCCTTAATCAAAGGTTTCGCCTCAACGGTTTGACCATGTTCCATCGCTTCTGCAATCATTAATTGTTCCGCAGCTAAGGCTTCAGCTGCTGCTGTACTTTAGAGAGAGAAGACCACTTACAGATAGTGTCTTCTAGTATGACCACCGTACTAAACCTTATAGCCATGAACTGTGGCACTTCATTGATAATCAAAACGAATAGCCTGCGTGATGTGAGAAGTAGATTACATACTTAGACGAAATTGAAATATCCGTATGATCATAATGAATGACTTACAGATCTGAAATGTCACGACTTCTACTTTTGGGGATCTGCATCGAATTCGAACAGAATGAGGTTTACCTAGGACTTTTCAAAGTCAGTATTTCTATCATGGAGTAAATATTTATTCAATAATCACAAGATCGCGACTATCAAAATTTGTAGATGAGTAGTCCTAATTTTCAGCAGCAAGCCTTTGTTCCACCTCTTTCCGCGTCTCCCCATACTTCACATTCTTTCTCCATTCTGGCAATTTATACATCTGTTTCGGATCTCTTGGCGCTGCATGAGAACGCTCCACTCCCTTAATCGTTCGATACAAAGGTGCTAGGAATGATCCGGTATATTTGTCCTCCGCGTCATCTTCCTCAGCTTCAAGTCCTCCGCGTGCGCCTGCTCTTCCACCCTCTCTGGGAGATTCTCTACCTTTAGCGCTAGAATTTTTTCACTATGCCTAAGCCTATGCCTGCTTAACAAGTGCTTGGTTCCTTCGTCCCCCTGTACCTGTAGTTCTTTCCCCCTTAGAAGTTTCCCTTTGGTCGTTTCTAAGACGAACCCGCTTAGCATAGCCATAGTGCTGATAGTCCACATGGTAGAAACAAATAGAATTATATTAACTAAGTAACATAATTATAGAGTTGTTCCCCAGTTGCCCTTGATCAATTGATAAACTCGAAATAGTAAAAAAACTAGCCGTAATAGGTGAACGTGAAGAGTCGGGCCGGTCCCCGTATAATCGTTTCCGCATATTACTATCCGGGTGCGTAAGTCCTTCCAAGTCCTCGACAATGACTTCTTCCCTACTCGTTTTTGTCTCTCTTGGAGAGGACCCAGTCGTGCCATCTCTAGGAGATGACAACTGCTGCTGCTGTTGCTCATTTTTTTTCTTGTACTTGTTATTTTAGAAGTTACCTTACGGATTACGCATAATATCCAAATTCATCTTGAACAAGCGCCGCATCTGTGACCATTCTGTATATATTTCCAGCAGCGGCCCCAGGCTACAAAAAAAAATTTGCCTTTCCCTTTGAAAGAAAGTAAGTACGTGAGAGTAGATGCTTCGTATTAAGACGAACTTGTGACTTAGACTTAGAGGAAGCCTTAACTGATGTTGCCCTTGGAAGTGCCGTCTTCTGGAATGTCAAGCTTCTGCCTAAGTCCTCCACCCGCCTGGCCATCCATAAAATGAACGTCAAAAGCGTAAGTGCTCCCCAATCTGTTTGCTCCTGCTGGCGCGTCTTCGATATTAGAGGTACGGTTTTGGTGTTTCTGTTTCCCGTTTGTTCTGCCTTTCTCCCTCAGGAGAGGCACAAGAAACGGTAACAGGAGCACCTTGAACCTGCCCTTAACGATAAGTCCACCGCCAAAGTCGTCCGTAGTTCGGGAGTAAAGGTTTGTAAAGGCCTGTATAGGTTCCGGTACAACTGCACTCCCTTCCATACGAAGATCTCTTGGAGACACTGCTGGCATTCTCCTCTGACTCTGTTTTTGCTGTCTTCTACTGTTGTGATCACCTTGCTGCATAAAAGCCAAATCCAAGATGTTCGCTAAAGTTAGAGCCCGCCTCCGCAATTCATTTCGCAGCGGCATCCTTGAAAAATATGGTAGAGCGTTCCCTTGTGATGCTCCCTCATGCGTTTCAAGAATGCAGGCAAGGATCAATTACAATTAGCTACAGCCTTAACAAAGGATCATCTGCATTGTCTTCTCCCTCTCCGTGTCCGTTGTAGTCGATTTCTTCGTACCCGTAGTCGATATTGTCAGGCATCCCAGATGACGCGGCGGACACTTCTCCCAACATCTTCGTAGCGTAAGTGGCGGCTTCGGCTTCGGGTCGAACATGTTGTGGTTTGTATTGTCGCTGAGGCAGTTGTTAGAGCCAGCTTGCTTCTTTTCAGCCGCTCATCTTGACCCCTTTGCCCTTGTATCTCATTGAGAGTTCAGGGCAAAAGGGTACCGAGGAGATGCCGAGATGAAAGATGGATACAGGATACTCCACGTCCACATGATGGGACGATAGAAGTCAGTGATAAATTAAAAGTGATAAACTAGCCTTAAAACACGTTATTTTTTCCCCCGTCACGCAAAAAATGTTCTTGCAACCGCTCAGCCACGTCTGCTATTTGGCCGCCAGCCATATGCTTCATCTTCACAGCACGAGGCCCTTCGAGGGGTAACTGACCGTACGTAGCAGGATCGACTACGAAACCGCGCGGCGCGTTCTTCTTAGAGATAGAGCCAACAAAAACAATGCTTCAAATTCGTATCTTGTGAGTGGGCCTGGGCTCGCTAGTACAATAAGCTTTGAAGTAGATGCGGAGAGAACAGTGCAAAAGAATGTACACCTACTCTACATCTACAACTACCTCTGAGCTTATAATAAGCTCTGAAGCAGAGAAGAGGAGAGAACAGTACAAAAGATCGAGCTTTCGAGGCACTCTGCTTACGCCAACATGTTGGAGAAATAACAAAGGGGTAAGCTTTGATCATTGTGACGATGATTTATCTATCATTATATGATTGAAGGAGAAAGAGAATAAACAAAGTATAAGCTGTGACTGTGAAGAAGATGAAGTCTCAATCGAATATTGAGCCTTCGCCTTAATCCTTCGTTGTTCTGCTCTAGCAGCGTCTTGTAGCTCAGGGTCAAGTTCGTGTATCGCTTTCGGTTTTGGTCCGACGCCAGTGGTCCCAGTTCCCTCTACTTTGAGGAATATTTCTTCTGGTAAGTCCGGCAACCCTTTTGTTAGAGCGCAAAACAATTCATCTCTTGTGCCCTGTATTCATTCATCTCCCAATCCACCTAAGAAGCAATAGCGAGGAACAGGGGAGCCCGAAATGGCCGGCATCACGGAACTCTATCGCACTACAAAAAAAAGCCAGTAGAAATGAATTGTATTGTTCATCTTCTTGAGCCTTAATTTTGGAATTCGCTTTCCGCGCAGCGCTCTAATGTTGTCATGTTCATCGACGTAGTACTCGGAAGGTCTCCGCGCGGTCTCCTGCGCCTGCGCATGTTCCTCTGCCTTAGCTTTAAGATACTTCAGGTTGCCCGCGCCGTCGACGCGGACATCTGCGCCGATCGCGTGAGCATGACGAGAAAGATTAGAGCTACCGCACTCGCATCCTCCTCGAGAGCCATTTTTTCCTTGGACACTCATTTTTCCCCTTGAAAATATAAGGTCAAGGAAGATGCAGAGGAAGCCGATGCTTCAGCAGTAGTCTTAAGAAGAGCATCAGCCTGCGAAGGCACATTTGCGTCGCCAGCTCGTCGACGACCTACGGCACCAGTACGAAAAGAACCCCGTGGTAAGTCTCCGTCCCCACGAGGTGTACTGCGCCCACTCCCGCCATATCCGGGCCCATCTCGCCCGTAAGGACCGCTCTCCCTTGCGCCGTGCCCACCAATCCCTAGTGCGTGCCTAGTATCGGTTAGAGCTCACCCTAATCCATCTTGAGATGCATCTTGAGTCTGCTTTCTCCTTATGGGAAAGCTTCAAAATACTCCGTCGGAAGATGAATGATCAGGGTAAACCTTAAATCTACATGATGAGGAAGATTTGTCGCATTAGCACGTCCACTACCATGATCAGGATGTAGTCCGTGTTGTCCTCCCGGACCTCTTTGTTGACCACCTCCGCGTCCGCCACGAGAACTTTTGCCCGTACTACTCGTTGTATCTCCTTCTCCACCGTCACTCCAACCATCTTCAGCACCCACATCGCCAGAGTGCTGTCCAGTAGCCATCGCCGCACTTTGGCGATGACCACTTCCATGCTTAAAAAATGCTCCACTAGAGCGTTAGACCTCTCCCCAATGTAACTCATCCCTGTGGAAATGATCCCTCAAGAATAGCAGGTACGCGCCAGCATCAACCATCTCCGTTGTCTATTGGGAGTAGACCTGCTTACTGTTGAGGGATCACGACTATACATAGTAGAGATGGTGGAATAGGGAAAGCCTTAATCAAGCAGGTCCATATCGAAACTATCTCCAGCACTTTTGTGGTAGCCTTGATGATCGTGCCCTTTTCCGTGATGATCTTGTCGTGAGCGATGCGTATGATCTGCACTTCTGTGGTAGCCTTGATGATCGTGCCCTTTTCCGTGATGATCTTGTCGTGAGCGATGCGTACGATCTTCCTTACTAAGCTGGTCGAGTTGGTCTCGCTTGTATAGGCTGTCCCCAAAAGCTCCGTACCAAGCCGTCTGGGCCATCTGATACGCTTTTTGGTCCCGTCGCGCCAATAATTCTTCAACATCAATGTCTCCAGCCAAAGTCCCCTTGACCTGCATCCCGTCCAAAATGGTTTTGTTATCGAGCATCATCACGGCACCTGGTGGACCTTGCAGTTGATCGCCCTTCAATCTGCCAAGCACCAAATCTTCCATCTTGTTTTCTTAGAGGTGGCTAAAATAAGTCAACTCTTTCTCTTTAGATCATTGCTCAATGTACAAAGTCCCAAGAACAAGACACGGACACAAAAGAAACAGAGATACGAGACAACTTGGAAAAGGAAATGAACTACCTGTAGCCTTAATTTTCCATGTCCAGGTGTAAGTGTGCCATTTCTTTGGCAAATGGTGGCACTTTCTGCGGTCTGACCGATCCGTCCATGTCAGGCAGTATAATTTGGCCACCCAGCAAGTCGGAATCCACGATTTTCTTCACGCCGAAAGGAGACTGTTCTGGGTTTGGCGAAAGCACTAGAATGCGATTGGAGAAGTCGCGCCTGGTTACGCCGTGTCGTTGCAAGTGCTTGACCATCTCTGGAGACAGTCTTCTAGGACTCAGATCCCCAGTTGCTGGATTGTGATCTAGCAAGCCTCGTTCTCGCAGGTAATCCTTGATCTCTTCCCCCGATTGGACTGTTTTTAGAGCTCAAAGCAATTCGCTTAATGCTCCCTCTTCGTTTTTTTTTGTAGTGTGAGCGAGTTCCGATAAATCAAAAGTTACCTGCGTATCTCGTCCTGGAAACAAAAGTCGTTCTAAGAAGGAAAACGAAGAAAATGGCCATGGAATCTGAATTATCTCGAGCCTTAATGTTTTGTGGTTCTGCGGTGACGGCGAACGCGACCTACTAAAAGCCGGACCGCCTCCAATACCTTTGGAGTCGTTCTTCTGATTGATTTGCATCAGACGTTCTGCTTTTGCTAGAGACTCGTCAGCCTTCCAATGCAAGTCGTGGTAATTGGAGACCTCTTTCAATTTGATTAGAGCTTACGTCGACCTAAATACATCTACTTATACATAATAAATGCGCCTACTTCTTTATTAGACTACGTCTCCCCTTGAAGATGAAAGAAAGCACGTTAAAGAGATGCATCTTTAGATGAATAAATATGAGTAGTAAGCCTTAATTTGATCCTCGGTAAGGCATGTGGATACAGCGTGCGTTGGTCGCGCAACGGCGAGCCGGGTGGCGAGTTCAAGATACGGTTTAACTCGTCCTTCGCATCCTCCAGTCCAGGAGCGGTGTTGGCGTCTAGGTACCGCAATTTTTAGACCTAATACTGCGCAGGCTGAAGACTCATCTTGGATATTATAATAGTCACTTACACTTAGCAGCTTTGTTTCCCTTAACTAAGAATGAAAGGGGTCAAAGACGCTTACTTGTCAAGATGAATATTAAGGAGAAGTCTTAAAATTTTCTCATTTCACTGCCCACTAGCTGTGGCGGCCCTTTCGGCCGCGCACCAGGACTCCTAATGCCCTGATAAAGCAAGTTGGGATCACCAAACTCGATCATTTCGGCCCCCGTGAGCCCTCCTTGCTCCATATCCGAGCGGAAAAAGTTACCGTGTGCATCAACATTCGCAGGTCGCATATGATTAGACCTTGCAGCCTAAATCCATCCCAGTCACAAGCATCTTGCTTCATCCCTTTTCCCCTTCTTGCTTCATCCCTTCAAAATGGGGACAAGATGCCGAGAAAGATGGATTTCGATTTTTTTGAAACCTTAATATGAGGAGCGCCAGGAGAACCACGACTTCCACTTTCACTGCTGTGGTGGGAAGAACCATCCTCGTGCATGCTTGGCAATTTTACTTTTTTACCTCCTCCACGGGCACTCTCCACAGTTACAGAACCCATGTCCCAATCACTTCCATGATGATCATGATGTCCGCCGCCTCCGTTTACAACAGCGTGCGTCTTAAGTCCATACCGAGCATTAGAAACACGGTTTGTCATGAATCTGAGATGCATAGGTCCTCCCACAATCTGTAAGCTAAATTTAAAGGTTGAAGAAATGCATCATCATCGTCAGTACGTCTTAGATTGTCACTCTTTACCATCGGCAATTCCTGAAAGGACCCCGAAGGACAATGTGAGGACAACTGTGTAAAAAAAAAGATGAACATGAAGGTGAATCGTGATTGAATAATCACGTGAGGAGCCTTAACAGCATAGCCACCGGCTTTAGGTGGACCTGCCACATACCGGTTTTTTCGCAACTGATTACGCAGCGCCGCAAGATAACCAGCTTGCGCGCCCTGTCGAACCGCGTCAGAATCCAGAGTACGCGCGTATCGCTCCAATTCCACCAGTGCATCTTGAGGCATCAATGCGGAATGGGGATTAGAAAGTTTAAGTTCCACTTCTATCTATTTAATTGCTGAAAAAAATGTTGTTGTTTTTAGTCAAAATTGCAAGTCTTGAGGTAAAGATCGACGTGCAGTTATCTTGAAGCAAGGAAGTGGTTTAAAGTCGAAGACAATCTGTCCTTTGTTTGTTCTCACATTCAGATTCAACCGCTGCTCTCTTGGTCCCGCTTATTTGGGAAGCAGAAACTCATCAAACTCAATCAGTACCACTGGCACTAGCACAACAAGAATCAAGAAAATATAATTTTACTAGTCACAGCACGAGCGAGCCCACACTCCGTAACATTTTGTTCCAACCGTTGCGCATCCGCGTAAGCGCGCAGTGTGTCTAGGTATGCGTCCGCATAGGGATCGAGGGAATCCGAGAGCAGGTATTCCAGAGGCTGTAGAGGTAGGCCGTCATCTTCCTCCAGTACGCCGACAATGCGTTCCAAACTTGTCAGGATCTGCTCACAAATCTCATCGCGGGAGTAATGCTTTTTTTTCTTACTCCCGCTTTCTCGCACTTCGATCACAGAGGACTTCCGCTTCGCTGCAGCAGCATCCTCATCTTCTTGACGATCCCCAGCAGGTGGTCCATCTTCATGATCTCCACCTCCAGCTGCTACACCATCTTCGTCAGCAGTACTAGCATGATCTTTTCCAGATGGCTGACCTTCGCTACCTGCCCCCGACGCCGACCCCGCAGCAGGATCTTCATCACCTTGTTTGGATTGGTCGTCCGCATCGGGATTTTCCGCGAACGATGCGGAGTCGTCGGTTACCTTGTCGCCCATCACGTTCTCTTCATCTATTTAGAGTGTGCTTGGAGCCATCTTGGTTTCCTCATCTTGGTGCCCGTTCCTTTCTATTCAATTTCAATCTCCATGGGAGAATAAATGGAGAATAAGGGTACCGTCGAGATGCTCAAAATAAAGTTACACTCGTCAAAGATGGATAAAACTAAAAACTGACCATAATGATATTCCTCGTGTTCTTCGTCACCGTCCTCTTCATCGGCAGCACCTCCACCAGTTTTTCGAGATGAGGCACGCTTTTGTTCCTCCGAATCGCTCGGACCAAAATGCGCCTCCTCATCGCCACCTTCACCAGGTTGCTCTGCATCTTCTTGATCAAACTGGTCTCCATCTTGCTGGTCAGTTTGTTGTCCGAGCAGAGATGATTGTTTCCGTTTTTCGTCGCCACTTGATGTTTTTGATGCTTTAGATCCTTTTGACGATTTGGATGCTTTCTTAGAGCTCAAAACAACCCATTTCTTGGTCTTACATTTTCTCAGAATGTCACGAAGAAAACAGAGAAAAGTTGTGACAGACTTGATGTAGAAATGAATTGTGTTAAGCCTTAGCTTTGGAGCTTTTCGACGCTTTGGAGCCTTTCGAGGATGCAGATGCTTTCGAGCCAATCTCATCATCGTCTTGCTTCTCATCAGGAGTAGGTGCTTTTTTATCTCCATCACCATCTGCAGAAGCAATAAAGTCCTCCTCGTCTATTCCTTCATTCCTTCCGCCCATGATCATAGAGGGCATGGCACTCTTCATGCCGTCAGATTTGCGTGGTGCGAATAGAGCTTCTTCATCCTTGAAGTCCTCTTCATCAGCCTCTTTAGCGCTTTCTGGACCCTTCATACGCTCTTCTACATCGTGCACTGCCTGTTCTCGTTCTGCTTCCGAGGATTGTTCAGAGGCGCTCCCTCTCGGAGGAGGTGGGTTAGTTGGACTGCTCACTTCCTGCTGTGGCACTTCCTCGATGCCTGCAACGACGGAAAACGATTCAGGCAGATCCTTCGGTAAACCGTCGTGGTTAGGATCCTCATCCCCAGTTCCCGCGTCACTAGCTGCGGGAGTGTCGGAGATGATGTTAGGCGCTCTGCTTCCCATCATATTGGAACCTCGCGAACCAGGTGGAGCTCCTATAGCTGCCATGGTGTCACCAATAGAGCCCGGTCCCCCAATAGAGCCCGGTCCCCCAATAGAGCCCGGTCTCCCCATAGAGCCCGGTCCGCCAATAGAGCCCGGTCCCCCAATAGAGCCCGGTTTCCCAATAGAGCCCGGTCTCCCTATAGAGCCCGGTCCGCCTATAGAGCCCGGTCCTCCTATAGAGCCCGGTTTTCCAATAGAGCCCGGTCTCCCAATAGAGCCCGGTCCTCCTATAGAGCCCGGTCTTCCTATAGAGCCCGGTCCGCCAATAGAGCCCGGTCCCCCAATAGAGCCCGGTTTCCCAATAGAGCCCGGTCTCCCAATAGAGCCCGGTCCGCCGATAGAGCCCGGTCCGCCGATAGACCCTGGAGGAGCCGGTGGAGGAGGAGCGCCTTCGGATCCTTGAGATTGACTTTGTGCGTCTTCAGGTGGTGGAGGTGGTTCATCACCTAATGAACCCCCTGTGGAACCACCATCAGCATCTCCTGGCAGAGGACCTCCATCGACATCTGGCATGTCATCGCCGCCAAGTGCCGGCATGTCATCAGCATCGTCAGCAGGCGGCCCGTCTTCTGGCAAGTCGTCAGGAGGTGGCATGTCATCAACATCATCGGCAGGCGTGCCATCATCACCAGGCGGCATGTCATCGTCAGCAGGTGGCATATCATCATCGGGAGGTGGTGGTATGTCATCATCGGGCAATGCCATGTCATCATCAGGAGGTGGCATATCCTCAACGTCATCCCCTGGAGGTGGCATATCATCTCCACCTGGCATATCTGCTATATCTCCAACGTCGATATCGTCTTCTGGTGGCACCGGAGGACCTCCTGGAGGAGCGCCAAAACCTGCTGCTAAGCCTGGTGGTAGACCTGGTGGTAATCCGTCGGGAGGTGGTATCGGCATTGTAGATTTAGGAACGTCTTGGAGTACAGTACTCTTCTTTTGGGCAGATGGTTTTCTCTGCTCTACTTTCGGAGGCGCAGGGGCTTTAGCTTTTGGCGGTCTAGTAGAAAGTTCTATCCCTTGGCCTGGTTCCACAGTGACTATTCTCAGGTTTCCCAGTCTCATGACCGTTTCGCCAGCGGGGAGAGGATTAATCGTGCGTTTCGCTCCACCTTTAGGCGGTCCGTAGTACGCAATATCACCTCGGGTTCTGGCGTATCGCTTCGCTGCGGCGGTTTTGTGGCCTAGGTAGTATTCTTGGAGCTCAACGAAGCAATTCACTTCTTGCCTGCATTTCTCCCAATGAATCCTAAGAAAGGAGTTAGTAGGGAGAAATGCCGTGGAAAAATGAATTTCAATTCTAATTCATTGTATTGAGCCTTAATATTCACTCAAATTCGCTAGAACCTTGTTCTGATACTCGTCTAGCTCAAGTTGTCGGACTTCCTCTTCGTCTTTTGCTGAGGCAATGATCTCAGCGGCTATGGTCGTGCCACGGGGAACGTCCATGTGCGCTGCTAAAAGAGGACTAGTCGGCACCTGGTTGAAGACCGAATGGCGCGGTCTCGTTGGAGACCCGACGTTGCGAAGACCCTTCGCATTGGCATATGGTGAAGAAAGTGGCGAACTACTTCTACTAACATCTTCAGGTGACGCTTCATCTGGATAGAAAAGAAACCCTCCACCTGGCCCTGGTGGTACGGATGTATGATCACCTCCACCTGGTGGCGCAGAAAAATGAGCGCCCTCGCGGTTCTGTTGCTGGAGGTCTTGCTGGTGCTCCTGTTGTAGGTGCTCCTCAACAATAGGAGAAGGTTGATCAATCACGACACCTGCTCCTCCCGTCAACATCTCCGTGGTTAGTTGATCTCCAATCCCAAATCCGGGTTGATGAACGTACTGTCCTCCATGATCTTGCCCACCTACTCGTTGGACAACTACATCATGCACTATGCTGTGCAAATCCAACTCCGGAGGCGAAGCTTTCTTTGAAGGTGGTGCGGAAAAACGAGGCCTCATGATTTCGGCTTCGGCACCACTTCGTGAATCTTCATCCGAGGAAAAATCTACACTTCTACCTGAAGGCGATTTACCTGTAGGAGAAGTCGCTGTGGTCGTACTTGGTCCCCATAGTGGCTGTGGTTGTATTGTAGTTTGACCATGATCTGGCGCATCTGCATTATGATGTGGCACGGCAGCTAGTCCTTGTCCTACCTGTGCTTGTGGCACTGTTAGTCCTAGTAGTTGTGGCATAGCCATAGAAGATACTCCTTGAAGATGCGGCACTGTTAATCCCCCACGTGGTTGTGGAACTGATGTTAGTCCTTGATGTAGTGGCACAGATGTTAGTTCCTGATGTAATGGCGCTCTGTGTCCTTGCACATGCAGCCCTTGGAGATGCGACATCGGGAGCCCTCGTAGATGCGGCATTGGTCCTTCACTTGGTATCGTTAGTCCGTGTGGCGCACTTAGCCCATGCTGTGGCGCACTTAGCTCATGCTGTGGCGCACTTAGTCCATGCTGTGGCGCACTTAGTCCATGCTGTGGCGCATTCTTTCCACCCTGCATCGGTGTACCCGTTCCCTGCGGTGGCATCCCACTTAATCCTGCTTCCTGTCGTTGAGGTTGAGCTACAGACCGTTGCACTTCTTGACCCTGTCCTTGCAGTGGCTGTGGCTGTCCTTGATTTGGCACTCCAACTCCTACTTGTTGACGTTTTATAATTACCTGTTTCGGGTAAAGTAAGGTTGAAATCGGAGGACTGTCCAACAATGTCAAAGGTGATGATTGCGATTGTGAGGATGTCTCTCGCTCTCCAGGAGGACTACCCGTCGCTTCTCCTGTAGTTTGAGTTTGTTGTTTTCGCGCACCAGAGTTTCGGGACTTCGTTCGTCTCGATCTCGCAGCATACCCTTCTCCCTTGTGAACCTCTACAACGTCTACATCCTCTGCAAACTTTAGAGCTCACCCTTATCTCCATTTCAAGATGGTGCATCTTCCTGGAGCTGTTCTTTTCCCCTTAATGGGAAGACTCAGACAGCTTCAAGATCGATGCTTCATCTGAAGATTGATGGATCAAGTTCAAGGGATGAAGCCTTAAAAACTCCACTCGTTTAATGCGTTTCTTTGGCGTTAAGGACTCCAACTCGCGGTCTACTCCGCTTCCAGATTTAGATGAACCCCTAGACGAGCTTGAGCGTCGTCTCGCTGGCGGAGGGCCCCTTCTGGCGGTGTTCGTGTCAGCGTGGACGGTCGGGTCAGCATGCTCAGCACGCCACAAAGAGGAACCACGGAGACTGCTCACTGGCGACGTGCTTTTATCCGCTACAATTGCACTCAGTCTGCTGCTCCTAGGCATAGACTGACGAATTCTGCCAGCTTCCCCCAACCTGGATTAGAGGAGAACGAGGGAGACAGAGAGGTGAATAGTAGCAGTTGTAGCAGAAGTAGTACTACTAGTAGTGCAATTAGTGAGTGTGAGATATGCATAGAATATTGTAACTGTAGCATCACGATCTTCACCGAAAACAAGAAAAAACAAGAACTACTAGTTAAATAAGTACTAGCTCCATTCTCTGCTTTTTTTTACTTGGAATTAGTTATTAAGTAGCTTGCCATAAGAAGAAGAGCTTCTGCTTGACCGTGAAGAGCGTGACGCTGAAGAAGACGCTCCTGAGTGGGCTTAGAGCTCAAAACATTTCGCTTCTTGCCTGCATTTCTTCAGAATCCCAACAAGGAAACTGCAAGAAATGCCTTGTAGAAATGAATTGTATTGAGCCTTAATGAACAGAGGCTTCCGACAGAACTTCAAGCCTTTCCGCCTCTGCTTCCGCACGAATGCGGTCACTAAAGGTTCTCACCAACTTTCTTGGATGTTGCGGATGTTGTTGTTGAGGAGATAAAGTGCCACCACCTGGAGATCCAAAATTTGGATCAGGTTTTAGAAGCTAAAAATTATATCTATAAATTCTTGGAAAAGAAAATAAGATTGATGTTCATGAGCATGTTACCCACAGGATCTTTGACGTTTTCCTGTTCTCTGGATAATTTCATCTAAGGAAGTCGAGGAAGAGTTGGAAGTAAATGATCAAATGAACAACACAAAACATCAAATGAACATCTTAATGCTTGTTGATGATGTTGATCTCGCACGAGAGCGCTTCGCTGGTGTTGGGCAAGTGTCTTTTGCTCTGCTACTTGTGTTAGAGCTCACCCTTATCGTCCATCCTGAGATGCATCTTGGTAAATCTCCCTCCTTAAGGAACAGCTTGTTTTCCAAGATGTACTATCTGAAGATGGACCATTAGGGGAAGCCGTAATTGTAGCTGCGGCGGAATTCTGTTTTTCTGAATGAACGCATCGTCGTGCTGTTGTTTCAGCATGTTCTTGTAGTACTCGATGTTTGCGGGTTTCCGTTCGCGGACGCGGTTCTCAGCAGCGCGACGTCGTTCATCTTTAGTTCGAGGATCTTTATTGTTGCTGTTACTGTAGTATTCGAGGTAGCTTTTCACTATCCCTGGTCGAGTGCACTGCCCTTTTCATCCCCCTTTCAATATATTACTTTCCACTGCAGATCAGGGGGATTTCACTCGCTATAGTCCACGTGGGATAATGATAAACTACCCTTAATAGTAGCTGCTTTCACTCGCGCTCGAAATCGCACCGCTGCGATCGCTGTCCACTCCACTGGAACTCTGCGCGCTCGACGAGTTGTTTACGCTCGAGCTCGACGTCGCGGTTGGCGGCTCTTGTCCTGACAGGTAAAAAAAATCGCGCATTTGATCTTCTCTCCTTTTTTGTTCCGGTCGCAACGTGTTTTGCAGAAACTGAGTGTCCGTGTTCTCAGCAGCGTGGCGACCATAATTGCGGTCCCTGGCGTAGAAGTTGACCAGATCGTGGTAGTCCTGGTTACTGCGAACGCTTTGATAGTTACCACTCCCACGATGACGCACTCCCGCTTGCTCTGCCGCGTAGTTCTTTCTCTTAGAGGACGAGGCTCATCTAATTCCTTCTCCTATCAACATTTTGGTGGAGAACTCACATCCATTATTTGTCTGGAGCTGTGTGAAGCACCTCTGTGCTTACAGGAGGACAACGACCACAGCTCCAAGATGATGTTTCTGTTTCTCTTGATCTACTTCACGGATTAATAATAAATTTGATAGTGCTGGAACAACATCTACATCATCGAGTTCAAGCCGTAAGTCTAGCCACATATTGCCCGCCCACATGTTGCTCCAGATTCATTTGCCTTGCCTGCAGCTGCAGATGGGCAGAATCAGACAGGTTCCCCATCATTCTTAGAGCTTACCTATATCTATTCATCATGAAGCGCATCTTTGACTGTTTTTCCCATCGAAATCGTGCCAAAGATGCCGCTCAAGACGAATTTATTGCGGAAGTCTTAACATTGGCATTCCTTCTCTGATCTGCTTCGCTCGTATTTCACGCTCCCGTTCAATTTCGGCAAGTCTAGCGTTTTGACCCATAGCGAAGGGCGACTGATTTTGAAACGCTCCAGCTTCTCTACCCTGGGTGAACATCTCCTTTACCGGACTGCCGTGAGGATCTGCAGGCTCAATCGGCACAGGATTCTTGTACCGCTCATAGAGTTAGAACTAAGAGAACTCCATCTTCGGATTCGTCTTGGTTCCCGGTTTCCCTTTAAAAACGGGACCAAGATGCTCGCGAAGAAGAAGATGGATTTCTTCTAGCCTTAATACAACTTTTCCAATCCGACAAGATTCCTATCCGTTATGCCAGCTCGTGTCAGCGTGTCTGGACGGACAACCAGATTAGAGCTCAAGGCAATTCATTTCTCTATAACAGCATATTTCTCAATATCCTAAAAAAGAAATATGATCGAGAAGCAAACGACTGGTAGGAATGCAAATGATTATTTAATTGCATTTTTGAGCCGTAACTAGACCGCTTTTGTTGTAAACCCACTCAGTGGTGATCTCCTCTGCATGCGCTTCCACTGCGAGCGAAAAGACCCGATCCCCCTGAGTGTTCAGACGGTATCTACCGTAGCTCCGGAGAGCTTCCAGCAGGAGTTCGCCAGGCATCATTGGCTGCTCCTTTAACAGCTTCGCAACCAGCTGCTTCAAATGCTTCATTGTGCGCTCTTGGACTAGACGAGCCATTAGAGGAGGGCGGCTAAAAGTACTAGTACTTCTTTTGATGGATGTAGTTGCGGACAACATATCCACCCGAGGCAGAGATACATTCATGTACGAACCAGTCGTAATGCACCATAGCACCACGCTCCTCTACAACTACACACAGGGAAAAATAGATCTCCGTTCAGCTTCAATCGACGAAAGACCATTAGCTGCAACGGCAACCATTCACTACGAGTTGTACGAACTCCTACAAGAACTTTCACGACGGCTTAGTTCATCAAATTCATTTGCCATAAGTGCAAAATAGTGAGAGCTTCCATTCGCCACTTTTTATCTGCTTCGTCCGCGTTGAGGGCGATCATCATTTGACGCATATCCATTAGATGCTCAATCATGTTGGCATTGTCAGCTCCAAATTCTAGGAACGCGTCAAAAATCTCAGACCCAGGCATATCCGGTCTCTGATTTGCGAGACGAACAGCAGTAGTCTTGATCTTATTCGGAGGCCAGGAGGAGGACGAGTCGTCTTTTATTAGAAGCAAGATGATGGTGCTGTGCCTGTGTCGAAAGTAGAAAAGTAGAAAAGTAGAAGAGGAGGAGGGGGAGATGAAAAAAAAACTGTGCTGAATGTCATGCAGAACAACATCAAAATCAAGTTGTTATGCTAGATGAAGTAGAAGAACGAAGATGAAGACGAAGTAGAGTCACTGGCATGATTGTTCTTCTATCGCCAAGTATCAGTCCTCTACTAGGAACGAAGGTTTGAATTTGTAAACGGTGTTGATTTATAAAACATAAACAGTCTTGATGTAGTCTTAACTCTTCACCACCACCGCCGCCTTGTTGCGGTTCAGTAGTCACTTGAGCGCCAATCTTCGCGATCAGTCGTGTCGGATTCGTGCCTTTAGCTTCGATTTCCCTCTTGTGCTCTTTCACTGCGGCGACGTAGGCCTTCCCCATATTTTTCGCGTACTCCTCTAGAAGTGAGAACAATTGGGGTCCTGTGATTAGAGCTCAAATTTAAGCACTCCAATTCTTCCCTTCATTTTTTCAGAATCCCGCCAAGAAAGAAACAGCAAGAAATGACTGGTGGAAATGAATTGTGTTGAGACTTAATGTAATATTCGGCTGCTTGAAAAGGAAATCCGGCAAAATCTTGTCCCTCAACCTTTTCCACGCTTGCCACTCGTCGACCACTGGCTCGTTCTCGTCGTCATTTTTGCCCTTTGACGGCACATCTAAAGCTCGAAGTCGATCAGCAGCATCGGAAATGACGCCTTTGCTGCTGTCTTTTTTAGAGCTACCGCGGTCGCAACATCCCTGAGAGCCAGCATCCTTGGCAGCTTCCTTTTCTTCAAGTAGAAAAAGAGCCAAGGATAATGTGGAGGATGCTTCAGTAGTAGCCTTAACTTTTACTTCACTGTAGATCGCCTGTAAGGACGCATCCATGGCAGCTGCGAATTTGTCGTCAAAGTTTTTCAGGTCTAAAACTTCCTCAGCGTAGGTACGCACGTTGCGCGTGATTACGCTGGCTTTGGCAGACGGATAGCGTTTGGCATATTCAACCGCTGTCTCACACACGCGCGCGGCATGGTAACCTGGCAAACCCGCCGGGCCGAAGGCGGCTAGTGCCGTGATGTACCCAGGTGACGAGGCCATCGCTGCTGCTTTGGACAAAAGCCGCTCTTCTAGCTCCACAGGATATTAGCAGGTGCGTCCATTCATCTCGCCTCCCTCATTTTGGTACCTTTACCTTTGTACTCCATGAGGAAAGGGTACCAACATGCTGAGGTACAGATGAATGAAATATTATAGGTGGCCATAAGTGTACTGGACCACGCGACGCGCAACTTCGATGTCTACCTCGTTTTTCGTCTTGCCCTGACTAGCAGCTGACTTCCCCTCTTGCTCACGGAGTTTGACTCCGACCTGCTGGATGTGCTCCCACTGATTCCCAAACTTGGTCTTGTCGAGTTCGTCTTTGGGGCCCTTGCCCAGTGCGGCTAATCGATCTCCAATCCTATCGAAGATGCGCACTCGCTTGATGTCTTTCCTGTCTAAAACTTCATTGAAGTTCGGCTTATCCTTAGTTCTTGGCGAAGCAGCAGTACGAGGAGATGAGGAAGACATGGCAGCACTTGCTATGACAGGAAAAAGTGTGCTCATCCTGATCAGCAAGAAATAACTACTTATTTACGTTCTCCTAGGGACAAGTTCAAGTACAGTACTAGGAGACTCCCTCAACATTTCTTGAGTAAAATGAGTGCACGACTTTTTCCCTTCATACTTGGTCTAGGTGAAGCACGCGGAGCAGGCTTCGTCTTTTGTGCTTCCTGGTTGGCTTTGGTAATCTCTTTGTCTAACCTTGGCTCTAGCGTTTTGAGAGCGTTGCTGAACGCCTTCCCATTAGCCAGCTGCTTCTTTTCTTCTGCGGTTGTGCGTGGGGAAGCAGCCTGCAGCGAGGGCATTAGAGCGCAAATAAACATTTCAATACACTTCTTACCTTCATTTCTTCAGAATCTATCACAAGAAGAAGAAAAGAAGGAAATGGAAATGACAGTTGGACGAAATGAATGGTATCGAGCCTTAATGGAACGTCATCTTTGTACTTTTCTTCTGCCTTCACAACATTCATCGTCTCATCCCGATCGAGTTCAGCAGCGTATTTCCGCAACTGCAGCTTCGCGAATTCGGCTGTGATGTTTGGATCTTCAGCAATCATCTGCTCTGCGACAGCATGAACTCGCGCTTCATGATAACCAGGTATTCTAGCTGCTCCATAACGAAGCAACGCACGCGAATAATTGTATTGTTTCTGAGGAAGGTTAGAGGCAGAGACGGACGGATGAATCTGTCAGAGCTATTGCTTGCTTCTACTACGAGGAATGATTTCAGCGTTCTTTTTGTCACAAAAACAACACAAGATGAAGAACTGTGAAAATAGTAAAGAACAATGCCTGAGAGTTTGTTTTACAATTTTTCACTTTGCTCAGGCACTCAGGATTCAAGATCAAGATAGTCAATAATTTTTTAGACGATGAGTCAATGTCAAATATGATCATTACGATGAGTAAGAAAGAGGCACTCCACGACCTCAACCATAAGTTCATTGTTCTTGTTCTTGCTTGCCGCGTCTTTGGCAGAGAATTTGTTCTGGATCATTTCCGCCACGGTCCCTTCTGGGATTCCTCTTTTTACTAAGGCCTCTCTTTCTTGCTGAATTTCACGAAACGCGAGATGCAGGCCTTCCTCCTTGTCCTTAGTTCCGTCCACTGTTCTCCTCACATCGTCTGCTTTGAGGTCCTTTGTGAGCAGGTCCAAGTTTAGAGGTTGCGACATTTTTGCATTCTTCAGCTCATCCCTGGCGACCTCCCTTGTTTTTTTTCTTTTGTAACTGGAAAAAAAGTCGAGGACGGAAGTGGAAGTGAAGAATGCAATGTGGTAACCCTTAGCAAGTCTTTCAGCCTGTGCTTGACGTTGCTCAGCGTGTCTAGTTCCAGGAGAGATTCTCGTATCCGTTTGTTAGAGCGTCCCGGAATTCACAAACCCATCCCGGGGTAAATCCTGCTCCTGCAGGAGCGAGTGATGTCCCTTATTATCCCTCTTCGATTCATTTTGTTAACAGGCTTCATCGGTCCGCATAGATAGATTAGAGATCAGATGGATTTAAATTTGGATTGGATGTAGCCTTAACTTTGGTCTTGTTCTGTGCTTTCGCTTTCTCTCGTTCGTCTTCTTCTTTGGCGAGTGTCTTCATCGTTTCCGGCGCGATCCTCCCAGTATTGCTGATTTCCAAGGCCGCCTCAACCTCCGCAGCATGGGCATCGATCGCGCCACCCAGATCACCTCGAGGAGATTCCCCCGCTTTGCGGTAGCGAGTGTTAGAGCGTATGTCATGTCATGGAACAACCTCTTGTGTCGTTAATATTCTAACGTAGTAGAGGCCATTCAGCCAGAAATGAAAATTGTGTTCACATTCTTGTTCTTGTGATGAAGGAAGTGAAGATCATTCCTCTGTCTCTCTAGGTTTCCCTCTAGACGACAAGTTAGGAAGGGCTAAAATACAACTAAGGCTCTTTTTGCTCTAAAGATGAATTTATTTATATATATGAGAAGTATCTTTAAGAACGCTGCAGAGTAGATGAAGATGATGGATCGATTATTCGTATTCCTAACAAGATAAATTGCAATTTGTTTTGATTTTCAATACGAATAGACAGTTGACACTGCAAGGCTTAATATTCAGATCCTTCCGGTCTTTCGGAGGGGCAGGCCTGTCTTTCGCGTCAGCAGTGTCCATCTGCGCCGCATAATCGCGTAAATCCCTTAGCTTTACTTTCGGCACATCTTCGCCTCTATCTTGTGCAGCCTTGTATTAGACCTAGAAGTACTCGTAGAAGGTCATCGCTGTGGAGATCATCCTTCAATTAAAAGTATACCCCTTGACCCTTCTTGTCACGTAAAAATATATAGCATCAAGTTGATGATGTTGTATCCGGTTCGTTGGGATCCCTAGACGAGAGATGAGTTACTTACGCAAGAAGATGTCGCCGTAATTGTAACCTTGCAAAATCTGCTGTAACCGGGCGTCTTGATATCCTGGTACGTAGTCTGGACCCCTTTTTGCCAAGACCTCAGCCAGACCCGGACTAGGCTTTCCGTTTTCTTTTTCTGCTTGCTCAATTCTCAGCACTCTTTTCATGATGTGCCTACCGATTTCGCGTGGCTCTACTTTCCTTTCTTCTTAGAGCTGCTCCCGATAAGGATCATAAATGATAGCGTTCTAACGCCTAGTACTTAATGGTTGGCATGATAGTTTCAGAGTCCAAGAAGGAAAATGAGGCAAGGAAATCCAAGAAGGAAACTGTAACTGAGACATCAAAGGGATATTTCTACTCTATGAAGAACGAAGTACAAGTAGAAGATGAGTCAATTACTGTGAGCAGCCTTAATTTTCCATTGCTTTGATCTCTTCTTGCATATTCGCCCATGCTTCCTCCTCTTGCTTCTTCTTTTCTGCTTCTGTAGCGTTTTCTGCAGCGACTTTCTGTTCTCGACGTTTTCGATAGATAATCAATGGGTCTAACCCTTCTAGCATTTGTTTCACGTTCGGCTTGTCCGGCATGTCTTGCAAACTGTTGCGTTGAGGCTGTCTCTCCGCCGGTGCTTGCGGTTTCAATCCGTACCCTTCGTAGCGAAAGTTCTCCTCCTTGAGCATGTTGAGTAAGTCTTTTGGCTGAGTGCGTTTTTGGACTTCATCGAAGTCCTCAATGATCGTCGATCGACCGTACCGAACCTTCGGCACACCTTGACCATCCTCGTCCAAATCCAAAAGGTCCATAATATCGGCAGTTCTTAGAACAAGACGGGGTGTTACTTGTTCTAGATGCAGCAACCCTAGCTTCTATGCATTCCTTCGGGGAACAACAACAACAACAAAACCCAGCTGCCAAGGAAAATAGATTTTACTATAACGAGTAAACGAGGAAGAACACAATTGAAGATAAATTGCAAAAATCGGGGAATCCACAACTCCATAAATTTCCTTCTTTTTTTGGCTCCTTTTTCTCGTGTGCCTTGAGCAACGCCTCTTGCGTTTGCTGGGTGAAGTCGACAAGCTTGTACAAACTTGGATGTCGAACCGCCAAATGTGCGTCAGGGTCATACGCTACCGCACCAGCGTTGGCCTCTTTTTTTAGAGATACGAAGATTACGACCTGAAAGTAGCTCAAAACGATTCCGTGGAAACGACTCGTCGTATAATACGACGACGACGAACTCCTGAAAATAGTTCACCTTGATCAAAGTCATAGTCAAGAACTTTGAACTGTTGACGTGCTTTCCCTTTCTCATTGTCCTGAGAGAAAAAAACTATCAAGTTGGCGATGCTTCTTTCTCATACTTATAAAGAATTTCATGTATTTCTATTTGAACTAGAGTGATGAAGTTCACGACCTTAACTTTTGCTGATTCGTTGGCACCGGCAGGGCTGCGATTCGTTCCGGTTCTGCTCTGTCTGCGGCAGCGATCTCCGCCACCTCTTGCATCATTTCGTTGAAGTCTTGCCCACCGTTCATTTGCGTCGCGATTAAATACCCGACGGGGTGGCCCGTGGTTAGAAGAAAGAAGAAGAAGAAGACCTTCATTAATGTACTAACTGTATGTAAAAGTAAACGAGCCCATGCGCTAGAAGGATGAACAACAATCAAAATCAACATTCAATCAAGAACGGTGAAAAAATATAGCGGTACTTGGATTTGGAAGCATAAGTAAAAGTAAGACCCCACATGATGGAATAGACTCATTGTCGGCTCTTGTGGCCTTTTTATGGCCGCAATAACAACATGAAGATTCTCGTTAGCCTTAACTTGCCAAAAGCGATTTGATCCAGTTTTTTCGCTGTTTCAATTACTTCCGCGACTAGCGGTTCGCCGCTGAGTTGCTCCTCAGACGTTGCACGGTCTACGGCGTAGTTGCGAAGAGCATCTAAATGTTTCGCCGCGCCCCCGTCGACTGCATCACCGCCTGCAGCGAGCTCACCCATATATCTTTCTGCGGCTTGTGCGCCCGCCTTTCGCTTAGCTGCAAGTCGTTGCTCCACTAAGACTCTCTGGTCCACCAAAAACGCTTCCAAAGCGGCCTGCTCTTCTTCGGCGATTTCGGTGATTAGAAGGGGCTAAGTACTCATGATGAAGATCAAGATATAATTGCTGGTGAGCCAAAGAAGATAGAGGCAGATGTCTCAATATAAGCAACAGCGATTTCAGAGTCCATAAGATGAGTTCTTGTGCTGAAGCATCCGCTGCGAGTTCCGCTTGTCGTCTTATGATTTCGTTTTTCGCTTTGTTTTTCAACATATGTTCTTGCTCAGCTAGCTCTGCTCTGACTATTTTTTCCTCCTCTCTCACCGCTTGGTCGTACTTGTCTGCGAAGTCACGGATTTTCCCACTGGGCATGGGATAAATGCCTTCACCAGCTTCGAATTAATTAGAGCCAGCAGCTCAAAGTCAAAGCTAGTACTACTCATCTCATTTCTTGCCTGCATTTCGCCCAATGGCCCTGAGAAGGACATAGCGAAAAAAAGGGGCTTGTAGAATCGAATGGATCTTTGTATATTAATTGAGCCCTAACTTCGTGCCTCGCTTCTTTCTGTATAAACAGAAAAGCGTCGTCTAAGGCTTCCTTCCTGTCGCACAAACTGCGGATTTCTGGCAACCGTCGTCGGACAACCTGTGCGTAACCGACTATGCCGTTTAGTTCCTTGGCTTGTTTTAGCGCTCAAAGTCCTGATCCATCTTAAGGAGGGAAGCATCCTCTTCCACTTTTCCCCTTGAAAAGCCTGCTCTTCAGGATGTTTCGTTGGAAAGAAAACCAAACTGCTAAATAAACATTGCGAGTAAGTGTTCAAACACAAACCTTTGCTTCTATTAGATTAAAATATGCCGTATTTGTTCATCCAACTCTTGCGCGTAGGTAAGTAAAGCGGATACTAGCTCGTCAGTGGGCGTTTGCTCGCGGGTTGCGACGAAGGTGCTGATCACTCGTTGCAGATGCAGCCAGAAGGGAAAGCCGTTCGGATTCAAGGCTAAAGCGGTGTTTTTGATCAAGTCGGACCGACCTTGTGCGGAGATCGATGCCGCGCCAGCAGGATTCTTAGACAGGAGTTCAGGGGCTTAGTTTTATTTTTTCAGGTGATGTTGATCTTGTTGACCCATGTAGTATCTAGTTGTAAGTCGCATTCACCAATACTTTTATGAAGATTTAGATTTTTTTTTCGGTGAAAAATAAGTCAATATAGAAACAGATACATATAAATATTATGATGCGTAGAAATGTTCTTGACCACAGGAGATACGGATAGCTCAACAAAAACAAGTTGCAACTATTTCTACTACCCACCAACTCCAGCACCATAATATTCACCCCGATATTCCATTCTACCGTTGCCGCATCCGCCTCCTTCTGTTGTTTACCCATTCTTAGCGCTACTTTTTCCCAATGCCCCTTCGTATAAGGTCGAGTTCCACTCTTTCTCTTTCTCCTTACAGTTTCTTTCCCCTTTAAGAAGAAGAAAACGGGAGGGGAGTCCACTCACTCGTCAGTCTCAGCATAGTTCACGATCATGTTGTTCAAATGGGAAGTTTTTATGCCTTAATATTTTTTGCCCAGGAGCGACCATCATATTTCCATCTTCGTCCGTTATGAATTGCACTTGAGACGGAGTCCTTTTCTTCGCTGCCCTAGCCGCATCAACTATTTCCCGGCCACGGTACTGACTACCATTGTACGCATTCAAGTCCTTCTTTAGAGGACGAGGAGGTCAACGATTTAATTGTTCTATTTCCTTTTCCTGTACTTGTACTAGTTTCTTGGGTAAAGTAAACCTAAACTAGAGGTACTAGTTTACTTATCTTGATCTTGTACTTGTACCTGTTTCTTGGGTCGTTTATAACTATAACTGTGTGAGTGTGAGTGTGAGTGGGTGTGATGAAAAATAGAACAAAGTTCTTGAAGTAAAAGTATCTTCTATCGGTTTATCTTCTCAGAACAATCCGAAGAAGGAAATAAGACTAACAAAGAAAATTGACGACACTACTTGAAAATGAATCACTTTGAGCTCCCTTTCCGCATAAGGAACCAAAGAAAAACGACACTACTTGGAAATGAATTCAGCATTGATTTAGTTCAATTCCCTTAACTTGTACTCCTTCTTTTGCGGTGGACTTTTTCCGGAGTTGTAGTAGTCTTGGTGCGCAGTTGGAAAGATGCCACCTTGCTGCGCTTTTGCGAATGCGTCTCGACGAGCTGCATAGTCAGAAACACCAGCAGGTAACTCTTCCCTCAACTCTTTCTCCCTCGCTTTGACTACGTGACCAAAGCCCATTCCCATTAGATGAGTAGCTTCACCTTTTCAACAAAGACGAAACTCATGAAAATTCTATGATTTCACCGTCCGATCCTAGGAGGAAAAAGAAAGTACAGAAAGACTTTCATGTAGATGATCATCATCATGATGCTCGAAAAAATAGAAGTAGTTACATAGAAGTAGTTCCCTAATATTGACACTGCTACAATATTTAGTACGTCATTCACCTATTAGCAGCGGTACAATAATTTAGCAACATTATTTAGTACTTACGTGATTAGCCTTAATGGCGCGTCTCCATGCGAAACATCTGGTTTTGTAATAATCCCTGCAGCTCTTTGAGAAGCAGCCACTCTCTCATCTTCGGCGATCCTTGCGGCTTCTTCCGCTGCTCGTCTGGCCTCCTGTGATTAGAGAAAGAAACAGAGGCTGCAGAGGCTGTAGTTCTAGTTCTAATAGGACCAGAAGATATGATGGTGGTTGAAGTAAAAGGCTACTAGAAGATATGGTTGTGAAGAAGTAAAAGTCAGTGAAGAAGGTGAAGGTCGTAATATTCTAGAAGGTCTGTGTCTTTCAAGTTCTACTTGTCTGAGAAGTATACCACTAGTTGAAGGACCGGGAGACCACTAGAATCTCGTGTCTCATTTCTAGCAATGAGATCTAGGTTCTAGGTGTTCTTGCAATCTATCATTTTGGGTGTAGTAAGTTGTTGTACATAGTTCTTCGTCTTCTCCACCGTCCGTTTTGCTCTACAATTTGATCAACATCCGACGACCTTACACTACACAGAAATAGAGACTCAAACGAAAATCCTAGTGATAGAGCCTACCTAGTACTACGAGATCAAGAAGTTGTAGCCTTAATCTTCCGCTGCCAATCTCGCAGCCTCTGCTTCTTCGGCGGCAATACGTTCGGCTTCTTTTATTGCATGGTATTTCTCATACTTCGGACGTACGTAGCCTTTCATTTTATCCGTGTCCTTGATGATATGCCCAAATTTGTCGCGTCCAGCCACAGGGATCCTTCTTTTTACGTGATCGACGTCCTTTTTGTCAGCAATATTCCGTGTGTTAGAAGATGAGGAGGCAGATGAAGATGATGGCTCGAATCTAAATTTCGGCAATTTGGTTGCCTAGATAGTACTAGTATTTCCCTGACCGACGATATATCAAGAAGTAAAAACTTTATTTTGTTGATCATCTTGATCTTCATGTTCATGCTTGTAACAATAACAAACTTGAACTGGAACTTGTTTGCAAACCCTCTAGTTCTTGTAGACTAGTCTCTTAAGGTCCACTTGCTGAGTATGAGCTTCTACCGCTGTTCTGGGCGATCTGGGTGTCACTTCTCCTCTAGGAGACTTTCCTCTAGCAGACCCAGACCTCTCGCTACGAGGACTATAAGCATCCATTTGTCCTTCGTCTGCACCGTCTGAAAAAAGCTTCTTATTAGAGAAGCTGCAGACAGAAAAAAAAGACACGAAGATTGATAATAGATTATAGATACGATGAATAAGATACGAATATGATGAATAGGATACGCGTATCGGATACGTATCCATTGATGTTTGTTCGATTCACTCCTTGCAATATAAGAAGTAGAAGACGTAACAAGAAAGTAAAGTAACTAATGTGATCAGTAGGTGAAGTAATTTAACATGTGCTACAACAACTCCCGCATTCCTCTGCTCTTAACTTCATCCGCTACCGCATCTTCACCAGGTGGTCTTACTGGTTCATGCGCTTGAAGCTGCAGAGCAAGATCAGATTGAGAGTCTAAGCGTCTATCAGCCACAACAGGCGCATCGCCAGGTTCAGTGCCTTGTAGACCTGCAGGATCGCCACCTGTTGAATCACCAGGTTGTCTTGTTCTTGGATCACCAGGTTCTTCACCAGGCTTCGCCCTGGCGTTGGGATTCTTGTACTTAGCCGCTGCCTCTCGTACACGTGGCTGTGGCTTTAGGTGTTTGTGCTTCCCACCGGCAAATTTATCTCTTGGAGTCACTGGTCTACTGGCAATTTCTTCGTCCACGCCCTCAGGCTGGTCTAAGATGCCACCTATATCAGCACTCGTTAGTTGTTGATCCCCCACACTCCCAAATCCACGACTTGCAGCCCCAAATCCACCACTCCCTTGCTGCTCGTCTTGAACAGTATTGCGGTTGTCGCTGCTTCCGCTTCGCGCCGATTTCAAATCGGGTTCATCTGCTTGGAGTTTGAGAGCAAGCTCCGACTCAGAATCTAAGCGACGATCACCTGGAGGACCTGCATCCATCCGCAAACATTAGAGCTCACGACCCTAATCCATCCCATGACGCGTCGACCCTAGGCATCTTGTCGTTCACCTTGAAAAAAAGCCTGCTGAGGGTGCTTCCGAAGATGGATTAGGGAAAGCCTTAAAAAGAGCCTACTCCAGATGCATCCATCTTCATGCCAGCATTTTTATCTCCTCGAAACATGTTGTCTCCCGTATCATCGGCTGAGCCAGTGTCTGAAAAGCCTGAACCCATGGCTGACCCCAAACCATGCATCCCGGATCCTTCGCTACGGTAAATATTGATCGACTTTAGTTCTTAGAGATGGTTCTTCTGGTGTTAACAACTGAGTCTCTGTTTCAGAATTCTACTCAGTAGTCAGTGTCAGAAGTATGTTTATTCTGTATTAACTACAAAAAACCCGGAAAAAATATCCTGAGAGAGAGAGACATGACATCTTCAAAAACAAAAACGCTCTTGATCTGGAACAAGATGCTAGGTAGATAATAAAGTTCTTGCACAAGCATAGAACCAAAAGGTGCAACATTAATATCCCGCGCAACAAGAGGAGCCATAAAATTCTCTTGCCTGCCGAGCAGCCTCTACCTCTTGTGCGTCGACTTGAGGATCCTTCTCTACCTTCTTTAGAGGTAGGATCTTGGTGCTTCTGTTTCCCGTTTGTTCTGTCTTGCCGCCCTTGGAGAGGCAAAGCAAACGGCAACAGGAACACCTTTAGCCTACCCTTAACTTCTCTAGTTCCCTCAACGCCTGTGCCGCAGCCTCACCACCTGCACCACGAAAGTTCGCAGGATAGTTGTCCATCATAAAACTCTCAGGCACTGGCTCTTTCGCTTTCGCTTCGTAGTACTTTTTCTTAGAATGGTAAGATACGTTTAGGTAGAGAAGGAAGCTTTTGCCTAAATTAGGTACAGATCGAGACGTATTCGTAAGATATGAAAGAAGGAGGTTGAGAAAAACGAGCCTACCTGTCCTCTCACGTCGACCCAGACTACTTGCGATGCAGTACCTACATCTACAAACGGAACATTCTTTCATATTAGAGAAGATAGTGATAGACTTACAAAACCTTCCATTTCTAAGAACCTGAACCTTAATTTTCGAGAAGAGCAAGATTTGATTTGCCCGCTTCCAAACGGCTTGTGTAAGCCAGCTCTGTCCTGTCTCCACCTCCATCTGGCCAGCATACTCCCTGATAGCCTCGAAGAGAAGATTCAAAGGTACTTTGCGTACGAAGAGCAGTTGGGGAATCACACGCTGCAGATGCTGAAGCCAGTCCCCTTCGTTCAGAAAGGGCTTCGCTTTCCTCGCTTCCTTCACCGCTAAGATCACGTCCTGAATTTCTTGCCCCTCAAGCAACTCGACTACGCCCTTTTGATTCCTCTGATTAGAGCTCGAGAAAGAATCCCAGAAAGGAGAAGGAAACAAAGAGAAAACATCTCCACCTGGGAAACTGTTGAAATCTTGAAATCAAATGCTTATGATCGTCCAGTTGAAATCAAATTCAAATGCTTATCATTATCTCTACCTATTGTGCGGCCTTAATCTCTAGTGCCTTCAAGTAGCCTGGCCGCTCCTTTTCCGCTGCTCGGATCGCGTCCAGAGCTGCTGCGACACGCCCCAAGTCTTGCAACAAATCCGTTCCACGCATATCCGGTGTATGATGGTGTCGCAACTTTGCGTAGTTTCGCATCACGTCAAAGAACCGCCCTTCGGGACCGTCCACTAACTCAAAGAAGTGCCGAACAACACAAATACTAAAAAGCGGAGGCACTTTCGATTTTTCTTCCAGCACAGATGTTAGCGTAGAGGAAAAAGTAGGATTCTAATCTTCGGTATAATAATTCTTGTATTGTACTATGATGTTGCTGGTGTGCTTCTCCTTGCAAGAGTACGAGTAACTAGTCGTAGTTAGACTTACGTAGTATCCAAAAAAATCTTCATCTTGTTTCTCAACATGATTTGCTAAAAAAAACACACTTTCACTTAATACATAAGTACTTATAAGTAACTTACAACATCTCGACATTAGAGCCATAACTGACCTCTGTCATCCACTAAGGCTCCAGCTTTATCCCGTATTTCTTGGGCTTGTGCATCCAATAAGCGAGCGCGGTCCTAGTAAACGTAGTATAGGGAAGCAAGTAGATCGGAGGTAACAAGTTCAGATCAATGAAGTTCAGGTTTCTGCTGTAGTTGTACTGCATATGAATATCTTCTCTGTGAAGATAAGCTTTAACAAGTGAAGAAGAAGATATACCATCAAAAGTTTTCCGTGTGTCGACTTTCCAAGCGTATGCAAAGGGTTTCTCCGCAATGCATCTTGCTGCTTTGACCATCGAAGCAGTGTGTCTTTGGTCGAGGCCAAAAGGCTCGCAGACATTAGAGGTAGGTTTTGGGTGTTCGTTTCTTTGCCCCGTTTCTTATGCCTGTCTCCCTTAGGAGAGCCACAACAAACGGTAACAGGAGCACCTTTAACCTACCCTTAAAGACATATCAAAGCCCATGGCGCGGATCTGATCTTCATGCTCCTCAAGCAACGCTGAGTGCTCACCGGCTCGTTTGTAAACGGCAGGTGTTAGAAGAAGAAGAGAATCAGGGTCGATGTTTGAACTAGAAATTTTTAAAGGAGACAGAGGGACAAAATCTTTCAAGACCTTATACGCCATATACGCCATACAACAACTGCTATAAGACGACTAGCATACAACTGAGGAGCAATTGTGTCTAAATTTACGTATATTAGAACAAGGAGAATGTGAATGTGGAGATGGTATACTACATATGCATTCTTCCCTTGCGAAGATCATATCGTCTTTGAATGTTGATCATGACCGTGATGCCAACATCTTCTTCAAGTTGATGGTATCTGAGTGCTCACCGGCTGTCAGGAGTAGTAGTAGTACTATCATTAGACTAATCATTAATAAAATGTGTAGTAGTAGTAGTGCCAACATTAGTCACAGAAATTACTATTGATTAGGACTAGTATAAAGTAATCAAGGTGTAAAGAGTAATGGGTAAGTAGCCATAATTCTACCACCTTCTGGTTCTGTGGATGGTCTGCTGTTGTCTCGATACCGGTTGCTGACAAAGTAGCCTTCCTATCAGTCAGGAAGAAGACGTAATCTCGCATTCCCGCGAGTAGCAAGTTGCCACAGTTAGTGGTTGCAAGTAGGTGACCTAGCTAGCTTGTGACATTCATACGTATCCTCTTGTTTCGTTTCCCGCTTGAAAAGGTCATAGATATGCTCATCCTAGAGAGGTCAAGTCAACTTCCAACCCTTAACATCAGGCTGTCCTTCCGCCAGTAGCGTCAATGCCGCAGGAACCAACTCTTTCTCGTACATGTCAGCGGATACATTAGAGGAGTAGTAGATGTAGTAGTTGTCTCCTTAACAAGACAACTGTGTATTCTGAATCTGTTGATTACCAAGCATAAATAAACTCAAAATCAAATCATCACTCTACTTCTATCTTTGATGAGAATACATAGGGGTAGCTCCTTAACCTGTACTAGGTTGGAATTGAATAGGAATGCATCTTGTATTGATTCAATGTTATCCTCCACGCACTCCAGGTCCACGCACCATGCGTGCAATAAGGTAGTCTGGAATTATAGAAATAGCATCTCTACTAGCATCATAAGGTGAGACTTCTCGGGATCGGGGAAGGCGTCGCCACTCGCGTCTTCACCCTCCTCAAAGGGCGACTGTGACCCAATTCCTTTTTGTTGCCCTGAAACAGCTCTCCTTAGAGGGATTGCAGCAAGTTGGCCTCTAAGCATAGGCATGATAGGTCTCAAGCAGGACAAGTATCTTCTATCATGCTTAGTTATTATAAAAGGGTGCGGAGGTCGACTTCCAAGCAGCCTTAATCTTCGGATACGTTGTCGTGCAAGCTGAAGCGCCATGAGTCGAAGATTACTGCGCGCATTATACGCATTCGCGTCCATCCCATAAGGCGTCGATCGATGATCAAAGCCAGGTGGAAATGAGATTAGAGTAGAATAAAATACTTCTTCTATTGAAAAAGATTATGCTGTGAGAAGAAGAGCTACATCAACTTCAAGAGCATCATCATCATTAACTACTTCTACAACCTCGTGTTCGTTATATCTTTCTTTATAGGTTCCACCTGATACACATACAAAAAACGCAAAAAAAAGCGCTTTTTTTGTACGTCATTCGTCTCTGAATGAAAGTTTTCCACTTTGAGGCGAATACTACCCAGCTGATTCCTGGGCTTTATGTGCGTTTTCTGGCTAAAAAATCACGTTTCTATGTTCGCTTTTGGCATAGTGTTATTCCATATTATGGAAAGGAAAACGAAAAGAAAGAACAAGACGGAATAGGAGACGATCTTTGCAACTTAGAATAAGCCATGGCAGAACTACTAGAAGTAATAGTGCCACCGTACTAGACATTATTGTTAAAGCATTCAAGTAGTTACTCTTCTTCATTACAACTTCGATCTTTCTTGCATGACCGCTACAAAAATGAAACTACAGTTTCCGTTCATCTAACAATGTTGATGTTCTTGTGGTAAAGACCCGTAACTGTAAAACCGGCGCTCCCATTACTCCAGTAGCAGTTCCATCATCTTTCTTGTAGTTGAGGAATCCGGCGCTTGGCTTCACTGATGTAATGGTTTTTGGGCTTCCCATTTCCGGCGATCCCTCCGAAGCGCCCACTGCCGCTAGCGCTCCTCTCATATTTCTGCTCACCGGTGCTTCTCGATGCGAGTATTAGAGGATGACGTTCAGTATCAGTCAACTCGTTATGTTTAGTATGTAGTCGATGTAGATGTAGACGTAAGTCGTGTACGTCCATCCTGAAAGGCATCCTTTCCATGTCTTCTTTATCTTGATTGAAAAAGTCTTGTTTTACGCAAAAGTTGTTTACCTCTAGTGCTACTTCCAAGATCAGATGGAGGAATGCAAGATGGATCTTTACTGCTAGATGGATCTTTACTGCTAGAACGAATTGGATTTGGAATTCCCGGAGTATCATCGAAATGAATCTAGTAATGCCATAAAAAGCCTTTGTGATATTGTTCGCGAAGCGCACACCGTATTGGTCGAACTGCTCAGCCGCAACCCGTGCTTTCTCAGCATCGTCACCCGTGACAGCTTTTTGAAACGCGGCAAAACGTTCAGCATCCAACGGGTTTCTCGGTTATATTTAGAGGTAGCAGGGAAGGTTCATTTGCATGCTCGTAAGTAGTAGTTTATCCCGTTAGTTATGATTGTGCATTTACTTCTCTTTTTTATCAGATGCGTAGGCAGATGCTTACCCTTACGCAGACTGCTTACGCAGATACAGATTAGACATAAGAAAAATGCAAAACTAAAAACGGCATTAACAGAAACACCAAAAACTTACAACTGCTTTCCTTAATCTATCTTTTCCGCTACCCCAGGTTTGGGACCCTGTCGAGCAGCATCAGCCATGTAGCTTGTGTCATCTTTGACATCCATACGCTTCGGTACAGGTCCACGCTCACGCTCAGTCACTGTTAAGAGGTTTAGGTGGGAGAGAGTGCAGACTCATGAGTAGGATCGATTGATGGAAGTGGGAGATGTTCAAGATGTTGACCTTGACTTTCACTACTCATAGCAGCTACATAAAAATTTTTAGGCTTAATACCACGGACGCTAAAATAAAAGAACAATGTAGAAGATGTACATGTAGTTGTTCTAGTTGGTTGTCAAGAACAAATGCGTCAAATGAAGGTCCAATGCATTCGTATTATACCTGCCACAACACGACTCCGTGCCTCCTTCAGTTCCTCTCGATCAAAGACGTTTCCTCGGTCTTCGCGTTCATAGATACTCGAGCGACCCATCAGCCGTTGTGGATCCGCAAATTTATCTTCAAGTGTGGCTTGTTTAGAACTTCTAAGGGAAATTGAAATCCATCCGCTGCAGCGTCTTGGGCCCTCTTCTACTCCCACCTTTAAAAACGGGACCAAGGTGCTCGGGAGCGGGAAGTAGATGGGATTCTTGTTAAAACCTTAACTTCTCCCTGAGTAAGGTAAGCGGTATCGTCGACTAAATTTGCTTTCTGCGCTGGCAAAAGTTTCGACTTGTCCACCATTTTCCTAGGATCTTTGGCCTTCCCCGGCATCGGAACGTTATCACCAGTAGCGACGTACTTGTTGCTACCACCTTGCTGTTTGTACAGCGCTTGCCGTTTTGCGAAGACGCTGCCCACTTGCTGATTCTCCAGGATCGATGCCCGCTTGACCCGGTCTTTCCAGTGTGTTTGACCCGCAGGATGTCTCTGTGCCGCAAAGGCTGCCGTTTGAGCGCCTCTCCCTCTCAGCTGCTCTTCCACGCTCAGGCCATCGCGGTCTTGGAAGACATTGTCAACTATATTTTGCGCGAAATGAGCGTCATATAAATCGGGCCTACCACCTCTTTCGCCTTCAGCGCCTGTCGCTGTCTTAGACACCATAATATTGGAAACCCTTCCAAGAAACAAAGATGCTTCAAATATTATAATAGAGAATTTCGATTTTTTCCGATTTCTGAAATTATGCATGCTCTGGATTCTTGCATGCATTGCCATGGCTTGAACAGGGAAAAAATAATGATTACTTTTTTCGCGGTTATAATATATTATAAGATGAATATGAAAAATGCGGGCATCGCATCATCAAGCCTTAACTGTTGGCTTTTGACTCTTTCTAGCTCCTTCACCTTCAGGACCCCGTTGATGAGCTTCGCCCTCAGGACCTCGTTGACTTACACGCATTGACGCTCCTGCTCTGGTAGGAGATAGTTCCTCAACACCGCTTGCCATCGACGTCGGATGGAAGCCGCTCCCCTCGCCTTGCATAATTTCAGGATGGTCTCCCCTGGGGTAGTGCTCCCCCTCTCCAAAATCCATATCCATATCGTCCATCGAGGGGAAGCCTTCACTACCAGGCGCGCCACTACTGGGACCGCCACCACCGCCACCACCAGGACCACCACCGCTCCCTCCAGGACCGCCACCCCCGCCACCAGGACTACCGCCGCCTCCATCTGCACCGCCTTCGGAGTCTGCTTCCTCGAAAACATCTTCTTCAAAGAGTTCAAAACTACCCTTCTGTGCCATCATTTCCTCTGTTAGCTCGTCCATCGGAATCAAAATCAATTCCCCAGTCTCATCTGCGAAGCCCGCATAAAGTTTTCGGTGAGGGCCAGACATATTTGCTTCCCCGGATTGTTAGAAGATCAAAAAAAAAAGTTTAACCGCAAGCGGAAGTGCAGCAACAGCTAGTGCAAAAATAACATTTTTATCCGAAGAGTGCAAGCGATAGCGATTGATTGCTACAGTGCTGAAATGAGACAAGTGGTCCGGGATTCGGTAACCACCTATTGTTCTAGGAGAGAAGTTCTTCGTCTGTATTAGTATTTGAAGCCTTAACCTGATCCCGCTTTCTTTTTTCCTCCCGGCGATTTTCCTCCCGGAACGACCCGCGATATGGTGCCTGTCTCCTCGTCATACCGTCGCCGCATTGCGCCGTCTTTTACCAAAACGTGTCCATGACCAACGTCCAAAACGTCTGCTGCAGCATAGATCGTTCCCAGCTCACCTCCGTCTACTGTTCCTCTTTTCAGCAGGAAGCCTGATCGTGGCGACGTCTCCCCCTCTGGGCTCCTGGGTCTGCTGCTGTCTCCATCGCCATCCTCCTTATTGTTCAGATTGACCGCGATCCCAGAAGCACTGGAGACTTCGTGTGCGACGTGTTTGATCGTGCTCTCAATGTCGCGCATAGTTCTGTGCACGGCCGTTTTCGTTTCCGCTCTGAGCTTATCCATAGCCTGGCGCACGCCGCCTTTGGTACTCAGCAACTCGTCAAGAGCGACTTGTCCTTTTCTGTAAATTTCTCGTAAAACGTCTTCCCTCGTTTTCCGCATTTTTACCTGGTTCAACCAATCCAGAGCTTGCGCTTGTTCCAGTTGTCTTGCTTGGAATTCATGCTTCTTCTGCATCAGATCTTTCTTGAACTTTTCTAGTTCGCTCTCCTGCAAGCGGAAAAACTCAAAACGCACCTGGTTTTGTTTGTCGTGCTCGCGTTCTAGATTGGCCTTATTCGCTTGCATGAGTGTCTTGAAGATCTGGTTCCACTGTGTCTGATACAGCGACTCCATGTGCGACGTCTGCAATCTCAAGACACGTTCCTCACGCCCGTCATCCACGATGTTATTCAGTTCGACCTCCCTCTGTTTCGCCTTTGCCGCAGCCTGTTTCATATCATCCCCTACTTCGTCTCTTGGACTTTTTACCACATTAGTGGCACGACCGATTTCGAACGTATTCGTTTCCGGATTATTTTGCGGCTTCCACGCGGCTTCGCCCTCTGCTCCACGTGGTTGCCCCTTCGGAGGTTTTTTGCCACTAAGCCCGATCTTGATCTTCTTGTTCGACGTTGGCGCAAATTGGTAGTCCAATAACAACTGATCCGCCTCGTAGCCTCCGCCGCCTGCACTATCGACCCCATGCGTCGACTCTGCGCCTTCACTAATAGAAGAAACGTCATCTGCCGTCGCGCCTCGAAACACTTTATCGCGCATCCTGGAGATCAATCGCAATTGCGAACTAGTTTGATGCGTGTCTTGGTTCAAGTTCAAAAACGTAAGACTGTCCAAGACCTCCTTGCAGTTGTCTAGAGGATCATCGATTTTGCGAGTAGAGAGTCCTTCTTTCGCATTCTGGAGTCGCGCTCTACGCTGTTCGTGTTCCGTGGCCGGACCTATGACCGGAACAGGCTGAGGACTTCGCATGTAGCCGCCTGAAGGGGACTTGCTCAGGGACCACTGCTCATGGGCACTAGTAGCGTAAGGTCCAACTGCCGTCTCGTTGAATTTCGAATACGCATTCGCCTTTTCCATCTGCCCAAACTGCTTAATCGTGCCGGCTCCTGGACTTTTTTGACGAGAACCGCCTCTACTAGAAGTATGGTCACCACCTTGTTGAAACTGCTTCCCAAATGACGCTTCACCTTCTTCTTGTGGCGCCCGTCTTGATTGTCTGCTCGTCCCACCTGGCGACGCAAAATACGGACCATAACCATCTCCTCCTCCTCCTCCGTCCTGTTGAAGTTCGAGTTGATCCTGTTGTGACAATACCGAAGCACCTGGTGGAAGATTGTAGTGATACTGCTGGTGCTGTCCTCCACCAATATCATCTTCTCGTGACGCTCCTGCTGGTGTATTGTTGATTCTAGAAGAACGACGTCCTGCAGCTCCTCCTGGTGAGTTATTGTGCATTGGTCCAGGTCCTGCTCCTCCAGCTGCACCTGCACCACCGGCTCCACCACTGTTGACGTAGTATTCATAGTTATGCAATCCTTGATCCTCAGGACCCGCATTCGAAGACAAATCACCACTATCATCACTAGAACCTCCCTCTTGCATTTCGGAACTGATAGGTACAACCGACTCACCCTCAGCAGTCTGGATTCTCACACCTGGATTTGCACTGCTCCTGTAGTTAGACCCTACTTTTTCTATTCATCTTGAAGTGTATAGATGAATTAGAAAAAGTAAGGTCTAAGCCTTAATCTTGCGAGAAGATGGTCGTGACGAGGGTGGGCCTGGTGCTGAAGGTTGATGTCCAGTAGGTTGGGCACCGGTGGAAGCAGCTTGGGCACCAGGACCACCAGGCGCAGAAGAAGTCCGCAATATACCCCTTCGATTCGGCGAACTAACAGCAGCACTAGAAGATGTAGATGACTTGTGACCGGTAGCAGTGCCACTAGCTGCCTCACGAGTTCTATTTCGCGTTGCTGGTGGTGCTGGTTGTTCATCATGCTTACTAAAAATGTCCACTAAGGAGCCATCATCCCTGTTACTGTTTGTGTTTCCACCACTAGCGGAAGAACCTGCTCTGACACGACCTCCACCTGCTGTTGTACTACCTGCGTTGCCACTATTCGCTTGCTCTTGTTGAATCTTCGCTGCCGAAGCTGGACCTGGCATTTCCACTTTGCTCAAATCAAAAGGCCCATCCTGCTGAACGAGGTCGATCCAGACCCCTGCTGGACCCCGTACGAATTTCGCATACGCAACAGCTTGATTCGGACTGGTAGGCAAGGCAATCGTATCTGTTTCGCGTTGCGCTTCCTGAGTCAAAGGCTTTTCGGGATTAGAACTAGACAAAGAAAGTAGAAGTACTTCCTTCTAGACCTAGAAACATTAACATACCGTTGCTGTTCTTTTTGAATATTCTTGATTTACTATTTCTAATACTAGGAAATCTCACAAATAACTTTCATCATCGATCAAGAATCGTTTTATTCAAATTTGGAATTGCAGTTGCACCCCACCCTATTATATATAAACTCAATTCGTTTCCATCCCCCAATCATAATTGACGGGTCCCGCATGAAAGAGAAGACAAGCGGTCTTCTAGATTCCAGCAGCAATTTGAGCTGCTGTTCCAACGGCAAGAGTGCGAAGTCTCTCCCCACACGACCAACGCCATTTAGGAAATCACCTCTGCGAATCTTCTGAGATTGTGCCCACCCTCCAGGATATACACTGCGCACTATAGCGATCGCACTGGCATCCGCTTGAGGACGCTGAATCTCCAACACCAAACCGAAACTGTTGCCTTTTACCTGCCCATCTGCTATAACAGAAATAGCGCCCGATGTTATTTCCTCTTCGGAAGTTTCAGTGCTTACAGGAGTGTCTTCGTTAGGACCTCCTGCCCCATCAACACTCTCCGCAGGAGCAGAGCTAACACTTGGTCTTGCAGACGCAGCAGACGGGTCTTGTTCACCTTCAGCCGCGTTTGTGTTCCTATTATTAAGAGCAGCAGAACCAGAAGAAGTTCTTGTAGTTGTACTCGTCATGTTGTTCTTGTTGATGTTGGCAGGAGGTACACCGGAAGTTGCTGGAGCATCTTTGTTATCGGTGTTTGAGTTTGCAGAAGTTGTACTGTTTCGTCGACTTTTCCTAGCGCTTTTTCGAGAAGATGCTTGATCACCTCCACCTTGATCAACACTTTTGCGCTTTTTCTCCTTTGACTTCCCAGCAGCGCCGGTTTTATTTTCATCAACAGCCGCAAGATTCACACCTCTAAGATACATGTTAACCTCCGCTTGGCTTTTTCGCTGCTCTTGTTTTTCCTGATCCATCTTTTGCGCCTCACGCTTTAAAACGCCACGCAACATGGTCTCATGGCTGCCTTCAAACAAGAGCTGTTGATTTTCTAGTTGCTCCTGGTCGTATAAAAATAGGCCTGAATTCACAACAAGACCTGGTGCAGTAGTAGTTGTCGAGGGACGACCTAACTTGTCTTGGGCTTGAGGTGTATGATCCTTGTCTTCGGTTTGTTGTAACAAAGAGCTGCTCGTCCGATGTGTAGTTGTAGTACTGCCAGGCGGTTCCACCCGACACCATTGCGTACTGCTGCTACTGGGTGTCGGTTTAGACTCTGCTAAAAGGCGTTCGGCATTCAGCCTCTCTTTTTCTAACTTCTCTTTCTTAGTTTTTCTGGAGGGCGAGCGGTGTTTTTCGTCGCGATCTTCCTTGCGTCTCTTCTTACTTCGACCTCGTAGTGCCAGTACTACTTCTTGTTCTTCTTGATGCAAGGTCGTTTGGACTTCCTCGGCTTGTAGTCGTAGTTGCTGTTGTAGTTGTAGTCTTTGCTTGTTCTGCTGCTCTAATAAATCTTGTTCTTGTTTGCTGGATTGAGATAAGGACGAAAAAACTAAAGCTAGCTGCTGTTCTCCTTGATCTTGCCGAATCTTCACGAGGTTCCTCGTAGCCGAATCTTCACGAGGTTCCGAAGAAGACGTTGACGATGGCCTTGAAGGTGTTTTCTTCTCACGACACGGACTTTTTTCAATATCACTAGGACTAATTTTTCTGGGTGAGGAGCTTTCATCCTCCATTAAGGCCAGCTCGGCAGCAGCAACTAATTCTGAGATCGTGCCGGTGCCTCCCGACATTTCGTCAGCCTGCCGCTTCGATTTGGAGGACGCCTTCATGGTTGATGATTTTGAAGCTTTCTTCATTTTTAACATTAAAAATTAAGGTTCTTCTTAGGTCGTCGTATTGGTCTTTTCCCTCTTGCTCAAGATTTCTTAATCACGACAGTCACAACATCAACAAAGTCGGCAAGAGCAGCACCTAGCGGATCGAAGAAGCAGTACACTACGACCCTGCTGCATCGCCCCTGATACAGTAGAAAAAACCTAGCAGGTTTTATCTACTTCTCCTACCTCTTGTTTAGAATGAGAGTGAAGAAAAGCTGCGATAGCAGTCAGTCTTGTTGCGACGTAATTGAATGTCAATGCGGTAGCGGTTGCAGAAGAATCAAATAGTCGTGCCACATGGAAAGTAGAAAGGGCAGTCAGTAGAGGTGCGGGGCTCAACTAGGTCATGAGATGCTTCTCGACGAGTGAATGACGATCCGATATTAACTCAACCGAAGATACGACTGCGTTAGTTCTTCCTCTTCGTCCGATACTAGTACGATCAACGTCGACTGAGCAGTAGCACATCTTCATCAACCGATCTATTCACATATTCTACACCCACAGCAAATTGAAGACCAAATGTTCGAAGACCGATACTCATGTCGAACACAGGAACAAGTGCGGAGTAGCACTTCTAGAAATACACGAGAAGAGGTTCTTGATTATCAGGGGAGGTTACTACCCGAGTACCCACAATTCTCCGCTCGTCAATCTTTTCAACATCTTCGTCTCTTGCTGAGATTGAAGTATTATCATGGGTATAAATGTTCATTTCCTGTGCATGATGTTGTGCTTTTCAACACGTTTCTCGGTAGAACGGGCTCCGGTTAAAAGCTTCCGCCGTCCATTCTTCATCTTCATCTTGTTCATTTACTTCTATAAGAACAATTTGAATCTATCCTTAATGATACCTATCCAACTTACTCGTCTAGCACAAGCACGTTGTTCACTGCGTGCGTCACGGGTTACTAATCATGATGTAAGTAGTTGGGCAGCATTCCTCGAAGATATGAGTACGACTAGTACGAGTACGTGGGTGACTTGAAAAACAAGTGGTTAGATTAGATTAATATGGATCCTGCACAGGTGGTCCAGGAAGAATTACTGTGCAGCAAAATAAAAACAGGATTAGATCAACATCTAGAAGTACAAGTAATAAGTATACACTACTAGTACTACTTCTGATGAGAACACGATTTTCGTCGTTGATCCATTTTTAAAGGTATTGAAGATGTGGACTATTGACCACGATTTGAGTAGGTGTAGTTGTTTCATTATGGGCATCATCATTTTTGATTTTGGCATCGGCTACACGAACAACTACAAGAGCATACTAACTAATCGTCCTCTTCCTTGTCATATTGGTACTGTTTGCCCTCCGCTGGTCGTGTGGCCCGAGCCGCGTCTGCCTACTACGTTGAGGGTTTAGGGACCACGTAGTGGAGGTTTTCCTTGTGGTCCTGGCCGTGGCCTTCCTCCACTTTTTTGAACGTACATCAACAAGTGGTCATTCATCGATGCCAAGTTTTCTTCGTGTTCGTCTTCTGTAGCAGCCTCAGCAATAGTGGGCAGGGGAATGCTTTCCCAAAAAAACCCAGAGCCATTTGTTAGAGGTAGGCTTTTGGTGTTCGTTGGTTTGCCGTTCCTCCTTCAGAAAGGCAAACGCAAAAAGAACGCTATACCTGTTATTAGCAGTCTGTACAATGTGGAAGGCTCTACTTATATACCACATAAGTAGTCTATGTGGATGTGGAACATCACCTACTATATTTTTCTATATTAATCTAGAAGTAGCCTTTGCCTTAATTTTCTCGTTGTCCCCGGCTGTCTTGAGGAAGAACTGCTAGAGAACGGCTCGTTCTCGTCAGCACCGAAGGTTGACAATCCGAGGTTCCGTATTGCGTTTTGGGCTGCAGATACGTCAATGAAGTTGATAGTTGTCCCATCTTCCTCTTCCTCTTTGAAGTTGGACGAACCAGCGGTAACTACGTCCTCTTCAGCTCCCTGTCGTAGTAATACAGCTACCTCGTCCTCCTCATCCCCTGCGGCGAGATCCTGTTTTAGATGAGCCCAAAGCACTTATATATCATTTTCTTGGTGTGAGTCTCACACTCTCTTATAGCTTCCTAGTACGAAGGAAACCAAATAAAAAATGACTTTTAGAAATGAAATATTTTCAGCCTTAAGCTTAACTGTTCATCATGATCTTCGTGAGGTCGCCTATCAAAATTCTCATCTTCCAGAATATCTCCGTTTTCCTCTTCCAGAATATCTCCCGGACGTGCGAATTGCAAGTTCTCTATTACATTCACTCCTTCGTCTCCTCCTGTCAAGTCTTGCAAATACTCTCGCAAGGCGAGGTTTGCCACGATGTCAACCTGTTGAGTCCTGCTAGTGCCTCCTCCGCTGCCACTAGGCCCAAAGGTTGTTCCCGTCGAGGTCTCTACTTCTGTCTGCCAGGATCTATGATCTTCAGAATTAGACCTTAACTCTACTATTATTTTTCATCCTGAAAGGTGGCATCTTTGAGACGTTTTTCCCTTGAAAAGGGCCTCAAAAAGATGCATCTTGAGATGAATTTCTTGTAGCCATAATATCAGATGTATGAGGAACTGTGGACCACGTCTTGCGAGTAGTCGCAGATGTTGTACTAGACGTCGATGTTCTTGTATGTGTATTGCCTGGAGAAGTACTACGTCCTGGAAAAGTATAACTATTGTCGGACGACTGGTGGTCCTCTCCAGCCGCTTCTGGAGATGTCCTTGATGACCTCCTGGATGAAGTGGGACCACTAATCCTACCCCTGTTCATGTTGTTAATATTTGTAATCAAAGTAGCAGTAGGAGTATTTTTACGTGGTGGTTCTCCCGGCGCTGGCCGTAGAAGTACTGAAGGTGTAACTTCTTGTCCTTGTTGTTCTACAGGTAGTTGTGTAGTATTAAATACTGTAAACTCCACGTCATCTAGTTGACGCATACCCGTAGTGTTCGTCTTCGCGTTAGACGAGGAAGAAGTTCTTGTCACTGGTTCTCCACTTGTAACGGTGGCTCCACGACTAGTACGGCTTATACCAATTACACGTACACCCCCAGGAACAAGTAGATTGGTACTATCTATTTCTGTGTTCCTGGATGATGCATGTAGAAGAAGTGCTTGTTCTTCCTCGTGCTCCTCAAGAACCCTCGACATCGCGGAGGTCTCTACATCTTCGTGCTCCTCAAGAACCCTCGACGTCGCGGAGGTCTCTGCATCTTCGTGCTCCTCAAGAACTCTCGACGCCGTGGTCTTCCTCCCGGCGACATGCACATTGAGGGAAGCTGCGATTTCTTCAAAAATCTGATTGTGTTCGTCCTCGAAGATGCTCCTTCTAGCGTTCTCGTTTAATACAGTTTTCGTTTGAAGATCTTGATGACGAGATTTCATCGCTGCAGTGGTCGCAGTTGTTGCGTCCACGAAACTACTACGTCCTGCTCGTTGCATACTATAGTAAGTGGTCTTAGGTGATGTCGAATCATGATCGCCTGAGGATCCTAGCTGGGTTCGCTCAGGCTGCAAATCTTCAAACCCGAAACTCGGAATTCGAGGAAATAGCTGCCTTTGATCCTCCTGTTCTTTCGGTCCTTGTCGCTGCTCTTGTTGTATATCTATTAGAGAAGATCGTCAGCAGTCTCATATAGAAGTAGTGTTGAATGATCCCTCTACACCTACTGCTTGCTGCTACTCTTGGCACTAGAAGTATAGTGTGAATTGGAATAGGAGTATTAAATAAAGTCTATTAATATAATAATGCTGATTCGTCTACTTGCTGAGTCTTACTACTCTCTAATATAGTAATGTTGATCTCCAGTTTTCGGCTACCTACTCTTGTGATAGAAATATAGGAGTACTAGAAGGCCGCTCGCTTGTTCAACTACATGTCAATTGATGTACCCTTTGCCTTTGAGTTTGTTGTTGTTCTCTATCATCCCTTGCGGTATGTAACGATAACAGCCAGGAGCCTAAAGCAAGCCAAGAGCAAGCGCCTCTACCCCTATCCCTGCCCCTTGTCGTCGGTATTTAATGGCGAAAATCCAACCAAGGACGGCAAAAATCCGGACAAAGTTCAACCTTGCCGGGCATGATACGAATCCGCAGAACACTCGCCGCCTACTGCGCTCCCTTCAGGAAAACCCTCCCCCAATTGCGAGCCACGAACCTCGGGCACACTCCAAATCCCCGCGCCCCTCCAGAATCCCCCAGCACACATCGGCAGGCTGGCGCGGTGGGCTCTGGAGGGGCGCGGGGAATCACATGAAACGAAACCAAAAGACAGGAAAACCAAGAGAAAGCGAGGAAGTTGGAAAAGCCGCCAAGCGGAGCACTTCCAGGACTAGGAGGCGACAACGTTGGCCGTCTTTGTGCAGTTCTTAGTTGACTTAGCGCAAATAAATTTACAAGACGACGGCGATCATGAGTCGATCCATGAAATGGCAGCTACAGCCGAGATGAATGGTTTAAGACGAGAGTGAGAGTAGATTGAGACGATCACTTACAGTCTGGCAGTAGGGAAAAGTTGACGGAAAGCGAACCGGGTATCTTTCTTTTTTAACTAAGTGCATCAAGTGTTTATGATTAAGTAAAACATCAATTTAACAAGCAGAAGGAAAAGCATAACTGTAGTTCTTCCGCAGCTCTTCTCCTCATTTGGATCTGCCAACAGAGACAGAGGATCACGATCGCAACACCCACTAGTATTCCACCGCCCACGACCGACAGTGCCACAATGCATCCTTTAGAAACCACTCCTCCTGTTCTTGTTGTAGGTGAGCTTGAGGTGGAGGGCCTTGATGTTGTACTAGTTGCACTAGGTGCTGGAGGACTAGCAGCTGGACTAGGAATGTTACTGTTTCCGCGAGGAGTCCCACCGCCGCCACCACCTCCACCGGGGAGGCCACCGGCATCTCCGCCACCACCTCCACCGGGGAGGCCACCGGCATCTCCGCCGCCACCTCCACCGGGGGAGCCTCCTCCACCACCGCCGCCACGTCCTCGACCACCCGGAGAACCACCGCCGCCGCCACCTCCACCGGGGGGGCCACCGGCATCTCCGCTGCCACCTCCACCGGGGGAGCCTCCTCCACCACGCGCAACACCACCACCGCCTCCTCCAGCTCCACCTGCTGTAGCTGTTTCTCCTTGTTCAACATCAGGCTGGCCAGCTGCAGCTGCACCACCTTCTATGCTTTTTTCTCGAGTTGTTCTTGTTTTTCTTTCCGAAAATAACAAACCGCAAACCAGAAGATGAACAACATGTTGATTCTTTTTAGATTCTGCTGATGATGAAATCTCCGACATAATTAGATCGTAGATGTTGTTCTTGACCACGAGCAGCAGGAGCACTGAGTAGTAAGGTTTTCTTCTGCGCCACAGGCGAAGATCCTTGTGCTTATCGCGTACTCGAGAAGTACTGGCGCCCAACAATGAGCACATTTTTCCCAAAGGACACGACATCTTGATCTTGTCTGTTTGCGGAAGAATCTAACGAACTATCTCAGAGACAGACGAGGGGGAGCACGCAAGACCAATTATATGTTCATATCCATGATTTAATAACTATCACATCGTTTGCGGAGGACATACCTCGATCTCGTCGAAGTCAAAGAAGTATTTTCGTGTCAATGTCAACGATACCGTTATGGCTCAACAACTAAGAGATAGTTATTTACACGGCATAGGGGGCCTAGAGCAATAAGAAATGACCTAATTACACGTGCATGCTATTCAGAAAGATTGAACCGGATAACGTACATTGGTAGCACTATCCGGCATGGTGGGCGTGGAGACAAATCATAACGGGTCTTTGCATGATCATCACCATGTCCATACCCGCTCTAGAAGGAGGCATCTTCTTTTTCAAGAAAATAGTTTGTCGTTTTTCATGCTAGAAATTGAAATACAAATAATATCATAATTAACTTGCTTAGAAAACCAAATAAAGCAAATGACTTAGAATGAAAATAATAGTAACTTCATACGTGATGTAACTCCAGCACAGAGAAGCTCCAGCAGAAAGTCATCCAAGACTCATTTCAAACAGACAACAGAGATGTCTTCAAATCACCTCCTCAGAGCAGCAGACGTCTTCAAATTACCTCCACAGAGTAAACGTCTTGAGATTTTTACCTCCACGACCACAGAGTAGACATCTCGCAATTATCATGGATGCCCTCCACAAAATAGTTCACACTTTACAGATAAAAGTACCTCCAATTTCTCTCTCTATCTCACTGTTCATTTTGACTACGGAGACGGACGCAACTCTTGCAACTCTTGACAGAAGAGTTCAACATGATCAAGTTCAAGATGAAGAAGAATATGGAGGAGCTTCCAACTACCCTTTTTCAGTCTTTGATCTCTAGAAAAAGGGTAGCTCTCTAGAAGGATGAATCGGATTCGGAAACGGAATGATTCATTGAATCCTGCTAATATTTTGCGTTATTTCAGCGCGTCTCTAAGACTTAGATTCTCTTAGTCGGCAACAGTCCTCCGCCTAGGGATCCTTTGCAACTACTCGTCTTGTTCCTGCCTCGTTAGTCCCTCTTGTAAGTCGTGCACTACAGCCAGCACCAGCATGTGCATGTGGATGTGCTCCTTCTCCTGCTCCTGCTGCTCGCCTATAAATATACATAGATATTACTTGTTCATCAGGAGACTGTTATTAATTTTTAACATTTTTCGCTTCTCCTCGACGGTTCTTTGCCATTGACGCTTGTTGTAGACGTGGGCACAGCATCACCAAGACTTTTGTCCAGGTGGGTGACGTCATTCCTCATGTCCTCCAACCCAGCCCACGTACTAGCCAGCAAGCGATGATGAGCATTCTTAGACCTCTCCCCTGTGGAAATCCCTCAAGCATATGCCTGTGGAAATCTCCCTCGTATTGGGAAATTCCTGTGGAAATCTTCCTTGTATTGGGGTGCATACTGTTCTTGAGGGGTCATCGTCCCTATAGTAGAGATCTAATAGGGACGATGACCCCTCAAGAACAGTAGTATAGGAGAGACCTAATAGGGGCAGCTGCCTTAACATTGTGTACCAGAATGCCCGTCGTCAAAGTAATAAGGCCGCAAGCAAAATACACCAACCCTTGGTACAGCACTTGCATTGTAATTAGAAGAGGACCAGCACCAGGACTACCTATTCTGTGAGTATATCTATAACCCACGTCGGGAGGAAGAAGGAAACTACTTTCAGACATCTCTACGATGCAGCAGCAGACGACGACAATTTTAGACAAAAGACAAACTTTGACTGTATGAATAAAGTGTCTTCGACCACTAACAGGCGATATACTTTATCATCATCGATCCCGACAACTTGTAGTTCAATCATTAGCTAAAAACTACAAGTGCAACAACAAGTATCCTTATAATATGGGCCGTAACGAAGGTTCACTAGCTTCTCGAGTTTCCGTCTTTCCGCCTGCAAAATCTGCCAAATGCAGAGGAAGCCACAGTGGGCACATAAAAGTCGTCACTCTGCGATGGAACAATTGCGTTTTGCGGTTGAAAAATGCGAAATGCTAGGGTTAGAGAGGAAGTCGTACACCACAGGAGACGTATGCATGCTATTGCCCCTGTTATCACCTTTCATAGAGACGTGGTCTGACAGTATTTCTGTGATACTGGCAGCTCTGGAGACGAGTCGATGTGCATCATGTTCAACTACATTGGGTTCTTCAGGTAAGAAGCTAGCAGTAGATGAAGAACGCCATGATCGTGGAACTGGCACCTTTGGACAGTGATGAGCAAGAAATGCTAAACCTCTTGGTCCTGGTCGTATGTGTAAATAAATTTCAAAAGTAACAAGTATAAGTTGATTCTTAACTTTCAAAAATATCTTTGAAGTCGTCCATGACCTTTGTAGGCTGGTCGTTCTGATGCTCTTCTTCCCCCGCTTGATGCGAAGACGAAGTTGTACTAGAGGAAGGGCCTGAGCCCCTCGCTGAGTTCTTTTTCCTCCTTTCCTTTATCTTCAAGAACTTAAGCGTTAGAAGATGAGTAGTTAAATTTTGTGCTTCATATGGAGACTTCATTTGTGAATTCGATCATAATTCTTCTACGAGACATATTAGGGGACGTCATGTTCACGATGTCCCTCTCCCTGATTTTTACTTTCTTACGACCAGGCCCACTAAGCATAAATCTCTGTGATTCGCGAAGTCTTTGCTGTGTCTGGGATTCGTCACCCTCTCATCAAAAATGAGTTTTTCTTGCGCGTTTCGCAGAAAGTCCATAGCCTGCGAATCCACATGACCTTTCGTCGAGGCTTTTAGTTAATTAGAGGCGCTGGTATGTGTATCAGTCTGAGGCTGTAGATTTAGTTGTGGTCACTTCAAAATTATAAACTACCATGACGCCTTGTAAGTGATGGATGATCACTGATACAATGAAGTACAACTTACGCGTCTTAAATTTCGTCTCATCGAATACCGCTTTCCCACTGGACAGGGTACCGAGTCCGCCAAAACCTTGGGTTCCACTTCTACTCGTCTCTGTCGTCATATGATTCCTGTTATGTCTATGTTCTACACCACGTTCGTCTAGATTTTCGTTGATATGAAATTTTCGTAAGGCGTCGCCCAACTTCCGAAAGTTGTGTGTCACAGCCAACCACTCATCTTCATTTGCAATATTCGAGCGCAAAACAATTCCAGATTCAGTAATTCATTTCTTCCGATTCGTTCCCAAGAAGTAGGAAAGCGCCGATGTTGAAAATGAACATTGGAAATGAAGAAAATGAATTACATTTATTTTCTTGAGCCTTAACAATAGTTCGGAGTTTCACCAATTCATTTTGTTTCCGAATGAGTCGGTTGCCACGCGAAAGGGGCACTAGAAGTTTTCGAGAAAGCACAGACACAAGGGAAGCATTTATGGCTGAATTTCCGGGAGTAGACTGCTCTTCTAGCTCTTGTGAAATCTTTTTTTTGATCGAAATGATCGAGGAACTTCTGTTCTTTGTCGGAGCTGCTGGGCCACAGCTAGTATCGTCATCCTTCTGAATCTTTCGCGTCTCGCCCGACTCAAATGGAACCACTGCAAAAAGAGGTAATCTTGAAATCTTTTGTGTGGATGCAGTTGCAGACTTGGTGCTTCCGAAACTACATGGCAGTTGAGGCTCGACGTTTTCGAAGGACTCACTGCTGTAGTTCCTTTTTATCTTCTCCTTCTCCTCGTCATTTAGATTTCGTGCTGTCGTCGTCCCTTGTTCAAGAGACTGCTGCTCATGTTGACCTCTGCTCGAAAAAAGATCACGAAAGCGTCGACGCACAGGAATGGTCGCATAATCAACTTTGTCTTTGATGATTCTTGTCCAAAATGAAGAGGGGGTAGAGGACGTGCTGTAAATGGTTCTAGTAGATCCAGTACTACAACTATTTTTAGTACTATAATTTTCAGAAGTTCTCACTTCCTCCTCCTTCGCCTTCTCCCTGTCCTCCACTGTCGCTTGTGTTTGACAACTACTATAGTCAAGGGGACTCGTTCTAGCTTCAATCTGAGGTGGCGGACCAGACTCTCGGCTGTCGCTAGCTGTGTGATGTGGTAGAGCTGGAAAAACTTCTTCTGTAGAAGTTCTCCTCTGCCCTCCCCACGGTTCGAAATTCGCTTCCAGTAATGCAGTGATCAGAGGGTGGTCGCGGCTGAGCAACAAAGCACGAGACTCCCAATGTGAGTTAGAGGAAGTAATACCAATGCATAATTTGTAGCATGCATGCAAAAGTGGAGCACAGGTTCTTGTCCTCGTCGTGTATGAAGATTACCCAGAATGTTACTCCAGAACGAGGAAGAGACGATAAAACGACTGTACTTCTACATCTATCAGTACCATGATTCCACCTTCGTCGAAGAGAACAATGCTAAAAATATGCTACCACTAGGACGACTAGGACAACTTCTACTCGGATCAAAAGATCATGAGTTGGACTTAGACGCCTTAATAATAGATCGAACGACGAGTCGTACGCATTTTAGCGCTTCAAAGCGTTCTTCGGTCGTGTGCAAGTCCAGATCTCGAAGGTCTTCCAAATCCTCCTCTGCGTCGACTGATTAGATCAGGAAGTGATTAAGAGTGTTACAACCGTAAGTGTGCTTCATCTACTGGTACTCCTCGTACTTCTTGTGAATCATAATGATAATTAGACGCCTCGCTTGCTTCGTGTTCCACCCCCCTGTTGCGTGCATCTTGCGCATGCTCGGAACCATGACCAAAATCAAGGCCACCTTCTTTGGTGAGTCCAGCACGCTCATTATCGGTTGCTGGCACTATGCGAATGCTCTCCAGCTGTCTACTGGCGGTGACACCAAGCACGCGTCGCATTGCACCAGCTTAGAGATGAAATCCTAGACAATGAAGAGGAAATGAGAAGGCCTCAAATAGCAAGAAGTCGTGGTGCTGAAACTCGTATCCGTATGCTTATGGCACGGACCTCTACAACTTAGCGTGTTAAAATCTTGTTCTTCGTCAAAGGTGTTGACAGTCGACAAGTGAGTAGAACAAGAACATCTCGAAGGAAGCTTCTCGTCATAACAAACAGTATACATGAGATAGCAGAAAAGGCTACCCCCAATCGTTGGCGCTAAAGGCATCAAGGCTGGAATATTCGCCACAAGGATTAGAGTGGGATAGCATCCTCAGAGAGGACAGTGCCAGAACCGGTCACTATCAAGTACACGTCATCTACAGTATCCTGGTGGTAGACGTAGCTAGAAGTACGCGACTACAACGAACTACAACTGACTACTACAACAACTCGTCCCCATCATTACAAGAATTACTTCTATATCTATATCTATCTGGTATAAGTACCTAGCTACTTCATCAAACAAAATTAAATTGTCCTTCATCATCTGAATCAAGTAGATATGTTCGTAAAGTCAATGCCACACCAGCAATCGTGAGGGAGTGTCCGACAATCAAGCCCAGCGTTGCCGCAGTAACCCGAGATTCAAACCACAAAGACTCATCGGGATTGTTGTAGACTATAGCACCGCGCTTTGGAATCGACAAGGGCTGCACTTTCTTGATTTAGCACGTTCTTGATTTAGCATGATGGTGCGCAGTAGGTTTTATAGACATTGCATTCGCAGCGGCACTCTGATACTTACTTTCTTACGTGGAAAAGCCCTGAAGATGATGAGGATGATGATGATGTTGATGATGATCAAAAATTGGGTGCATTCATCGGATCCATTGTAAATCGATATAGTTCGAAATCAGGTTTTCGTTCTCAGGTTAACCAACCGGCAGTCTTCTGTGAGAAAACACACCCGGGGAATAAATGTGCCTCAAAAATTTGCCCAAGATGAACCGCGGGCAATTTCTCTTTCTGATGATCGAGTGCCAGCTACTGGTAGATGCAGAGTTCTCGTCATTCTCAACCACGACAGTATTAACATAATTAACCCCTTGCAGCAATTGCACCCCATTTCGCCCGTCCAAATTCTGTAGAGCCAAAGAACCGTGCTTCGGATGAAGGACTAAGTCTTTCTTCGTAGACAGAGTGTCGGGAAGAAGGTCATGTTGCAAACCCGCGACCTGATTCAGAACCGTTATTAGAGGTCCATCTACTTGTGGAGCACCTGATTGCAGAAATCTGTGGAGCATCCTGGTGCGTGACTTCCGGTCTACTTTATCGAGCTGGCCACTTCTAGGGATGAGAGCAGAGCTAGAGCAGTCTTGAGAAAAGGAACCAAGAAGATGCTAGCTATTAAGATGGATTTCTTCGATCCTTAACGTTAGAGCTGTGCACTTGTCTCGGTTTAGCAGGTCTGCGTAGTCAGAATACTCAATGGTTCGACCACTACGGACCGGTAAGAGGGTACTAAAAAAGGCTCGTCTGGGTCTCAGGCCAGTGACGGACACCAACAGTGTCGATGAAACCGTCCTCGTCGTCGAGATCGTGCCTAGTGACAGCAGTTGGCAACTCCTAGATGTGCTCATCATCATCCTACGTCTTTAGTCGTGGTTATTCTCAACCACCGGCAACTGTTGACAGAACTAAGACGCGGGAAAACAAACGACGTGTTGGTGACGGAGTCTCATCTTTTGCTACATTGATTGGTCGAAGCTGATCGAAATGAAAAAAAGGAAATATTAAACCTCTTCATTGGCAGGCCATGGTGGTTTCGCTTATTCGCGGCAGGGAAATTTATTTTGAGTAGGTCATGTAGGAAGAGGAGGGCCGCGGCGCAAGTAATAGCGAGCACTTCCCAGGAAGTAGGAGTGGAGAGCGGGGACGCGTCTCGTCTCTTTCATCTTCCGAGGGTTCTTGCCAAAGGAAAAGTAAGACAGATTGTCGACGAGGCCGCGCCGGTCATTGGGGACGAAAAAGTACTCTGTTACAACGCCTCTTCTTCATTCTTGTCAGTCTATGTATTCATCGCAGGCGATTCCGGTATAGGGGATACAGACAGAGACAGAGACACCTCATAGCACGAGTACGACTTCAGTTAGAGACCGAGGAGATTGCTCCTGCAGTGGTACCCTTCACTTCAATTGAAGTTCCCTTGACAAGTAATCACACCTACTACCAATTGCTCCTGCAGTTTTTGTTCCCTTCACTTGCAGAACAGTATCGAGGACTCGCACAACCACATTCATAAGTAGGAGAAGAGAGCAGGTGAATACATACGCTAGGACGTCGCGTCCTCACTGGCTTCTCGCTCTTGAAAATTGAAAAAATTACGTTAGAAATACAGATCTGTTGCGCAAGTACAGGAGATCTGTTGCGCAAATCATTTCTGTCTGATACATTCTACTCCTTTTTTCAAAACCAGATATGCCGATCATTTGCATTATGATGTGTTGTAATTATGAGTCCTTGATGTCGTTCTAGTATCCTAGAATCACTTCAGCTATCGCGATCTACGTATTCGCTAGCGTCACTTATTTGACGGACTTTACAGTTCTTTCGTAACAACCAGGACGAGGACGATGAACAATCAATCATGGAGCACAACAAGAGAATGAAGTAGTTGCGTAAAAGTGCTAGAAGAATCGTCACTGCTTGTCCTGGTTCTAGTAGAAACACCCCCAAATTCTACTGCTTTGAAAACTGTTACTTTAACTTGCGATGATAAACTTCTTGTTCTTATTATTTAAGCTTCTTAATATCCACCGTTAATATCCTCATACATATCGATATGATCAATAAAATTTTTCTCTGAAGACGCCGTCCGTGCACCTAAAAAAAAATCGTTAATACGTAGACGAGGATACTATGATACTTTTCTACACGGCTTAGAATACAAATGCTCGCTGGAAATACCTCGACCTCCTCCGAGACAACAGTACGACATCTGCTTCAAAGAAACGAGGACGCAGTCATTTAGTACTAGTACTTACATTTTATTTTCTACATCATAATCATTTAGTTTTACTTAATATGTACCGATTTAGTTTCACTCAATATGTACCTCAGCGTTAGCCCCTGCTAGGTGCGCTGGTACTTGCATATTACAAATGGCTTAAATACAACAATCTAGTCTCAACAATCTTCCCCAGCGGTAGGAATCGCCAACAATCCCTTCGCCTCCTTGCGGTTGAGCGCGTTCAATGACACAAGTTTCCCGTTACGGCAACCTCCATGAAATCCCGCAAACACCTTATCTTGTTCTCCCCCATCTGGAACATCAAAGTTGAAGTCGTAATAGGCCAAGAATTCATGGTGCGTATCTTTTGAGTAGAACGTATCCGTATTTCCGCACAGCAGCACCTGTTTCTTTGTCGTGACAACCCTTACGCCCGCAACGTGGTCGAGACCCTGCGCGTTGACGAATTCCTGTTGACCACCATTGTTCACATAAACACGGACTTGCGCGATGCTTTCATCGTCCTGCAATTCCAGTGTGGTAACCTTCACCTCGTCGCGCAAACGCTTCAGGGCCTTCACATCAGTAGGAAGGTTGTCTTCCTCGCCACCTTCAACGTCGACGCGGGTCCACTTCATTTTCGCAACGGTTTCACCGTTCACATCAATCGCCTGATCCTTAGGCTGCGGTGCCAAGACACGCCAAGTGATAGAACAGAAAATTAGAACCAGCAACATCCATATCAAATAATTATAATCCATTCCACCTGTCGTGAACTACGAGTACTACTATAGTTTTTGTCTTGAGTAAGAATACTTTACCTAGAGGGCTGGATCACTCTAGAGGAATCCCCCTAAGTAGTTGTGGTAGCCTAGAGAAGAGGTAGCCTACGCCTAGAGAAGAAGAATCAATGGATCGATTAGGGGTAGGAGCCTTAAGAAAAGACCATGTAAGGATGGGCACAAGTCGATGTCGTCAATGATTTGGCGGGTCACCATGTTTTCATCGTCCTCGCTTGGCCATTCGAAGAAAGGCGCTGCGTCTCTGTTCGAAGGATCGAAGAAGAACTGATCACGCAAAATGTTGTCGGTGGTGCCAGGAGTTAGAGCTCACTCTGATCCATCCTGAAAAGCATCACGCTCCCCTTTTCCCCTTGAAAAGGCTACTCAGGATGCTTCAGAAGATGGATTAGGGCAAGCCTTAATAGAGAGGAGTTGAAGGAAAACCCAGGCGCAGCTTCGGTGCTGGTCATCGAACAAGGCACAGCAACGTTTTTTTCCGGTAAGCGCATGTTTCCAATTTCAGTACGTTTTTTTCCATTTTTTTGCGGGTCTACTTCAGGATTCATTAGCAGGGGTCGAAAGTTCTTGACCAATCTAACTATCCCCTAACATATCTATGACTCACTCTAACTATCTATCGTCCCCTAACATCGTATCTATGAGGTAGACTTTCCTACTTGAAATTGAATATTAACACACGTTCATAGATTCAGCATAGATTTAAACTCCAGATGTTCCAGGGGTGGAGGCCCCCCCCGTTGTGGATGGATTTGTGGTGCAGCACAGTGGTGGAAGAGAACGGCCAAAGGAACCGACCCCTGACGCTGACCCCTGGAACATATATAATTATGCTCATAGATCGATGAGAGGTCTACTAGGTGGTCAATAGTTCATCCAATCCTTAAATTGAGGGGAGTTTGCAAGCGGTAAAACGTGGCGTCTCCATACTTCTTTGCATCTGAGCGAGCGAATGTAAAGTTGTCGTTGAAGGTGTAGAAGGTCGAACATTGTTCGCCCTCTTCGCGGACAAGCCAACGCCCACTGAGTCCGAAGGCACGGGCTAAATCACAGCGCACGGGATAGCCCTTCAAGCCGTCCTCCGCAGCAGCTTTCCAAAAGGATTGCATGCCCAAAACCTTCTTGCTGTCGTGCCACACGACAAGCTTGTTCAACTTCGACAAACCGTCGGACTCAGAGTACTCTGTAACTTGTTCCGCATCCAGGTCGAAAAATTGATTTAGATCGTCTTGCCCTTTGTTGCGCGCTCCCACCGGGAATATCAGGAAAGCCAATTCCCCACCACCGAGTTCGCCCGAACGGTACTCATCCATTTCTCGACCAAAGTTCCTGCGTGCATCCAAAATAATTAGAGGCTACGGAATTACACTCCCCCGATCCCGGACATCCCTAGCGTCTTTTCTACTAGGAAAAGCGCCAGGGATGGAGGTAGTGAGGGATGTAATTCGGAAACCCGTAAAATAAAGCGCGTCCACGTGCTGTCGACTGCCAGAGGGTTCTTGCCATAAAATGCATTCACAATGTGGGCAGCCATCTCAACTTCTTCGTCCTCAACTCTCGCATCCATTACTTGGGAGACTCGAGGACCATCCTCGCCGTAGAAAGCCATAACTTAGAAGGAACTTGAGTGTGGGTGGGCGTGCTAGTGCTTGTAGAAGGATTATCATTACATACTAGGTTGAGAAAGAGAATCCCCAGCACGACACACGAGGGACTCTCTTACAACTCTACTCACTCTCACCTATCATTAGTATGACGCGTCACAGTCACGACAGACGCGGCTGGTGCTACTACCACTTTTTGATTTTGTTTCCGATGAACTACATGCGGCTGATGAGTTCTTAGTTAGGTTAGGTTAGGTTAGGTCATGGATCCTTCACATCGAGATCCGCCGGTACCTGCTCCTTCTATTCGACTCCGTTACTAGTATTTATTGACAACATCTTCATCAACATGCACTTGCCTTAACGTATGGCGTCAGTCTGATTTAAGGACGAATAGCCAGCGAGTTTACACGCGAGCTCGTGCGTCAGCGCAAAATAGGGATGGGACTCATCATCCACCATGTGCTGGATTTCATCCATGCCGGAAGAACTACGACGTTGCCTGGAGAAAATGTTTCACGCTGAGGTTGAGTATGAGTATTGTTTATGAATGATTTAAGAACGATATTGACGTTGACTCTATTCTGTGCATCCCGAATAGCTTAGGAGGGGATGAGCACAGGATCATTAGGCTCTTCTAGTTCTACTTCTGCAACTTCTAGTACTTAGTCTTAGTAACAAGAACTAGCGGTAGTGGTGCGCTTTTTCTTTCCTGTAGCGGAAGAAGTAATACCTTGATGCTTGTTACATCGTGAGTAATACGAGAATCATCAATATCAATATATAACATATTGCAAATTATAGGGACTGCGAACGATCTCCGAACCATCGAGGGAAATTAGCCGGCTAATTTACTTTGTGTGCTTTGAGCGTCGCGGGACCTATTCTATTTCAATCATTCATACTCATCTTCATGATTCAAAATAGCAGGCGATCTTCGTTACTTGCTCGACCACTCACTTGTAAGCTGCGGGCGCCAAACTTTGAAAATGGGCGATCGCGGCTACGCGGCGGGCTTTATGTCTAGTCCTAATGGGCGACCTACGCGTGTGGCTAGCCGCGTTCATGAAAATGGGCGATCGCGGTTACGCAGGCGGCTAGCATTCACAAAAATGGGCAATCACCGGCGCGATATACCCTGGGCGTGGCGCTTGCAGCAATGTTGTGCGGCATGCTCCTCTTATATATAATATATCAGCGTTGGTTCCTGGGCGGGCGGCGCGTGTTCAGACAGAGACAGAGTGAGCATTCATCGGAAGTAGCAGCGACAAGTAGAATTCGTGGCCTGGCTGTTCTTGAATAGTACGTAAGTGACAAAGTAGTAGGTACGAAGATCTTCTCCTGGAAGTTGAACTGTTTCGAGTGGAGGGCCGCTTGTCATCTTTGCCAAATAGCGGTTTCAGAAAAAGTCCCGCAATGTGGTAATCAATCTCCGAGAGTTTTTGTTCATCCTTGAATTAGAAGATCTTGACCCTCCCGGAATCCATCTACTACTTGAAGAAAGTCATCTTGGGGCTGTTTTTCCCTTAGAGGGGTGCAGCATCTCTTGTTGGGTCTGATTTTCCCTTAGAGATAGGGGAGTGCCGCAAGATAATTAAGTAGATGCTTCTGAAGATCATGGAAAGGATTCCCGGAAGGAGCCTTAATTTAGCTCCTCACCATCTTCATTGACGAAGACGTACTCCGCAGTCAGGGAAAAAAGCTCCCGATGGTAGCTCCAAAGCGCCATCGGCACTGCACCAGTCGCACGCAAATCCCCAATCGTGAAATCCTCGTACTTGATCCAAGGTGGGACGATGTTGCGCAACAAATTCTCATCAGCCGTCAACGCTCCTTCTGCTCCTGTAGTATCATCAGCAGCTCCATCATCTGGTTGTAAGTCGGTAATCACCTTGGTCAAAGCCTCTTGCTCAAAGTAGGAACGAACGTTGTTGACCAATTTGGCGTCCTTGAAATTAGAGCTTAATACCGATAATATTCAGCTTAAGACGCATCTTTGACATGTATTCCCCTTGAAATCGTATCCAAAGATGCCTTTATTTTAAGATGAATTACGGCAAGCCATAATCGAATCCTTAGCCGTTGGTTGCGAGTCCTCGTCCTCGCAAACATGACTGGGCAGTTCCCCAGACATCCAAATAGGTGACAGCTTAGGCCCCACTGCCCTGCGTCCAGCACCCGTGTCGTCGAAAGTAATCCCCACATCTTTCAAATCGACTTGATTTTGCTGTTGGGAAAAATCCGGATGTGAGGAACGAATCAAATGTGCTGTACACCGGAGGAGAACAAATGTTGACGAGCGTGAAGACGCTGAAGATGTCTGAAGAACTTGTTCTATTGACAGTTTAATGCTCAAGTAAGTACCTAGATTTTCAAGACCTTCTATCTTCTAGCATGCTCAAGGAGCACCAGTAGATGAACTACATGAAGTAGAACAACCCTAGAAATTTTTATCTGAAACTGAACAAGAACAAGCATGATTCGTAATATTAAGTAGTACATCATCATCTGCAGCATTCGGCAAAATTTGAGCGAGTTTCTCTGGGGTGAGTTGATTCTCCAAGGCGCTCGCTCGACGCTTTCCAGACTCAGCACCGAAAATAGGATCACCGTTCATAAGAAAAAGTTCCAATCTGCGCAAGCCAAATGCCGGATCCTCATCTTTTTCCAGACGGCCCTTTGTTTTAGAAGTCGAAGAAGCGAGAAAGGGGAAAAGGTGGTGGTAATCGTGGCTTTCGTCGAGATAGAAAACTCGTTTAATGATTGTTGATCGTCCTCGTGTGAGTCTGAGTTGTAGCTGAAGAATTCACTTTCTCAAGTTTCATTATTGTTCTAGGCCACCTGCCTGTTGGTTGTAAACTCAGAACGCAATAATGACAGAAACTGAAACAGTCTCGCTCTCGTCTAGCGAATAAGAGAAAAGAAACAAAATTAAGATCTATCATGCATGAAGGAAATTATATTTATATACTGGATGAAATTATGCGTAGGTGCTGAGATGAATCAGTCTAATACATACGAGGAGAATCTTCATATGAAAGAATGAATGAATTATCGATATCGCGTGAATGATCAACTACTACAGCCTTAACAGCGGGAGGCGGGCACATTCGGGCTTGATCTTCCCAGAAGTATCGGTCTGGATTGGAGGCCAATTGTGCGATGAAGCGAATCATGTCGCGATGGGTGACGCCGACCAATAAAGGGTTGTCACGGAGGTTTTCGTCACCTCCTAACTGATCGCCAAGGGCAAAGGTGAGAAGTCGACGATTATTCTCGTAATACAAACGCAGCTCGAGAGGCAGACGCTTCAAATTGTGAAGACCAGCTTCAATTAGAACTCAAGATATTTGCTCAACTTCATTATCATTTCTGTAGCCCATTTCTCAAGATTTTTTTAAGAAGGATTAACATTCATTAATATCTATAGCTATACAGAGAAAAATGACTCTTGGAAATGAAATATTTTCAGCCTTAATTGAAGACCTTGCTCTTGCGATGCACCTGAAACACGATAGCTGCTCTTTTTGCGCGAGGACGATGGTCGCTTCTCTTCGTTTCTTAACGCGAGACACTCACTATCTGCAGTTCTTGCGTGAGTTGCTTAATCTCATCGACGGGTCAGGACACCTCGTGGTCACACCAGACTGACTGTGTTCGAAGTGAGTGTCTACTAGCCTTAAGTTCTTTCCATCACCGCCTGCTCCATCATCTTCATTGCATCCAAATCCGGGAGCGTGCTTACAATAATTGCAGTTTTTGCAGTAGAGAATCTTATCATGTTCACAGTTTGCCAGTTCGTCGCAGACCCACTCGTCACACTCCTTACATTAGAACTCACAATCAATTTACTACAACTAGCCCATCTTTTGCCTCATATGTGTCCACTTTTCTACTTGTTTGAAAACAGCGTGCAGATGAAGAGCTAAAAGATGGATTAAGTGAGGCCTTAATTGCAGATCCATTTGACTGCATCACCTGGGTATTCGCTGTCTTCTGGCCACCCCATCTCTGTCACGTCGATCTCCTCATACTGACACTCACACTGAGGGCAATAGTTAGAACTACAAATAATAGATCTGCTGGGGGACGAAGGGGAACAATCTTCCATATCCATCCTGAAAATCAGTGATCTTCTTGGGTCTGGTTTTCCACCCTTGGAGAGGAGGGTGCCCCAAGCAACAAGATGCCTCTGATGTCTGAAGATGGACTCACTCTTAGGGGAAAAAAGCCTTAAAATGGGTTTTCTTTTTGGTATCCGCTTTCACTGCTTTACTCACAGTGGGATCCAGGCTTCGGCAGGTCATTCCCACTAACCCGGGACAAAATCCCTGGTTCCACTGCAATTCGACACCGATGCAAGCACTCGTAGTCTTGGCTGCATCGCTTGTTCCAGGGGCAACGAGTTCGTTACCACGGTAAGGACCGCGATAGCACGCTCTGTTTGTCCAAGTGATCGGTCCAGACGAGAAGTCTGTCCATTTCCCGAAATTGCAGACACGCCCAAAATTCGTTGTTAAGGACAAGGCTAACAGCTCGGTTTTACCAGGATTGTTCTGTTGTTCCCCAACAAGAGCCTGCTTAGCAGCCACCACCATCTCGCCTGGAGCCAAGGCCCAGGGTTCTTGCAAAGCACCACCGTCTGGGTTACCAGCGACCTGACGAATCTCATTTTCCTTGATGCTTGAGTTGTCCTCAGCTGCTCGAACGAAGGTGACGCAGTCAATCAATGCGCCAGCACGGCATTCGACACGGGAAACTTGTAAATCGGAAGCTTTTAGCTTTTTTGCCAACGTCGAATCTTTCACAAACGCCTTCACCTTCATTTTCTCCCCATCTATTAGAAGAGCTACCAGAAAAACTGGTATGCGTGAGAAAAGAGCCGAGAAGTACAGGAATGAGGGAGGATGTAAACGCTAAGATGGTCACGTTGTGCTATTGTTCATGTTTACAGCTAAGAGCTGTAAGAACAAAGTAGATCTAGATTATAGCACCTAAACTCAAGATAAAAACATCTGTATACGGCTACAAGAAAAAGAAACAAATGAGCCACCTTACACTTAGTTGTACAGAGCTGCTCTTGGTGGATATCTATTTTCATCTCTTCTATTTCTTTCATAATCCCTATATTACCTCAAAACACAAAAATGTAAAGACGGATCAGAGTATACAACTATACATAGTGTGAAAGTAGACATCTAGACTGATCTACTGACTTCTCAAGAAAGCGTCTTCTAAATTATTAGTACTATGAGAATGTTGAGTCTTAAATCTGCTTCGTCGAGCACTTTTTCCAACAAAGCAAGCTTCAGCCCTTTCAAAGGAGGACAAATGCGGCCTTCCAAGTCTTCATCGACCAGTTCGACACCGACAGCAACTTTTCCAAAGGGAGCGTTCCAAAAGGTTTTGTTTCCATGGTCGACAGAATTAGCATCCCCGACCGAGAAGTTGCGACCCTTGTTTGTGCGGAAGGCGAGGTAGATGAGGGCATCACCCCCAGCCCAGTGAATGAACTGCGACACCTGACACATTGAGCAAATGAATTCTTCATCTTCGAGAACAAATGGGTCTTGGGCGTCGCCTCCTTCCTCATTCCCGCAGACATTGCGAGTGCCATCGCGCATCTGAAAGATGACGCAATCGATCAGGGCTCCCTTGCGCACTTCGATTTGTTCAACCTGAAGGCAGGAAGGAATCAAACTGGCGTAGTTGCCCTGGATAGCTGCTTGGAAAGAAGAACCAGGAGCGGAACCATTTCCATTTCGACGACTTGCTCGTCCACCAGCTGCAGATCCGTCTCCTTCAAGGAACATCCGCAGAAGACTGCTGCAGCAAGGACCGCCGTCCTCATCCTTCTGGCTGCTTCTGGTGCTTCCTCGTCGGGTGCTTGCTCGTCCGGTGCTTGCTCGCCCACCAGCTCCAGATCCGTCTCCTTCAGGGACCATCCCCAGAAGACCGCTGCAGCAAGTATCGCCGTCCTCATCCATCTGGCTGCTTCTGGTGCTTCCGTTTGAATAACGACTCATGGTGTTTGAGGTTTTCTTTTTGACGAAGACGATGTTCTGATTCTAAGTATTTTTTTAGTTGTTCTTCAGTGGTCTTCGAACAAGATCGAGAGACGTGTATATAGAAGAGACAATAATTGTGCGTGTAGGTGGTGTAAGTGCTGGAAGGATAAAAGTATTACAAAAAGTATGAAGATGAACGAAAATGAAATGAACTCGTGGCGGAATTGATGAAATCAGTAAAAAGTAGAGTCAATATGCGTGCCAATGCTACTGCAATGATCTTCAATGTAAAAACGACTAGCAACAGTACATCAATGAAATTACCACTTATGTTTATTCCATGATGAACGAAGTTGCAGGTTCAAATCATTTACGATCTTCTGGTAGATCTAGATGTAGATCCGAAGATGATAGCTGCTCCGTTTGATGAGCGAGAATGTGTTGTACACTATAAAATACGAACCACGATGATGTCGAAAGGACTTTTTATAGCCCTACAAACAAAGAGTCTTCGAGATATTCGTCTATGTGTTGAAGGTATAGCTATAGGGTAACAAGGGTGAATGCTTAGCCTTAAGCCGCGCAATCAAATTCGCATCAGCAGGCCACAATGTCAATGACCAAAGTTATCCTGCACAGTAAGCATAGGTGGATTCGTATTCGTTAGCGTGAGGGATAGGCATAGGGCATTCTTGACACTAGATATACGATTGGCTCGTTCGTCATCTACAACTTACTTCTACTTACATCCATAAACTGATACTAGATTTATGAAGTGGGAATCCAATTTTCAGACACCGGCACAGAGAGATATGGATTATGACTCTGACATCACTAGACATACTCTCATCAGCATTTGCTTCTTGTTTTACGCGCCCTCACGGCAGACCTTGCAAATGGACAGACTAGAAGTGGTTATTTCCATCTCTGTGACAGTGTCTTCACTAGACATACAACTCTCATCAGTAGCATTTACTTGTTTTACGCGCCCTCAAGACAGACCTTGTAAATGGACAGAGTAGTGGATATTTCCATCTCTCATAGGGTTAAATATAATCAGCATTTACTTGTTTTACGCGCCCTCAAGACAGACCTTGTAAATGGACAGAGTAGTCGTGGATATTTCCATCTCTCATAGGGTTAAATATAAAGATGGCCCAACATCAATCCCATGTGGAAGTAGCCTCTCTGATTATGATATTTTGCTATGACATACCGATTGCAAAAACCCCTCTCATAAACACAAGAATTCGTCCAAGGAGCGTCCTCACCAGCATTTTCATCACGATCAACTAGCAGTTCTATGCACTGGTAATCGTACAAGTTGAGCCTCAACATCAAGAAGATCAAATAGATGTTAGTTTTAACCTATTCTTTGACCAGAGGTTCTTTCAATGATCGAGGACAATTAGCTACTTTCACCACGGTGGACGCCGGACACGGAAACTTATCGGAAACTTCCAAGAAACTTATCGATTTCCAGCTGAAAGACTAATGAAAAACGAACAAAACAAAGTGTCTGAAAGACGAGAAAAAAAGCATAAAGAAATGAGGTCGCAGCACCGTAAGCCCGAGTGCTGACGCTACCAAATGCAAGCATAGCCTTCGAGGGCTGGTCCTACCAAATCCAAAAGCGCCACTTGAATCCGGCACGCTTATCACTCACTCAAATCGCTCCTGGTTCGCCATCCGATGCCCATTGCTCTCGATCAACTCAAACTCTCGCGGACCTCATTGACATGCGATGCCGGGCATAGATGTGCAAAAGAACACGAGACTAGAACGACACTCCTGCAGAGGCCTTGCAAGTATATAACGCCAAGGCGCCAGCTGTGTCCCAGCACTAGTGTGTCGCAGTGCGGTCGTTAACAAAAAGCAAAATCACCACCGAATCCGACTGCAAGGCAGAAACAAAGCGAACATTTTCGACAAACCTCGGGGAGCGGGACCAAAACACAGGGGCAGACTGCATCAAACTGCCAGAATTTGGGCACACTTAAGGAGCTAGCGAAAACCAGCGCTTTTTTTTCTAGATCAAAGGCAAAAATAACACGGCGCCACACCTGCCCGAAGCCGCGCTGCCATTCCCCACACTGCCGAGCAAGGGCAGCCCCAGCCTGGAATCCCGGCAGAATGCAGAAAAATAACAAAGCACGGCGAGCGGCCCCATTCACTGCAAGCAAAACCGCGAGGCTTTCCGCCCGGTCAAAGAAAAAACAGAGACCACAAGACTGAAACGCGAAAACACAAGCCAGCGCGCTGCTTTCTTTGTGCAAACACCATGGACACTACCCGCGAAAACTGCACCCATGCACCAATCACTTGCGCTGCTGCTTCAGACCGATCAGAAGGAGCCCGCGGGGCCCTGCTGTCCTGGTGTTCTGCGAAAACAAGCGAGCACACCTCGAGCAGCAAACGAGCAGCGCTCCGCCTCGCCCGCCCGCAGTCTGGGGCCGACGGCGGCCATGCCAGTAAGCCCCACACCCCCCGCCAACAAGCAGCCGAAGAGAAACACAACACAGCGAAACGCAACTCCCACAAACCCAGCGAAACACCACCAGGAACCAGCGAAGACACCACGACCCAGAACCCAGCCGAGACGCCCCCTGAATCCAGCCAGCCCCCGAGCACGCAGAAGCCCGCGGCGACCACCGTAGCCACCCCGCTGTCACAGCTGCGAACCTACTTAAACACCAAAGAAAACTCACCCCAAACGTGACTAGTATCTCACCCGACAGCAGACCCAACCAAAGAACACCGCAACAAACCCGTCCAAACACCACCCCAAACCCGCCCGGGGACCACAGTAGGCCCCCGCCGGAGACCCCTGCGAACCTGCCCAAACACTCCAGCAAGCCCGCCCCCAATTGCCACAAGCCCCGCGACCGACATTAGACCCTGCGGAACACCACAACAAACCCGCCCCAAGTCCAAAACAAACCCAATCAAGAGCCACCGCTGCATGCCTTCCCTCCGCCAGAGACACAGGCGAACCTACTTACACACCACAGAAAACCCGCCCAAAACGCCACAAGCCGCTTAGGACCCGGCAACAGACCACCCCGCCAACGAACACAACGACAAACCCACCGAAACACCAAAGCAAGCCCACACAAAGGGCACCGCTGTAGCCCCTCCGCCCGACGAGATAGCTGCGAACCTGCCCAAACACTGCAGAAGACCCACCCCAAACGCCACAGGCCCTCCACCTGACAACGGACGCGGGCATGCATCGCAGCACACCCACCCACAGCCCCCAGCAAACCCACGGGGAGACCACAGTAGCCCCGCCGGCAGAGACGACTGCAGATATACCTAAACACCACAGAAAACCCACCCCAAACGCCACAAGCCCCCTACACGACAACAGAACCAGCCAACAAACCCTACAACCAACCCGCCGAAACACCACAGCAAACCCGTCCGAAGACCACAGCAGCCCCCCGCCAGAGACGGCAGCGAACCTACCTGAACACACCAGAAAGCCCAGCTCCTGCAACTAAGTAAACGCGGCCCCAATAAATCCCACCGCCCCACCCTACAACAAAAGAACCAGCCAAACACGACAACAAACCCACCCAAACACCACACCAAACCCGCAAAGAGACCACAGTAGCCCCCTTGCCAAAGACAGCTGCGAACCCCTTTAAACTCCACAGAAAACCCAGCCCAAACGCTACTAAAAGGCCACCACCCGGCAACCGATCCAGCCAAACACCACCACAAACCCACGCAAACACCACAGCAAACGCACCCGCGCACCACGGTAGCCCGCCCCCGCCAGAGACAGCCGCAGACCTACCTAGACACACAAGAAAGCCCACCCCAAACGCCACTACAAGTCCCCAACCCGACAACAGACCCACCCAAACACAACAGCAAACCCACCCACAAACCACAGCAAACTCACCTAAAAACCGCAGGAGCCTCCCCGCCAGAGACGTCCGCGAACCTATCTAAACACCACAGAAAACCTACCCTGGGCGCCACAAGTCCTCCAACGGACAACAGACCCAGCCGAGCACCACAGCAAGCCCAGCCAAACTCCACCACAGACCCATCCAAGAAAGACCCGAGCAGGCCCGCCGCAAGAGACAGCCGCGGACCTACATAAACACGACAAAGAACCCACCCCAAACACCACAAGTTCCGCCCCCCCCCCCTCCCGCCACCCGGTGACAGACCCAGCTAAACAAGACAACAAACCCACCCACACACCACTAAAAACCTACCAGGAGACCACAGCAACCCCCGCGCCCCCCGAGACAGCCGCAAACCGAGCTAAAAAACACTGCAGAAAACCCAACCCAAACAACACGGCACACCGAGCCAGAGACGAGAAGAAAACCCATCGAAGACGACTGAGAACTCAGCTGGAAGACACCGCAAAAAACCCAAGGAGACACCACAAGCCCCCCAGCCGACAACAGACCCAGCCAAACACCACGACAAACCCACCAAAACGCAGCAGCAAAACAGCCAAAATGAAGCAGCGGCAAACCCACCCCGAAACACTATAAGAAACCGAGTCCGAAACTGCAGCAAAGCCCTTTATTAACGGCCGGCAGCGACCCACCCAAACACAACAGCAAACCCACCCACAAACACTACAACAAAGAACCCGCCCAGCAACTTCAGTAGCCCCTCGCCAGAGACAGCTACAAAACCACTCAAACACCACAGAAAACCCGCCCCAAACACCACGACACACCCAGCCACAGACGACAAAAAAACGCCGCCGAAGACGATCGAAAACCCAGCCAGGGGACACCGCTACAAAACCACTCCAACACCAAGCCCTCCACCTGACAACAGACCCAGCCAAACACCACAACAAACCCACCCCAAAAGAAGCAGCAAACCCACCAAAAGGGCGCAACAAGCCCACCCCAAACACCATCGGCAGCCTATATCCAGCCACAAACAGCAGCAAGCCCGTCTGGTGGTAAAGGCCAGCACCGACCACTTACAGCACAAACACAACAACAAGAAGCCACTTGAAGATAGCAACAAACTCAGAAGGCGAGCACGGCAAGCCCCCCGCCACCAGAGACACCTGCCAAGAACCTACCTAGACACCACTTAAAACCTACTCCAAACTCCACAAGCCTCCCCCCGACAGTAGACCCAACAGACCACCACAACAAACCCGCCTCAACACCACAGCAAACCCAAGAAAAGACTACCAGAGCCCTCCCGCCAGAGACGGCTGCGAGCCTATCTAAACACCACAGAAAACCCACCCCAAACGCCACAAGTCACCGCCCGACAAGAGACCCCGCCAAACACTACAAAAAACCGAACCAAAAACCACAGCAAACCCGCCAGAAGACCATCGTAGCCCCCCCCCCGCCAAAGACAGCTTGGGACCCACCCAAACACCATAGAAAACCCACAGCCACAACCGCCACAAGCCCCGAAACCTGCAACCGACCCAGCCAAACAACACAGCAAGCCCAGCCGAACAGCACAGCAAACCCAGCAAAAGACCCCCGCCGGCTCCCGCCTGACAAAGCGGCGCACCCTCCGAAGCTCCCCAAAAAACCGACCCCAAACGCCACAAGCCTCCCCCGCCGACAACAGACCCAGCCAAACACCCCAACAAGAAACCCAGCCAAACTGACACCACAACAAGCCTGCCTACAGACCAAAGCAGCCTCCCGCCAGACATATCCACGAACCTGTCTAAACACCACAGAAAACCCGCCCCAAACGCCGCGGGCCCTTCACCCGACGACAGACCCAGCGAAGCGCCGCAACAAATGACCCAGCCAAGCCCCGCAGTAAGCCAGCCGAAAAGCCACAGCACCCCCCGCACCAGAGACAGCTGCGAGCCCACCGAAACACCATCGAAAACCCACACCCAAACACCATAAGTCCCCCGCTCGACAACAGACCCAGCCAGAAACCACAACAAACCCGCTCAAACACCAAAGCAAACCCACCCGGCGACCGCAGTAGCCCCCCCAGCGACAGTCGCGAACCTACCTAAACACCACAGAAAACGCACACCAAAGAACACCATGACGCACCCAGTTGGTCCACCGAGGGCGGCGGCACGTCTGCACGCGAGCGAGCCTGAGCGACGCAGAGCAAAGGCGTGACAATAGCACCCACGGAAGGAGAAACAAGTGGAGCAGTCCAAGGAGCACACAGGTGCCCGAACCCCATGGGGCCACCGATAGCGGCAAGCTGCGGGCCGCAGCCAGAATCCCAACGGAACGACGGGGAGGAGGGAGGAAAAACGAGACAGCACGACCAAACCAACGCAAAGGCAGGGAGAAACAGCGATCCCAGCTGCGCTGGCTACCCCTAGTCCAAACCAACACCCACGCAGATGCCCTACTGCGATACCCACACCACGCTGCCAAAGTGCGCCATTTGCCAGCGAGGTCGGCTGCCAAAATCTGGCAGGCCTGGGGCGTGATTTTCGCTGGTGTTGTTTTGACCTGACTCAGAGTGATAAACATTTCACACGCCAGGCTGCGAATGCTTGGGAAAATATAACATGGCTGCTAGTGCCCGGAGCTATGCTTTCTAAAGAAGTTGCGTTTTTTTCAGTTCACCACGCAGTTCATTGAGGTACGCTTTTCATGGTTCTCTGTTGCAATTCAGTGCGATAATTGTCATGTGTAGGCTCTGAATTTCGATGGTGCTTGAATACTCCTCAGCCTCCTTCTCGTCCGTCAGAAGAAGGCCTGCCAAATATGATGGCGAACGCAGACTTTTAATGATCGAAAATTGATTGTAAACATGCTACGAGCAGCAGCTACCGCGTGAACGATGCTCACAAGTTAGCACTCACTTCCTACTCAGATAGCAAATTCAAGAAGACGAGGCGAAATCTGAAAGACTTTCAAGAATTCTGATCCAGCACTGTTGACCACATTATTCACGGATATGGATGAATTTGAATTCCTTTTCCATTCATTCTACGATAAGGATACTCTTTGTCAAGTGAAGCCCAGAGCGTGGCCTTTTGGCCTATATGCTCGGGGAAAACACAAAAGAAGGAGAAAATTGGGAGCTTCATGAGAAAGGACCTGGGCCGGTGTTCATCGAGAGATCGAAGTGATATTTTTAAACAGAAGAAGCGTCTTGGCTATAGTTTTTCTCGTTTGTTAGATAGATCTTTTTTCCGATAATTCTTGTTATTTTAAACCTAAAACGTCACGACTTCGAATTTGTTGGCTGTCTACATATTGCCATGCACTTATCATTTTGGGGATTGAATCGACCATGTTTTTCTCACGAAGACCATCACAAACTGCGTCGAGCTCTGCAATATGTAAGAACAAAGAAGACGAAAAGAAACGATAATAAATAGCTTCACGCCACACGAACAGAGACAGACGCGAGCTCCTCTCCGTTACATGCTAGAAAATATATAACAGATGCGCTTTTTTTAGTAACTATCTCTATCTCGTCAGACGACACTGCCACACTTCGCTTCTCAGTCGCTACGATTACGAACCAGTATCCTCGTCGATCTCATCTATCGCTTTCGCTATCGTCCTCATGGACTAGAAGAAAATTAGAACTGACTGCTGCACCGGAAAGGAAAAGCAAGACAGTATCTGTAGTCTGGAATTGAAGTAGTTCGAAGAAGATCAACAAAGAATAGCTCACTTTTCTCGCATACAGAGAACCTCAGTCAACGCTCCTGGTCGTCAATAATTCCACCCACTTGTCGCACGGAGTACTCTAATAGGGCCACTCGTGAGACAATGATCAGTCGCCACCTCGTCAAACAGAGACTGGCAAAAAACAGACGGGGTAAGAACATGCTGTAGAGACGTTGTCGAAGCATCATAATGAAGACATTCAGAGGCACGAAGAGCCCGACTTCCAAAGAGCTGAACTGCCAGAGGGTGCAGCGTCTCTGGTGCTCGTGTAGTCACTCATCTACTAGTGGTGTCCATTGAGTTTCATATTCGTTTTAAGGTACAAGCACGGGACGCATTAGCTTCGATGTGTAGCGATGAGCGCGCTTGTCTTCTTGATCAGATGTCGACACAGTCGCGCTTTTCTGTCCTCTATGCCTAAGTCCTAGTCTAGTACTTGCTACTTCATGTAGAGCGAAAGCATTAATAGCAGAACAATGCTACCAGTCGGCGACGTGGCTCATCAACCTTTTCTGTACATCATGTCATTCCTAGTTATATCTACGAAAACAGGCAATCTACTGGAGGATATGCGGAATTTGGTACATATAAGCCTACACTCAGCACGACGACATTAGTCAACCAATCCTACGACGGAATGCTACCAGATCCGCCGAGAGCTGGAGCCTAATGCTGAAGGACAAGGACGATGATTCACCAAGGGACTCGCTACAATACGAGCATCATGAGCATCCGTAGAATGTTTCAAATACCATAGACAACACAAACGCTTAGTATCAGTTTAGGGCTGTTGTGGATGATTCATCTCCGGCTCAGCTGTGCTTGAGGGGCATTCGCGTCGCCTGTCATCTTGCCTGACAAATTCGACGCGAAGCAGTAAGTCAGTAGCTCTATATCGACGGAGAAAGGTTTTGAAATAAGAAATAGAATGCTACCGGTCAGAGATGTGCTTAAGCAGACGCACAATGCGCCACCACGACGCGGTAGTGAGTCATTATACGACTGGGGAATAATTAATTATAACGAGCAATGTTGTAGAGCATATTGAGGTCAAAAAATGCGAGAAAAAGTGAAATTCTATGTAAGAACAAGACAAATAGTATAACAGATCCTAGCTCCTCTTCCTCATGGCACAACATAAAAATAATATGTGGACTTGATGGAGATCTAGTCGGATACTAATGCGAAGCGTGGACGTATCATGACAGATGTCTCATCATTAGAACAACCCCGAGAAAAGACTTCTTACGATCCAAATCAAGTAACTCATTCAACATCCTAAATTAGATAGATTCGGGCCTCCGGTACGTCGTAGGACGAGGCCGCTTTCTGTCAAACGAACTTCGAAAGGGTAGTCGTAGTGTAGATTCTGACGTAGTCTCCTGTGCGATGTGGTAACCTGCTTGAGAAGCTCAGAAAAACGTCGACTGGCACTGCCCTCATCATTCAAGGTGGACTGAGGTACTACAAGATGAGGGACACCGAAATACTAGAACGAAAACTGTTGGCCCTTGCTATCACCACGCCGACCTTCGCGCGCCTCTAACGACGTGACCAGGCTCAGCCTTAGATCAGTCGCAATCTACTCCATTAGATCTAGAATATTTCTGAAGCTCAATTCTTCACATTTCAGTGCCCTTAGCCGTAGTCTCTCTTCTGTGCAAGTTCAGAAATCGCAGGTAGCCGCGCCATTCCTCAGATTACAGGGCAACGCCCATTCTCCATGTTCGCACTGTGTTGTCACCTGCTATACATCTCAACTATTTACATACTGGAATGATTATGGTAGTCGTGAAGTTTGCTCGTGTCCTTCTTGATTCTATCTACAATGTTATGAGTCCCCAGCCACACTGGATTGCTTGCGATTGCACTGCTTGCACTACATATTAGAACTACAACTGGCACAGTTCGAGATGGTTTCTGCAGTTACATTGAGACTACATTAGACACGAAGTCGGTTGCAGTAGATTGCTGTGCAGTAATAATGTCGCAAATAGAATTCGCAAAGGGCGTAATTATGTGTAAACTGTAGTAGAACTACTCAGGCATGCTTGATCTCAACGGACTACTTACTTCCATTATACAATCAGAAAGATGAAGAACAGGATGTAGGTGAATCACTCAAAGTCCTCAAAGTCTACACTGCCACTTCCTACAAGTTTGAATTGACGACGAAGGCGACCCCTCCTGATGGAAAGAGATAATTGATCACCTAGAAGAAGTTCGAAGATTCGGATCTAAAAACTTACAATAGATAAACCAACTTCTACACAAAGAGGAAGAACGAGTTAAAATTTTCCAATTGGTGTACTTACTGTGAGCATCACGCTCGTGTAATAACACCTCGTCGACTTCCTGTGAAGTCGACGACAAGACATTTAGTCCTGTCCACCACCATCCTCATCCTCTTCGGAGTCATAGACGAAGTCCACGTTGTCGAGGTCACTTCCTGCACCCTCACTGGCATCGCTATCATCATCGAGGGCCGGAAAATCGTCGTCGATTCCTGCATTCGGGTTGTTCTTGCGGTACTTGTTGAAGATCGTTGCCAGGGAGACCTTGCTCTTGCTGTACATGTCGCCAGCTCTCTTCAGCTCGTCCTGCATGTCCTTGATCTTCTCGTCTTCTGCTTCCAGTTCCTCCGACGTCTTCTCCGCATCAGCGTCCTTGTCAGCATCCTCTAGGGAAGACTGGAGGCCGATATTCAGAGGCACCTTCGTCTTGGTCATCACGCGACCGCGGATTTCGCTTAGGATTCCAGCAGCTTCGTCGCACAGCCAGGTACAGTTCAACAGCGACAGGTCATCAAACGCCTTGACGGTATCTTGATTGTTGTTGTTGTTGTTGTTGTTTTCGTTGTCGTTCGCGGCCGTCTCCATCAATTGGTTCGCCAACAGTACCAATAACGGTCTGATACCATACAGAAACGCTGCTTTTGCGGAATTAAGCAAGTAGCCGCGAAAAAGAATAACATCTTCATGATGCGTCTGCTTCTGTTGCGCGGTAGTGTACAAATTCAGTTGCAAGTTCGTGTCGCCAATCAACTGCTCCAAGTTCTGCAGGAGGACCTGAGAGATGTAATTTTTGGGATGGAGATAGTTCCCCTATTGCAGGTGGGTGGAAAGTAGGATGGATGCCTTGTTCTTGTGGCTTCATGACATAAAAAAAGTATGAATATCGACGACAAATGGTTACTAAATAGAAGATGAAAACCCTTGAAAACAAGATGCAGATGATCAAGAAAAAAACAAGACTTCAGATTTCAGATGGCACCAGATGAAAAAAGTTGTAGCTGTTTGTGTTATCGTCCTGAATAATGTGAAAAAGTAGAAACTTTTAGCATTCGCGACAGGTCTTCCAAGTGGTACTAGATCTCTCCTGCAGATGCATGTCATCCCTCGACACCAGCATACAAAGAAACTGTAAGAAGATTCTACTTGCAGACTCTAGCGGTCAAGGCATCTGGCTTTTTCAGATGGAACATAAGGCGAAGTAACTGTAAAGCTAGACAATCAAAGAGCTCGAAATAGTGCCGCTTCTTCGATGCGCTGCAAATCGACATTCCCCTGACTTGCCATTTCGATCATGGTAAACGACTGGCAGGCTAGTTCGTACATAGCTCCCAAAGCGTTCGACATGAGCTTAGCCCAGGCAGGGCACTGCGGTGTCGGAGAACCGTTGCAAGAAATGATAATCTTCAGCTGGTTCATATCCATTTGAGCGCTGCGATCGCCATTCCCGACGCTGTTCTGGTATACCTGAAGATATATGAGAAAAGATCGAGCGAGCAAAAGTCGTGGTCGTTGAGGGAGACGAAGGTCGAGGGAAACGAGGGATACTACTGAAAAGGCAACACGAGAAGGCACAGTATCACTCCAGTTCTGTAGTACTAGTGATGGGTCTACTTGTTCGTTGTGATTTTCTTGCTACATCAAGGTGACGTAAGAACAAAGTATACAAGTCAGCACCTGTTCAATCAGTCCAGGCAGCCCTTTGCCTGCATCGGTTAGCGTCTTCAAGACACTGGACGCGGTGTATCCGATATTATCGAACGCGATATTCTTGTTTTCGGACAACCCAAAATACGACAGCATAGCTCCTGCTAGACCCGTTGCAACTTGTTTATCCCTCAAATCGTTCTGCAAAGCTTCCCGCTTACTGCCCAAACTAAGCACCAACTCTAGGTCCAATCCAAGCGTTTCTCTGATTCTGTCGACATCCACCGAATGACACAGCGTTTGAGCCAGTTCTGCGCCATCAGCTAAAAATAGCAAGAACGCATACACCACAGCAGTCTCGTTGAATAAAGTCGCATGCTCTTCATTGAACCACGAAGCCATGGCGTGCCCACATTGGAAAAGCAGGAAAAGGAATTCTCCACATTCCTTGTGCAAGTCCTTTTCAGCTTCCGCGGCCAAAGGCTATGGAGTCAAGATGGACGATGAAGATTATTGATGAAAGTGGACGATAAAGAAGGTGGATGATGAAGGTGGACGAGATGGATGACGAAGAGGGATGACGAAGATGGATGATGAAGTTGCACTTGTAGGCAAGAAGTAGTACCAAAAAGAACGTGACGGCAAAAAAGAAAGAGGCTCGCTCTATCATTCAAACCATGAGCAAATAAAAGGAAGCACCTCTTTCAGCTCGTCGAGAATATCGCCAAGATCTGTCCCTTCAACTGCATCGGCAAAAACTTTCGACACTTTTTTCCTGAAGCGAGTGGATGAAACGCAATATTCTAAATTTTCTAAATGTTCTAAATCATGTCGAGTCTGTAAGGTATTACAGAATACAGTGTGCTTATAGTACTTGGTCGTCATATTCATCCCAAATGGCAGACAGCTAAACTTTCTAAATCTTCTAAATCTAATTTACTAAAGTTTCTAAGGTGCTACAATAGGTCTAAGTAGTACTTGGTCTTCTTATTGCCTGGAGCCGTGTTGTTATTGTTGTTGTTGTTGTTGTCGACTGGATTCGCGTTCATCGGAGCAAGCACGAGACCATTGGCCGCATCGTTGGCGTTGTTGACGTCGGCGTTCACGGTCGTGACGGGCGGCAACAAGGTTTCGCTCACGTCGACGGGCGGCAACAAGGATTCGCTGTTCGCGTGCATGATGGGCGGAAAGGGCAACATGGTTTCGTTCTGCCCAGCGGCGCCAGCGCTGGAGGTACCGGACGGCAGAGCAGGATTTTGTTCCACAACGTCCATATCCACGTCACCGGAACCATTCTCATTACTCGAGCCAAGAATGACACTCGTGCCCAGATTCTCCGGAAAAATGTCCACATCTGCAGCAGCAGCAAGAGCCTCTTGAACAATAGCAAGGTCTGCATCGGCCGACGGAGTTGCGATGCTCCCAGATCCCAGCGGAGAGCTGACAGGCATAGATCCAAGCGGACTCGCGGCTTCAAATCCCGCTGGTGCAGAGGAAGAATCATTGTTGCTGTGGAGGTCATCAGATTCATGCACTGTCGTCGAAATCTCGCCTGCTTGTTGGTCAGCTGCAGGAAAAACAGCAGGAGGCAGACCACATCCAAGAGGATTACTAGAGGACAGCTGACCAGGCGCAAGGACAGACGAAGATGACGACGAGGTCGAGGAACCGGCAATCGCAGTACCAGTGTGACCAGCAGCAGCTTCAGCTCCACCACCAAGCAAGCAGGGCTCCGTCAGAGCTACAACTGAGGACATAGTAGCGTCTTGCAATTGCTGGTGAAACGTTGCTTCGCCTTGTCCGCTTAAAGACTCTCCACCTGCTGGCTCCTGAGGATTCGCGGCAGCCGCATTCGGTGGAGCAGCGGGCTCGCCGTCCCTGTTTGCGTTTCATTGAAAGTAATTTGAGGCGCAGGATGAACTAGTGTAAGGTGAAAGGTGTTGTCTTTGCAAGCAGTTTGTAGGTGAAGACCGTTTGTGTTTGAGTCGAAGTGCAGCTACAGGATGTAGTAGTATGAAAATCATTGCTATTGAGGAGAATCAAACTGATGAAAGAGCCTAAATATAGTACCCAGCCGGACGCTTCGGATTCTGTAGCGGACTCGGGTTATGGTCTCGCTCATCTCTGGATCGCTTAATATTATTCTTGTTCAGATGCGCTTCCTGCTTCGCCAAAAGGATTGCGCGCTGTTTCTCAGCCTGTCGCCACATGTTGAGATAGCTGAAGGACTTGTGAAGTTTCTCGCGCTCAATCAGCCACAGCAGTATCGACCTGGGAAACTCCTGGCGAGTTGCTGGAAAGCGCAGCGCCGTGTCCTTGTACGTGTAGTTCTCGAATCCCTTAGCCTTCCAATGGGCTCTGATCTTTCCCCACAGCGCCTGCTTGGCGTTCACGAATGGCGGCAAACGCAGACTGACATCGTTCGTAAGCTCCAAGTAGAGACGGCCTGCTCCGGTTCGGCCCTTACCGGCATGGCTCGAGAAAGATAATCCGCCCAAGAGGATAGCAAACGACCATACAGCGTGAGATAAATTCACGAGCTCCTGGTACCCACGCATCAGCTGTGAGAAGAACAAAAGTGAGGAGGGTAAAAGGAAACATACAAGAAAGGTAATGAAGGTTTTGTGCCTGCTATTTGAATTTCGACCGAGGAGGAAACTGTTTGACAAAGGTTCTGTGTATGATCCTAGAGGAGCTATTGTTGGGAACGGGAGGAGGCAGAAAAGCTACTAGGGTAGGATGCTGTGTATGGGTGAAGGATGAGAGATGGCAACGTAATTTTTGCAAGGAAAAAGTAGTACATTCTACTTGTTCAAGGGTATGAAAAACAAAGAAAAACACGAGAGAAGTACCTGCGTCAGCTTCTGCAAATTCTTTTCCGTCGAGTTGCGAAGCACGCATAAGGTCACAAACGTGGCTATTTTTCCCCAGGCCTTTTTAACGTAAGGCAACTTGAACAAGCCCTGTCGTCGCGTTGCCAGAGCGGCCTTCTGAACATGCATGTAAGACAGCTTGGGCGTTTTTTCCTTCTTGCGGAGTCTCCTTTTCCAACAGCCCTGGATCATGGGGATAATGATGATCATGGTTGTGGGGATAATGGTAATAATATTTCTAGAAAAACAGTGAGACCATCAGGATTCAGTTAGTTTCTCATCAGGAAACGAAAGACTCCATTTTGAATTGAAGAAGTGCCTGTCTATAAGAGATTAGTCTGATTGGTCTGCTGCCCATGTCGACAGAGAAAAAACGAAAAGAAGCAGGTCAAGCCACCACATAAAATGGAACAAGATAGAAGGGTGTAGATGAAAAGTATGTAGTTCATAATACCGACAACCAGTCCCAAGACACTTTGGCCTTAAGGTTTCTCGCTTGCTCAGCAATCCCTTTGAAGAAATCATCAACGTAAGCTTTGGAGTTGATTCGTCTCGAAATAGCTGAAGAAGATGGTTGGAAAATAAGTGAAACTAAGGTGGTAAGAAGATTTGTGAAGTGGTTGACAAGAGGCGCACGATGCTAAATGATTGCTAGCTTTGTGGACTTTGTCACAAAGTGCTCCAGAAGGAGGATCGTGATGCTTCGTCTACAAGAGTAAGGACACTATATAGAGTGGAAGACTCAACGTGGATGGTGTAGTGGTGTTTGGATGATTCTTCAAAGTGAGAACAAAGTCACAAAATTCCATAGGGTGAACGAATAAAGGATAAAAGAAAAAGAGTAGTACGCTCCTTATTTTCGCAATGGACAATCAATTCTTTGGCCAGCGTATGTTTTCCATCGAGGATGGTGTTCACCACGGTTTGACTCGATCCTTTTTTTTCGATTCCCAGCGCCATAAGCTTAGTGCGCTTATCAACTCTCGACATTCCGGCGGAGTCAGCGTCCCGAATACTCGTTCGGTCGAAACATTCACTCAGAAACACCTCTGAGTTGAACGCCAGCTTCTTCGATGCAGCTTTTGCCTTTGCCGCCATTTTGATGATTTTGCCCTTCAGAAGGTGATATCGAATTAATGTGAAAAATAGTTCTTGCACTACGAGAAAGGGCACCTCAACTAGATCGATAAAAAAATATTTTGTATGGGTAACAAATGGAAATATACCTTGTAAACGGAACTCTTGTTAGTGTGAATTTAGATAATTCTGAGTACGGATAAACGTGATAGGAAAGCCGGGAACTTTAAATAAACAGCTTCGCGCTAATTTTTATAGCGCAAACAATCAAAGAAACGTTAGAGCAAAGTGGTGCAATGAATATATTTGACGAGATCGAGATGTGCGTTTAGATTCTTTAGATTTTTCAGATGGAGAAGATGAACAAGAAGTGGTAAAAAAACGAACTACGAGCAGCTACATTAACCTCTCTGGGAATTTTTTTGCTGACTTACTGGTTCTACGAATAGGAAATCAATATAAAAAATGGTTATACGTTAGTGATTCATTAGCGTGACGACCGTTTCTATCTATAATTAGCAAAAAGAACAACACAACGACAATACCGGTTGACACTGACGTGAAATTATATAAGAACAAAACCAATTATCTGAAATGAACTGATAAGGCGACAACCGTTAAGAACTAAACACGTTGTATTATGTGGAAACAAGTAAGGGTAGCTGGGACGTCTTGCTACCTTGCGAAGCGTATCCTCCTGCTTATCTACGTTAAGACTACTGTTACTTGTGAGCGTGGTAGGTGTGACGTTAGGTTTTTCAGGTGTTGAAATGATATCGAATGAAAGAGCTGTCGATTGGAAGCAGCTTCCAACTACGTGTTGCTTTCGAGAAGAATGCACAAGGCAGTCCTCTTATTTTTTTCCTATTGTGTGAGTTGGAGTCAGAAGAAAATGGGAGGAAGATGAGTGGAAATGACTACACAATGCTCAGCAAAAACGTCAATGAGGCAACAAGAAAAACCATGAGATAAGAAGACGATCTAAAACAGAATGTAGGCGGCCAAAGTGCCAGAAAGTGAGGGTTTGAAATTGAATAGCAATAATTTGGATGCTGACTGATCAAAGTTCTAATGCGCAAGCAGTAAATGGCTCCGAATGTCAACACTATGGGACTTCGCTCGGCTTCAGGAGCCTGGTATGCTGCAACTACCTAGGGGCGCTACTTCGGGGTGAAAGAATAACAGAAAGGACTTCTAATCCCAAAAATGAAAGCACAAATCAAGAAAAATGAAAACAAGTAGACTTAGACCTATGACAAAGTTTAGAAGAACCCACCTCGATTCGTTGATCTTCTAGCTGTGCTTCACTCAGAATTAGGAATGATCTTGCACGATTGTTCTGAGTTTGATGCTCTCTCTTCGCTCGGAGAAATTGGGAAGCCAGGCCACTGGAACTCGAAGACCAACCTTTACAACCAATGCGAGTTGATAACCGGACATGATTCTAGAAGCCATAGCTCCGAGTTTTGAAACACATTTTGGTTCACAAAATGCGGCGAACACCATTGCGCCATCATCTCCAGTGCGCATGTTTACGCCCGACCCGCTGCACCTGCTGAGTAGGGCTACAAGGTTTCAACAGCGGCCTAACACTGGCGCCACAATTATACTGTCTTAGCGGTGATTACTCCCCTCCGGGGCGACGTTTTTTCATTAACATAGCATTGATTTTCACAATACGCACGGGAACCACTGGTGGACTATCTTCCTTTAGATCCGAAGTAACTGCAAACGTAAGAGGAGCTAAGAAGTGAAGGGTAAGAAGCTTCAATCGACTGGACATGGAAGTATGGCATTTGAGAAGGAGGATCAGCCTACAACTGATTTTCTTGTATAATCGTGGACATTCATCTTGTGAAATAGGATAAACGACGAACGATAATGCATTTCGTATACCAATAGATAGCAGCATAAATTAAGATTAAATTATGATAATAGAGGAAGCTTCTCTGCTTCAGGACCGTGACCGTACAAGTCGAGCAGGACTTCTAGCTCTTCCGGGTGATATGCGCAACCTCAGTTGTTCGCCAGGAGGAAGTTCGTCCGCGCCTGATTCTGAATTCCTTCCCACGCACGCGTAGAGGCGGCCTGGAGGCAGAGCGACATAGCTTTTTCACAACATGTAGAACTATTGCGAGCACCCTCAGCAGAGTCGGGGATAAGAGGAAGCGATTGCGATTCGTGACGGCTATTCAATGCACGGACAACAGCGGCACGCACGCGAGCTGCTGTAAGTTCGGCAGCCTTGATGCTCGCTGTCAACGTCTTCTGCTGTTCAGACGAAGCGACGCCTTTGCTGCGCAGCTTCAGTTTCTTCAGACGCGCGACCACATTTCGCATTTGCAAGTCGCGCACCTGCAGGAGCAGCACAGATAAGCCTTTTGTGTGAGCACAGGCTTTTCCGAGATATTCCGCAATCGGATTTACTTCGTCCATATAGATCTGCAAAATGGCGCTGCTAGCGTAACGGCGCGGCTCCTTCTGCGAGAGCGCAGTCTCGTCCAGCTTGCTGGTAACTGAACAAGAAGCGTCTTTGACGATGAAGTACTTTCCCGTTATTAGAGAAGCAGCAGCCTCAGACTCAGGATCTTCTACAAAGTGCTGCATTGCAGGACTACAATACACGAAATTCTCCAGATCAACAGAAGGCGACGCTTGTCGAGATGGTAGTACCAGGGCAGGTGGTGCGCCAGCTACTGGAGCAGCACTTGGCACTTTGGCTGAGCTGGCTGATTTTTTTTGCATCATCTTTTTCTTTGTCGCCACAGGGGTGGTTTGCGGTAGCACTGTTTCAAGTGGCGCTGGCGCTGCTGCCACTACTCTGCTGCCGAGTGGCTGACGATTGGAGCTACTACCTGCTACGCAAGACGCGACACCTCTTCTGCCTCGAGAGCCTTGTTGTTGTTCGGCATCGGGACAGCGGAGAATACTGGTTGAAACCCTTTGTTGACCTTCAGCTACGTGCTGCTTCAACACCACCGCAGTGCCCTTATCTAGTCGCTGCCAACTACTTCCACATGCCGAAGTGACTCCTTCACAGTCCTTTGCTGCTATCTTCATGACATTGGTTACCCTGGCTTTCCGAGGAGGAGACGCGTGCTCGGCTTCACAGTCTTCGATAAAGTGCGTCGGATAGGGATCCTCAACGCACTGTTTGCTCGGCTTCGGCAATGCAGCGAAATATCGACTCATTTTCCATCCTAGTACAGCTTTGTTGATTCTGTCTTGCTCTACCAATCGCCTTAGCGGTGTGTTGCCGGGAGTAGCGAATACCCAACGGTGTCGAGCTACGAAGGGCTGCAAAAAGAGATGAGTTGAGAAGATTGCCTGGTGACAATCACAGAAAGGCAATAGTCAAGGAATGCTTCATCAGATTAGACGTGGCACGATTCTGGTAGTGTTATTTCTGTGCTGAGAGTCTAATATCCAAACAGATCTAATCTTGTCGCACCGCAGTCAGAACTAAAAAGAGGTCTAGCACCATAAAAAGAGTCTACTCTATGCACTACAAAACGAGGCACCGACGTGACTTTCCCTTTCTCCTTGACTGCAATCCCCAAACCAACAAAAGCATCTCGAACTCGAAGAGGCAAAGGCCGCGACGCCTGGAATTGAGTCTGGGTCCTCTTTGCTCCTTGAGACGGAACGTGCCTTCCTGTGGCCAGCTGCGCAACTGTCCGACCATTGGACTCGCGGTCAACTCGCTTTCCATCGCCGACAACTGCCTGAGCCGGTGGAATGGTCCCTTTTTGCATTCGCTCTGCAAACTTCTCTCTCCATGTAAGAAGTCTTCGACGAGGAGTGCTCGTAGGTGATCGATCAAGCTCCGGAGAGCTCGCAGGTGAGAGGTCTAAATGCCGAGGGGTCACGATCAGCCCTTTGTGCGACAGCTCCAGCTTGCCTCCATCCCAAGCCTGCGCAGCTGGCCTTTTGGCGGCCATTTCTGACAGCAATTCTTCTACATTTGGACTTGAGTCTTGGTCATGGAGGTCAGAGCAACTGGAATTATCTTGACTCAGGGAAGAAGGAAGCCCAAAGAAGACTACCTTTGGAGACTGGTCTTGAGTTCAACAAGAGGGATCTCTTGTATCAAAACAACCTTAACTCAAGTCTTTGTCTACAATAGCAATTTGAACTGTCAGAAAGCATCTGTAACGTTCAAAGTGAGGCCTTATCAATCATCTGTCCGAACAACGAAACGAGCCTTGAGAACTCTTACGAAGGAGCTGCCCTCTTGCGTTATAAAACTTCAAACAGCACGAGACGATGCATTTCAAGGAGGCGCTCATGAGTACGTAGACAAAATCTCAAACAGGCCGACGCCACGAGGATAAATGGCATAAAAAAGGGAGTCGACGAGCTATGAATGACGTCATGCTATGCTGTTTGAGAAAATTCGAAGGACTTCGAGTACGAGGCCTGCTCAGCTACAGCTGCTCAGCAGCTGCAGCTGCTGTCGTAGAGTTGCTGGAGCGGAGGAATCTGTAGGAGACATGCAAGACTCTCAGTTCTGTCAGTTTGTAGGGTACATGCGTAGCCTCTTCCGACAGAGACCTTAATTCCTCGTGCTGGCAGGGCGACACTCTGCACAGATGGACCCTTGTAGGAATCACGGCCATTTTCTCAAACACCACGGCATAGGCCCGATTATACTAGACACGAAGATGGTTCATTACCATTCTTGTTGCTATACCGTGGTGTTTGAGATTCTCAAACGTTCCCTTAAAAAATTGGCTCTAAACTGAAGTACTTAGTGGTGTTTGAAGTTTTACTTTCCAAGACGAAGCTTTACGTTGAAATGGACACTGAAGACAATCAGAATTCGATGGTAAGAATGGCTCAAGTGAGTTATCAACTATATTCACAAGTATAATCTTTGATGTGATTCATATTTGATCGATTTGAGTGCTCAGAAACTTCTCTTAAAAACTTGTTTCAAATATGTGGGAAATATGTTTCTTCTAAGTTTCGAATAAGTTTCTGATAAGTTTCCAACGAAATCAAAACGGCCACGCATCAGGCTGTTTGAATTTTTGAAAGACGAAGTTTCTGCTAAGTTTCTGCTAAGTTTCTATTAAGTTTCAAAAACGATTTTAAAATCATTTTGGAGCTGTGGATTTGATGACGAAAAGAGAAGGAAAAGTAGAAGTTTCTGAAGAGTTTCTACATTACAAATCATTGAAGGGAACAAAGAAGGGAGATGAACCTTCTGAAGGAAAGAAATGAGGTGTGCCATCAGAACTTAATAACTCACTAAATTAACCGAAGCCAAATCCTTCATCTTTCTCGCCAAGCGAACCTTCTGCGAAAAATGCATCCAGCTCTAGGACCTCATTGTCGTCAGCGAGCTCCACTTCTTCATAAACAGTTGGCATCGCTCCTCCGGATCGTGAGAAAGACGATGAGGTCTGTGGCACCGCAGCAGGGCGTTCTCGCACGAGATGGGCTGCGCCGTCTCTCGAGGAAGCTGAAGACGAACCTAGCGCATAACGCTGTCCTTGATCGTTGTGTATTTGCGTCTGCGGCTGAATCAGCTTCGCACTTGTTGAAGATGCCTGATGGTCCGCGAGGAAATCCCAGTACGCCGCACTCTCGTCATCATCGCGAGGATCAGCGAGGTGAAAGATGATCTCCTCAGAGAAATACATCAGATCGTTATCCGTGAGTGCCGTAATCTTATCGACCACGGCAATTTCATCCGCGCGGGCCCTGGCCTTGGCCGCTGCAAATGCTCCACCAGTCCACTCCCGATAAGCGGCGCGAATATTTTTCTTCGACTCCTCGCTCATAGGACGTTTTCGGCGATGATCCATGTGGTACTGCAGTACAAATCGCGTTCGTGCGATCCATGCGTCTAAATACAATCTGAGTGAGGAGACAAGAGTAGCAGAATTAATGAACAAGGACTTCTTCTAGTACATGATCAATTTCGTATCTACTTCCCAATCACTATCATACACAATGCCAGTTGTTCTTTCACAGTGTTATGCCAGTGAAGTCTTACTGTCAGGAAAGAGTGGGGTCCAGGTAAAGGAAACACTCAAACAAAAGCAGAAATACCTCGCCCAACGGCCACGCAGAAATTTGAACTCCCTCTGTTTCAATTTTTGCACGTTCTGGCACCGGAGGGCCCCATCCTGACAGTGCGCTTGGGTATCCGCTAAGGAGTAGAAGCGAAGTCCTTCTGCGGTGCCCTCCAATGGAAAGGACACCAATCTATTCGAGACTTCTTTTCCTTGTGTACTGACGTACACTTTCTTCCTCATTTTCTCTCCCCAAACTCCATCCACGATCACCCAGTCTGGATGCCCGCTGACATATCTTCTGTCTTTGGTTGCTTCCACCATCCGTTCAAATGCTTGTAGCTGCTCTGGCATTAGTTCGATGTCCTGCATCTGCCCACGATTGAGGATTTGCTTTCTGCGACTGTTCGGAGAGTCTGCGAGGTCACTGGTGCTTACTTTCGTCTTATTCGCGGCCGCTGCACGAGCTGAGACACCACTAAGATACTCACTCCCATGCGTGTGCCCACTTGCTCTGGCGTTTTCTGCTAGTCCGGCCTGGTTCCTCTGTCCCGGATTAATGCCTTGTTCACTCTGGTATCTAGCGATAGCTGCTTCAGCATCCGCCATAATTTCCTCTATCTTCACCATGGACTTGTCGACCTTCTTGATTCCGATTTTCTGCGACCTGTGCAAGGCATCGTCAAGTGTCATCGTGTCGACAGCTTTCGAGGGACTTTTGCCATCATCAATAATTCCACCCAAGCCTTGCGTCGAGTCGGTGGCTGCAGCCTTGCGGCCGCGGTTGGTTGAAGAGTCTTCTGCTGCTAAGCCTAGCATCGTAGTGAGATTCTGTATCGGATACTGCTGCTTGATGATGTTCATGACGCTGTACATCTTACGCAAACGCGCGTCACGTCGATTCGTCAATCTACGAAATGTCATGTTCTGACGTAGCGTTCTTCGGCCTACCTCGAGATCCTCTTTCGACTTCTCTGGACGCGGAACTTCCGTCACGGGTTTC